ATAACTGAACTGCAATTCACAGAAGCAGACTGTGTTATTATTGAAACAGAAAGGGAATTGTGGAAGGTGGGACAAGGGAGGCTGGGTTAAAGTAGCATGCAATAACTATTCAAAATCAGTCAAGTAAAAAATATTGTATATTTAACTAATTATTTAGTTAAATTGCTATAAATTTCACAAAAGTTGTGCTGGTGCCTGGAGTCTTATATAATAATCTTCTGATTATGTGCAGCATCTCCTTAAGAAACACACCCAGCGTCCAGCTTCAAGCATACTTTAATTGCTGTGACTGGTCGAAAATTGATTCAATAAATGAATCTAATTGTTTCCAAAGTCCTTAGAGGCTGTCACTTTGACAACCACTAGAAAGTGCGCAAATTGCAAAATGTAAACAGTGCTGTTTCTTAGATATATGTCAGGCCTCAGGCAGCTGCTCACAATGCTGTTTAATGTAACAATCCAATATAAATACATAAATAAACAATGCAGTGAATACCCGATTGACAGTGGAAAAAAAGTCTGTGTGTTTTGGGGAATTTAATTTACTTTATCTTAATTGCAATTGTAGAATTGGTAATTGTGTTATTTTTAAATGGAAGAATGGATCGTCAAACTAACACCATGAACATGAGCCTTGATTTAAAAGTTTTGGATTCATCTTTGCAATGATTTATCTACAGGAATCAAATCTATGGGAATTTATGTACCTTTTGTGTCACTTTACCCCACTCCCTCTAGCATGTAAGCTCATTGACCAGGGCCCTCAACCCTTCTGTTTCTGTGTGTCAGATTTGTCTGGTTACAATTACATGTTTGTTAGTCCACCCATTGTAAAGTGCTATGGAATTTGTTGGCGCTATATAAATATAATAATAAGAAAATAATAATAATAATAAACCATTTAAGGAAAAGATTGAAAAAAATTAATATAAAATTGAGGTCATAATTTAGTTCACTGTAAAGTATAAAAAATCTAGCTTTAGTGGTTATGGTGCCAGAACTACCCCTGTTCCCACCATTGTAAGAAGTCACACTGTTTCAGAATGGCTTAACTTCATTAAGGTGTCCACCGGGTGCTACTCCCCATCTCCTTTAACATGTCCCTAGAGCCAGAAGTTCCTCAGTAGAAATGTGCGTCACTCCAGTCCTAAAAGTTTCAAATAAGGGTATAGTTCATTGGCCGATCAGCTCTAGTGGTAATGGAGGTGGGGAACGGCACCAAGCAGACTACAAGTAAAAATTCAAATCATGCAAAAACTGTTTTACTCCTTACAATAGGGGGGTGCCAGAGCACTCAAGGCACCATAACCACTACAGTAGGCTATAGTGGTTATGGTGCTTGGAGTGATCCTTCAATGATTTCTGGTTAAATCAATGAAGTATACAGTACCACTTGACTTTTTAAAATCTGTTTATACTTTTTTTTCCCCAAGCAATCCAAATCCTCATCAACTGCTTTTTCTGACTGGTGTTACAAACGATGTAATTAATCTGCCAATTGATTTTCCAAGTGTGGTGCCTGCTTTTGCCATGGATGATCAGTTAAGGAGTACTCTGTGTCAGTGTTATTTCAAGTTTACTTCACTTTGAAATATAGCTGTCTCCATTTTTACGAGAATTGCATTTCCCAATAGCATTCTTTGCCTTCTACTCATCTTAGAATATTTGTTTGTAATCAACATGAATTTTAAAGAGCATATTTAACTATAATTCATTGAAAGTGCTTTGGATTTAATTTTTTTTTTTCTAAAACTTTTCATGCCCCATCTAACATTTATCAATATCAATGAAGCATGTCTCTTACCATTAAAAAAGTTAGAGATATCAGTTTATGATCTTCCCTCTTTGTCTCACATTGAATTGTAGAGAATTGAAAACTTCACTTAACTCAGCTATAATCTCAGCTTGGATATGTCAGCCTAACAGAGTATTCAAAAAACTTCTAACTCCACCAATTCAAAATGCGAGAGGCACAATTCAAGCAATTTAGAAAAAAAATCTCCCTACTCTTGGCTATTTTAAAGGAAAGGAGATATTAGGTCGCGCAAAAAATGAGTATAACAAGGTAAAACAGATAATACAACCGTAAATAAAAACTAAAATATCTCATATAAAACAAGTAAAACACATATAACTAATGTGGTAAGTACTTACATATAGCAGTACATACAAAAAGAAAATGATAAACAGTCCTAAAATAAGTAGGGAATGGTCACATCCACTTGAGGGAAAGAGATCGTCCAAATGGGATTGGAAAAGATGAGTGTAGCGTCTTGTTCCAGATACCAATATGTAAAAGAGAGCAGAAGAAAAGATCCAATAGTGTAGACTGTATTTTCCACTTCTTTATGAGGATACAAAGTGAAAGGTATCACACTCACCTATATTAGAGCTGGAACTAACTCAGGTATACTTCGCATTCAGTGGTATTGGTCCCCCACTGGTGGGATATAGACGTATTCACGTAACGGAGATCCTCGAGAGAGAAGAGGGTAACACAGAATAGTGCTCACTGTATAAATGTGGTAATTTTATAGAAATAAAATATATGTAAAATACTCACATTTAAGTGAGCAGGAAATACTGCTCACTAGTATGGTGTAGGTGGTATCATCCCTACCTAGGATTCTTGTATAAAAAGGTAATAAAATATAAATAAAAACCAGGTCCAAAAATGAAAATAAAATTAAAAAAAACTTAAAAATTAAGTTGTTTTTTTTAATTTTATTTTCATTTTTGGACCTGGTTTTTATTTACTTTGAAAATTTTGGTTTTCAGTGGTTTTGAAAAGGTCAGAATCTGCTCTTTCAAACAAAAGTTTTCTTGTTCATCTATATAGTGATAGAAGGTAGACTGGCTCACTGTGAATTAATTCAATTCTGCCCAACTATATACACTATATATATTACATAAGTTTCAGGGTCGTCTTAATTAGAAGTACTGAGGTATGGACAGATTCCAGCCAATTAAGTAATTCCATTTTTCCTCAACTTTTATCTTTTATTCTTAGAAAACTGAATGGTTGAAATGGTTTAAGTGTAGATTAAATGAAGACAAAATGCATGTAAATCACATCTTACTGGTGGTCTAATGTTCTGTTGACCATGCTTCCCAGTGTATTATGGGAATTCATTACACTAACCCTAGACAGAAAGCAGCTGGTTCCTTTATCCTTATCAGGAGCAAGACATCTACAGTCCATCATACACTTAACGCAAACAAGCAAGTTCTGTCTTTCACGGCTTCTTCTGAAAGGCTGTTAAACAAATAGCCAAGCATATAAAAAAACAATGTGCAAATAACCTAAGCCTGTATCTTTCAGAAACTTTTGAATATCTGAAGAGTACATAAACATTACATGTAAAATAGGACATTTGTTTAGGTTTGAATGAATGAGTGGGTTGGGATGTCCTGCAAGTAAATCTTTTGTTTGCTTTTAAGAAACTGAAAAAAAATAAAAACAGTGATTCCATATAAAATAGGAAATTTGTATTCCGTCATTGAAAGACGCTGATATATAAACATATGAAAGGCTGTTTTATTCCACCTCATCTGTATGTCAATTACATCCAATGTCTGAATAAAGTTTTTCGGCGAGCTCTTGGCAGATACATGCTACTGAGCCTGCAAGTTTGGATTGTGTTTACTACACTTGATTAAGTCTATCTGAAACCACAAACAAGTAAAAAACTACTCAGTTTTGAAAGGAAAGGGTGATGGGTTCTCTTTGACATTTTTCTGTTACATTTTAAGAAATATAATATTTTGCAACTTGCAATGTTCAAAATTGCATGTCAGGAAAGTATGTTGAGCAAAGTGATAATACACACACACACACACACACACACACACTTGTGTGTTTGTGTGCACATACCTTTGCAGTTTTAAGCCATTCCCTTTCTAGTGTTTTCTCTTGAAAAAAACAGCATAATATTTAGCGGGTGAATGGATAGCTAGTGTGACGAACTGCCTGGCACCCCGACTGGGTACCTCCGTCAATTGCTACTTCCTTGTACTTGCGAGCACCATAAGCACTGCACTGGAACACCATAACCACCGTAAACCCCACAAACCATAGCAGCTTGGTTGGGGTCTCGCTAGTCTTGCTGAGAGTAGACTCCAGTCAAAACAAATGCACGATTACATTGGCTCTCAGGTCCCGGACACTCCTATACAGAATAGGTCAATCCTTCCCCTATGCCTGGGCGATAATTGAGTCAGCACTGTATTAAATTATCTCCAGGCAAAGAAAACATAAATTTTTACAAAACCCCCAAAATACTTTTAAACACACATAATCCCCACAACAGTTACATCCCCTGATAGCCCTAATATGGGTGACTGCATATCAAAAAAAATCACCCAGACCGGTTCAGGGATTCAGGAATTTCCTGGAAGTCATAATAAGATTGACCGCACGCATGGTCCCATGCTGAAAATAGCTCCAATGAATTGCGGCTAAGTGCCCCTGGGGACCGACCGGGAACCGCATTTTGCATAAAACAGCCATTTTTGCACATGTATACTAATATTTTTATTATTACTGTAGTACTTGGGACCTGTGGGCAGGGTTTTATTTAAAAATATATGCTTATTTATTTATGCAATTCAAAATTAAATCCAACCCAGGTATGTATAGGATTGGAAGACAACGTTTTTGTGGATAAACATTCAGTATCTATATTTGTTTTGTGTGTGTGTTAAGATAAAAAAAACAGAAAAGAAAACAAACAAAAAACAGGGCTTTCAATGGCATCTGAAGCCTGACCTTTTTTCGGTTTTACAGGTAGATTGTTGAAAATTGTCATTACATAATCTGTCCACTGCCATACATCCTTGGGGTGACTAAAGGGGGATCTTAGGATGCTTAATGCTTAAAGTGTTACCAACATGGCTATATAGGGGCCAATTCTGTTAAAAGTAAATATATTATTTATTTTTTTGCTGTTTTCACTCCTCGTATTTTTACAGTTTTATTGAGTGAATTATTCTGTGTCTCTTGTAGGTGGAAATAACTCTCCAGGACATCAATGATAACCCTCCAGTGTTTCCTACGGACATACTTGATCTCACAGTGGAGGAAAATATTGGAGATGGCTCTAAAATCATGCAACTGACTGCTACAGATGCTGATGAGGTAGATAATATACTTTATAATATTGTGTTTTTAAACTCTGTTGAACCAGATTGCTAATCAGACTACTTCAGTGGTTCACATACTTGGAGTCCTTCTATAATCATCACAAACAAAGTATAATGGCATCTTAAAGGAGAGCTATCACATATATGATGTACACCATTGTATAAAATATTGGAAGTCACAGATCATGTGTATTAAACTTTTTCACAAAGCACTCTGTTATCTTTAAAAATTTTATTAAAGATTTAGCAAATTACATCACAATCTGGTTCATTTCAAGCATAGCCATTGCACGCATTGCAAAGGCTATTGTATTGTATTTGTTATGTACAGCAGCACAGTAACGATTAATATTTTATTTTAAATATATTTCTTTTGTGTCCCCTTCTTTTCGCGTCTTATCAGTATTAAAGTAAACTATACTTATGCAAATTAATTTTTTATTTAACAAAAATATTTAAGATATATTACCAATTACATTGTGGCATGTCTGATTCTCATCTTTGTTTTGGACGATTCGGGTTTCATCCATGTGGTATTTCGGTTTGGACCATCTATGTCCATGCAATCATTTCAGGAAAAACAATTCAAAAGAGCCAAAATGGTGTGAAAATTAGTAAATCAGTGTACTGAAAAATATACACTTAATAAAGTATATATTTTGCAGTACACTTATAGACGTGTTTTCATTCACAGACCAAGTGAGATGAAGTAATCAGTTAAGGAAAAAAAGTGGGAGCATAACATTTTTTTTTAATCTATCTAGCTATCTATCTGTCTGTCTGTCCATCTAGCTATCTATATATATTATATGTTATATAAAAAAAAAATTATCTCTCTTTTTTTTTCTTTTTTTGCTCACTTGATCTGTGAATAAAGTCAACATTTAGTGGCTGCCACCTAGACACCAACATTTTTTTTTTCCGTCAGCCATGTTGTTTGTTAACACTATGGACCGAACTTCAAATTATAAAACAAACGAAATGATTTATCCTTTGTCCATTTTCTTTGTATAATAATTTATGCATATTGCATTTCTGGGTTTGTGATTTCGAAAAGTCCTTGCAATAAATTATTTTGTATGTGTCTTTCTGCCAGCTTTTTGTGTAGCATATTTAAATTGAAACTAGGCAAAGGCTTTACTTGCATGTCACCCTTAAAGTACACAGGGTAACATTGAGTGCTACAGAGATTTTGGGGTATGCTGACGAGTGTTTTGTAGTAGTAGACTCATCCGAGCTGGAATGATTAGTTGTTTATAGCTGTATGTTTCCGCCTTTCCATCAGTGTAGTAACTTAACTAGTAAATCCATTGACCGTGAGGAGTACAGGCAGCTGAGACAAGAGATGTCATTGTAGACAAAGACATCAAAAATTGTTTAAATGAGACCTAAATGCATTGTTACAGCAGATTCCCAATGGAGAGGCATTCAATTTACTATTTCATGTTCACTTGGTCCTATCTCATGAAGGAATTGTAGCAGAAACCCCCCCAAGGGTAAACAGAGTGCTTTTAACTAGATGTCCATGGGGGCATAATGTACTACATAAAATCACACATAACCTACACTTTGATTCAGATGCGTCAACCCTCATTTGAAATTGTTTGTGGCAGATGAGCAGGTGTCTCAGCTCCATACAACAAACAAAAAACCTTCTATAGCAAATACCACAAAAATGTAACAATAAAACTAAAGTGAACCACAGTGTCATTGCAACACTTTACTATTAATGAGGTAGTTAACACAAAAATTGCAAACAAAATTATTAGGATCAATGATCAGTTCTTCTTATATTCCAGTTGGTTTGTGGTAATCAAGATCTGCTTAATATTTATTTGCATTTCAGATTATATTGCATATAACGCTCGGACTGCTTTCCGGTCTCACCTGGTATATGAACATTTTATTATTTAACTAAGTTAAAACGCTTGCTTTTGTAGCTGGATTTTATTAAAAATAAAGAATGTGGTCAGTTGAGAGATGCTAAATTTCCGAAGAATGTTTTTTTTTTTTTTCTAAAATATTGGTCAGTGTGATGTATGTCTTAATATCTGGTGAGCATGTGTTAAACGCAAATATTCATATTGAAAATCTGATATTTCATTGAGATGACTTAAAGTCTCTTCTGAATTAATTTTTCACAATTTTATTTACATTTCAGTGTAGAGAGAAATAGTAGAAAAGAAGGATAGACAGATGCGCAGACCACTATTATATAACCAGGACTGCACTTCACAAATTCCCTCTCTATTACTGTGTAAATACCTTGAAATATTTCTTATAATATATATTTCTTCTACTTTCCATTTCTTTCTCTCTCTGGATCTGTACCTTCATCTACCTACTGATTTTCATCCATTTTCCTCTCTTTTAATTATCACCTATTTCTTTCTTTTTTCTGTCTCTCTCTCCCTCTAAAGCTATCTCTTTATGACTATCTCTCAACTGCTATTTTTTCATTCATTGCACTATCTCTCATGATTAAATAGTTGCTATAACTCTTGGTCCATAATCGTTCATAAACTTAATTATGCCCTACTGGGTACTACTAACCAGGTTTCCGCCTTATTTAATAAAAGAAAAAAGAAGGAATAAAATCCAGCTTCAGTAGAAGTCCTCCTTGCTTGTTTCTACTCCCTGTCTAATGTCACACCATGTTCTCTGCGGTCCAATCAAATATTTCTCAATGAAGCATTTGATTGGGCCGTATACCCTGGCTCACAGTGCCTGAGCCGGAGTGTGGAGGGAGTAAGTGAAGAGGTAGAGAGGGAAGACTTGCTTTTAATGTATAAAAATTGACGGAAGCAGATAGGAATAGCAGGGAGTGCAGGTGAGAGAGGACTTTGAAGCTTCTCTTTGCAAGTGCGTTCCCAGAGCTGTTTGCATGGTTAGAAGCTAATTACACCATTTGCCTGGTAGTGCGCACTTAGGGCAGCGGTAAATTTTGCACAGACTTGACATTAGACAGTCCAGAACTGACTATCCTGCTGCCTATGACATGTGTTCCCGGGGTGCAACTAGCAAAACTGCAAATTACTCTTTATGTGCAGTGTTTCGAAAAGCAGAAGTGGTATCGGTGGTTGGTTTAACCCTTTAAAGGAGTACGCCAAGCACCATGGCCACTTCAATGATTTGAAGTGGTCATAGTGCCTAGAGTTTTTATGTGCAGCATTTTATTTCACTGTGAGATACTGCACATACAGCCAAGAGAACCTTGACTGACTGAGATGTAACTCAACCTCTGGCAGCATGATGGCCTGTTATCAGCCAGAACATAGAGAACAGGAGACCAGGAGCCAGGTGGGGACACAAGTGAGGGGGGAACTCTTACTAAATGGTTTGGCCGATTACTGGGATTAACCCTTTTACACTTCTTTCTTTTTCTTCCTGAATTCATAGATCCCCCCACCCTCTCTCTTTCTCTCGATCAATTATCATCACTTTCTTTCTCTTTATCTCTCTCTTTGTGTATCCCTTAATCTCTGTCTTTCTTTATTGTCATCTCTTCATTCTCCCTTTCTCTTTGAATTTACCCACCTGTCCCTCTATCTCTCTCCCTATATCTCTTAATCAGAGATACAATAATTATGAGTAGAGATATCAAACATCGTGCTTAGCGCACTTTCAAAAGGTATCATCCCTTCCTACTGATGGATCATAATTCTACGCTGGGCTAGTAAAATACAAGGCATCGGCCATAAATCAAGATTTTCTTAAATGTTCTATTGCAGTGTCAAATGGAGTCTTTTAAATATATATAGTAAAAAAAAATTAAATCGCATTTCTCATTTTCTCCACTACATTTTTTGGAAAGTTTCAACACCTGGACTGCTTCAGCTGGGTATTGTATGGAATATTTATTTATGTTGAAGAGATTACAATGTAAGGGAATTCCTCTGAGCACACAATCTTTCCTGAAACTCACAGTTCTGCATTTCTGATTTACCCTTTGCAAAAAGTTCCTTGAATAAAATATTACCCTTGTGAAATGACATAATTTATCAACATGCTTAAAACAGGGTTTATGATTCACAGCATAATGAGGAGAAAACAGCTAACACATGTTTACATGCTCCATGCTCTATGTATATCACTGGTGGCTTATGTGTCAAATGAAGTGTTTGTCTCGATGCAGATTTTATTGGGTCCAAGTAACCGGAATGTCATCAGTCTGATACATTTCTACCAAAGTATTTCATATTTCTAGCTATAGCAATGAGGAATTGCTTCACTGAACAATTACTGTTACATATTGGGTTTTTTTCTGGTGGAGCTTTTGCTAAGTATTTTTTATTTTTACGCCATGATATTTTGTGTAAAATACTAGTATTGTATTGACCCCTTCACTACCAAGTTATTTTAATTAAAACATTGCATAACATTTATTTGGGATGTGGGGCGCATAGCTTGATAATTCATGCATTAGAGTTTGTCGCAAAACTAGGTAATACAAATATACAAAAATAAGTCCCGCACTCAAACTCCCACTACTCCTGGTCGGTAGCAATGACTATATTACACATCAGCCCCAATACACAATAAAAAACAAAGAAAAAAGTTACTTGGGTACTATCCCAAATCCCTATGCACATTTAAATAACTGTAGGTTTTTAGTATCACTCAAGTGGCCACTTGAGTGTAAGCTTACCTGTCATGTCAAGACTAACTTCTAAAATAAAAATAGGTAAGGTTATACAGTGAGAGCAAGATATCACTTCACTTCTTTTTGGAAAACTTAGAAGAATGGGCAGCTAAGTGCCAGATCTGAGTTTATATAGATAAATGTAAAGTTATGCATTTTGATGTGAGGAATGTACAAGCAATTTCTACCCTAAATGTCACTGAGTTAGGGAAAACAGTATATGAGGAGGACCTTCAAATAGTTAGACAACAGACTAAACAACGTGCAAGGTCATGTAGTATTTGTTATACATTACAAGGGGTATTACCGTTATTAACTTATTTACTAAACAATGACTTCTACCTGACTTCAGAAATTGAAAAGGTGGCTTTTGCTTTTTGGTGTGACTAACATAATAGTATAAATGAAATAATAATAGAAAACCAGTCAAGAGAAGTTTTGACATTGTCTCCCTTTCACTCACATTGTGTTGGAGATGTGAATTCTAAAACAAAAATTAAAATGTGGCAAAGCCATTAGAGTTTTACTGACTAACTTTCTTATTCCCACATACATATTTATTCAGTTGTGGGTAATGTATGCAATAGTGGGTGCAACAACTATCACAGTTCATGTCTCCATATTACGTGTAGTGAGCTGATGGCCTTTCAAAACTACCAGAATTCACCTAAAATGCCAATTAACCTGGATGATCTGTCTGTCTGGTCCATTCAACTTCCTTATCACATGTGCATTTTGATGTAGGTTAATGTGCATATTATTGCATATTATTGGGTTGGTGAAATTCAGCAAAATAGCATATCCTGCCCTTGCTTCTGTTCTCACTTCCTAATCTCCTAGGTGATTAAATGGGGATAACTAAATTATATTCCAGAGGGTCCTCAATCCCGTGACGTGTTATATGTCAACCATCCCTATTTTAAAGGAACACCCCAAACACCATACCCACTATAGCGTGTTTACTTTTAAATTGTTTGACTTCTTACCTAGGGTCTCTAGGTGCCTCTACATCTGACAGATAGCCGTAATCTACTCCTGCTGAGGAGCTTCCATTAGCTCTCTTAAGCTAAGTCCTGCAGTGCACAGCTAGCTTGTTAGCTGAGATTGCCAACTAATCACTCTCGGTTTAGAAGCTAAACTGTGGCTTAGCTCAGACAGAGTGCTTCTGGCTCTCTGTCAGCTGTAGTGGAAGCTGGGAGCTGCACCTGGAACACCTCAAGTAAGATGTCAATCCATTCTAAAATGGTTTGACTACTTCAAATGGCCATGTTGGTGCCAGGGCACTCCTGGATCCATAACCACTACATTGCACTGCAGAGTTTGTGGTGCTTAGAGTGCTACTTTAAGTGCAGTACTTATACATATATGATAGATGCTAACCAACATGGGTATTAGCATAATTAAAAAGTGTGTAGCTTTGTTAAAGCTTTGTTAAAATGTGTTAAAGATAATTAAAACACTATTTGCATATTGTATTTTGTGCTCAGGGAAGGGTATCTTAAATATATCAGGTAATACCCCAATTAGTTACATTGTTGCCTGAATCATCATTCTAGAACTGCAAAGTCTAATTAGTGACAGATACATAGAAAAACGTAATTTTTAGTTTTGAGAAGAGCATAATGTGATAATATGAGTACAATAACAGCCCCAACTATAATGTTAATGATGAAAATAATTGCTACCTGTTAAACTTTCTGTCTTATTTTCCTTTACATTTGTTTGGTGGCCTTTATACATTTTGATGTTTTTTTATTTCATTTTATAGGGTGCCAATGCTCTTGTTACATACACAATCATAAGTGGTGCAGATGACAGCTTCCGCATTGACCCAGAATCTGGAGACCTGATAGCTACAAGACGCCTTGATAGAGAACGCCGCTCTAAATATTCCCTGCTAGTAAGGGCTGATGATGGTCTTCAGTCCTCTGATATGAGAATAAATATCACAATAAGTGATTTGAACGATCACATTCCAAAATTCTCAAGGGCTGTCTATTCTTTTGATGTAGCAGAAGATACCATTCCAGGTAAGAGAAATTTAAATGATCTCTCTCTCATTCTTTTCATCTAAATCTCCAAAAATGCTGCACAGAAATAATGGTAATTGTAGTTAAAATACAAAAGTAGACAAAACAGAGGAAAACAAAATATGTGTGAAATGTGAATATTATCTGCCTTCATGTTATATAAGGACCATAATCACTACAGCTTTTTATAGTGGATATAGGGCTAAAAGTATTTGGGCATTTCACTCCCAGTATGTATTAAACTCATTGTGCGCTGTTGACAAAAAATGGGGCATATCAGCTATTGCAGAAACTGACTTCTTCATTAGTCCATTTGTTTTTCAGTAGCAGTGATAGGCTGAAATCAAGTTCTTGTCCCTTAACTACTACAATGAGCTGCCCCTTCAATTATGGATGGATTTTAAATGAACAGTAGAACAAAATCTGATAAATTATTGGGGGGGATGGTGTGGAGAATCCCTGCACAAATAGAGTTGTTAAACTACTCCGGTGCACTTTGAATCAATAAGTGTTATCAATAAGAGGTAGACAGTTGTACTTGACCCTTATATTACCACTATGGCATATTAAAACAGTGTCAGGTGGCCTTGTCATTTCCAAAGTTGCCTAGCATAATATTAATAATACGTAAGCTAAAATAATATTAGCACATTGCAATTGTCTTCTATTAAAATGAAGCCGATAACATAAAGTTTCTACCAAGATGAAGGTTATAGCCCAGACGATTACTCTATACATCTTTTTCTGTTTTTTTTTTTTTTTTTATATCTTTTATGTCACCTCCAATAACCATTACCACTACAAGACAACAACTGCACAGCATTATTGGATATTGTTTTATTTTTATTGTCATTATTTGGGGAGGTGGGACACATCAAATCACACATAAATCTTATTTTCTGCTTTTTCTAAACTTTGTTCCCCCCTTGTGTATTGGTGAAAGGTGTGTGAGTACAGCATTAGTAATAGTCGCATTTGCTTATCAAATAATTTATCAAACAGACCGTACTAGAATGCTCTAGATAACACGTGAATGATTATGTAAGATAGAGTTGAGACAGAAGGATGTGATAGACTAAAGTTGAAGACAGATGAATTCTAGAGAAGTTGCTATCAGAAAGGTGGGAATGATGAATGATAGATGGTATTGGGTGAGAGATGGAACAGATGGAACAGATGAAAGTATTGTGACGCACAGAAGGGCAAGGTGGATTGAAAGAAGGTAATTAATGGAAAAAAGTGGTCATAATACACAGTATAACTTGTCTGATTGTCTGCAAAGAGAATGCTTTCAGGCAACGTATGTCTACAAATATCCCATAAAGTTAGAAATTCAATAGCATCCAAAATTTAAACAATGTGTTTGCTTTAGATGGTTATTGCCGTCTGATTAACAGGGTTAATTTTAGTTTTTCATAACACAGCACTATCACTATTTTTATTATGATGCATTTATTGTTTCTGTTTGTTCCCAGGTTCCATAGTAGCTGCAATATTAGCCACGGACGATGACTCCGGTGTTAATGGCGAAATCACCTACACAGTGAGCGATGACGATGAAGATGGCATGTTCTTTCTGAATCCTGTTACAGGGGTGTTTAACGTAACCCGTGCATTGGATTATGAAATACAGCAGTATTATATTCTTACTGTGTGTGCAGAAGATGGGGGAGGGCAATCCTCATGTGTAAGGGTATATTTCAACATTTTAGATATAAATGATAACCCTCCAGTCTTCAGTTTGAGTTCCTACAGCACGTCTGTGATGGAAAATGTACCTCGTGGATCAACAATTCTCACATTTAATGTCACAGATGCTGATGAAGGTATGTGCCTTTTTTATTGTATAAACATATAACAAAACACATTGAATGCAATAAATAGTGACAATGATATTTATGTTCATGTCCCAAGTTGTTACAAAGGGCAGAGGCACGTAAAAATGAAAGGCTCATATAAACTGGCACATTTTCTACTCTCCAACAAGGATTTTGTTTCGGCAAGATTTATACGTTCTTTCTTTATGTATTTTTTTCACATTCTTATAAGTAATAATCCAAAGCAGATGAGTCTGGTGAGGTTATAACTTTCTTATTTATACCTTACATCTATCACTGCATTACATAAGTGTAACTCATTGTATAGTTAGACCTCTATTAAAAAGCATAGGTATAGAAAACAAAATCGTGAGAAAACTATAGAGTTAGACCTCTATTAAAAAGCATAGCTATGGAAAGAAAACCATCAGAGTTATGTATTAAAACAGTAACTGGCCAAAGATTTGCTCTTTAAGGCTAAGATAACAGAACTTAAAAAATATTCAATTCGACTATCATTTTAAAACTTTGCTATGTTGATATAAAATGTGTAGTTCCTTTGTCAATTTTCTGTTTAGTGAATAATCTTCAGTTTTATTTACTAATCTGTGATTTTTCAGAAATAGGCAAGAAGTTTCAAATTATAATTCAGAATAACCATACTAGGACATCTCTCTCTCTTTCTCTGTAGATACCTGTAGGAGTTATTTACTAAAAAGCAAACTGTTGAATTCCTCCTTGAAAAAAATAATAGAATTGGAAAATAATATCTTGCTTAGCCAAGCTACAGAATGTGATTACCTCTGCTATTTTTTTCTCAGTAGTCCACTAATCACAAAGTACAACTGGGAGCTTTGTCCATAGAACCTTTATATTATATGATATTTTCACATGCAATGAAATGCACCTGATAATGTATACAACTACACTCTCCCGTGAAGGTTTGTGCACAGTTTGGATTTGTAGTAAATGTGCCAAGGTGGTGGTTGACAGGATATACTTTCATATACAAGCCATTCCAGTTTCAAATTAATCTTTAATTCACTACGTGAAAAAACACAGTGTTTGGACATCATTGTCGTCATTGGAGCATGTTAAAGACATATGCCTAATGTGTCCATTTCTGCAGAATACATTAATATTAAATCAACCTAGGAGGCAAAAGCTGCAGTCAATCTGAAAACCTGAGTCTGCTTATTTACATTTTGCTGTATGGAGAAAACCCAGCATTGCATATCTACAATGTTCACACTAATTCTTCTTCCAGGGAACTGTTTGTTCAACAAACCTCAACTCGTATATTAACCTATTCACTTTCAGGCATGTAAAACAAGGATGCTTGGAAAAACGAACAAATATGCAGTTGTTTTTTTTTTACTTTGTTTTGGGAAAATAAGCAGGGCTAAACTAGTAATAGTTGGGTTTTGATCAGTTAAATGTACATTTGCAGCCATGCCAGCCAACCTGCAAATAAATAGCAAAGTTTGAGAAATTTCTGAATTTGGCTATTTTACATTCTGAAATTCTCTTGTTTATAGTTTCTTTCAATTCCCATTCAAGTTATTAACCCTCAAAGTGTTAGTGAATTTATGGTAATATATGGTTTCATTTTTCTTTCCATCTGTTTAAAAGGATAAGGAATATATATACACTCAAATCCAGTCAAGTGGAGCCTTCACTCCATGTTCTGACTTTGGACATCCTCACACTTTGCATCCCAATATAAAAACATTTTGTTAATGCTTTCCTATGGGAAGGAATAAAGCAGGCACATTGCACACCAGGCGTGTTAGGTTCCCCCATCAGCGTGACTTTGAAGGAGTAGAAGACTGATCCAGCTCTGAGGGAATACAGTTACCTAACACTATAGGGTTCCTTTAAGCAGAGATGGGATAGTAGCAACGTGCTCCTACAAGTGTAACTAGTCAGCAAATTACAAATCACAGAGTTGTAGCTGAATCCTAAAGGCAAGCCATGTAAGTTGGTTAAATTAACGATACTAGGATAGATACTCCCTATGTTTTATCTTGAAAACTTCTATAGGGAAAAAATCGTTTGGCATCATTGAGCTGTCAACAGTTACAAATGTTAAAATACATCATGTGCAGTAGCAGGATGCAGAATCTTTTGGAATCACTCCATACTAACCAGTGGGGTTTAATAATACTGTCTGCCTACCCCTACAATCCCTGCGTGGTGGGATGTGGTTTAATATTGAAGAGTGTTAGTATCATAGAAACCCACCTTGACTTTACCCTTTTCGTGAGCTCTCACTTTGCTTTTCGCTCCATGAGCAGTGAAGTGACAATACATACAGTGGGGAATATTGTTTTCTATGTTTTGAGATGGGGCAGTGAAATTATGGGATACAGGATATACCATTCCTGACCCTTTGAATGTGAGTACAATGGGTGCTGTGAAATAGGGATCCTTGATCTTTGTGACAATATTAAGGCCAACTTCCCCACTGTAGATAAAGTTCTAGAGAACTGCTCATTTCCCATTGCCAAACCAATGGATACTTAAATAAGTAGCACTACAAAAAGCAGTAACACCTTAATAGGTAACAATCCAAATGCACAACTACAGTTAAAGATCTTAATAAAAACATTTTATCAAGTGGGATAAAAATGATATACAAGCAGCAACAGTATGACATTGTAGGCAAGGGTTGGCAGCATAAATTACCATAACTGAGAGTCCATATATTGGATCCACGCCAAATCCAATTGTCTGAAACCTTGCTGGGTCTGTGGAACACCTGTAGCCAGGTAAGTTCCCAGCTAGTATCTCCAGTAGGTAAAGTGCATATAAAGTTCCTGCACAAAGTCTGCTCTGTAAATTGCAGACGAGAGCTCAACTTACTGACACCAGAGTACTTTTTCTGCTGACCCACATTAAAATAACACTGCAGTGTGATCTGTCCTAGTGCATCTGGTCACTGCCAGAAAGGTTGTGTCCAGAGTGTCCTTCTCAACGCATTCTGTCTAGTTGGACTTTCTCAAGATGGACATATTAATATCTAAATGCTCCTTCCAATCAGGGTCCAAGAGGGAGAATTTAAAGTCATTTTCACTCATCTAAGGTGTAGACCACAAACTTCTTTGCAAAATGACCGGGTGCAAGGTTAGACAAAGATATCTTTTGATCTTCCTACCAGTCCACAGAGCTGCAGAGCAACCCATCTGCTGCAGTAAAATAGAGTGTGCTATATTATTAAATATAGGATATATACCATCCTATGATAATTCCAGTATATTATATGCTCATCTGAACTCACTGTTGTCATAAGTGTTTTCTCTACTGTAACTGTACAGTATAAAAATTGCAGCTGTACACTTTTAATGTTATCTCTTTAACCTTTCCCTCTATCTTTAGTACCTGTGTAATGTGGTTTATACTGTAATCATACAAGTTTCCTGAACACTGGCCTTCATAGTACTACACCCTTCCCATTCATGATAGGCAATGATTAATGCCTTCAGGAATCTACACAAAAGAACTCTCTGCTATTCAGGAAGCATCCACGTATACAAGTCATGAATATTTACAACAATGATATTCCAAGTTTAATTCCAGGGAAAAGCCTCACAGCAGCTTGCTGGTGCCTACTGTGGTGTTACAAATCAGTAACCACATTAATCTCTCTATGTCGCCCTACTGCACACATTCTCTATTTATCTTTTTTTACAAACGCTATGTGCTATTATATTTTCATGCTCAGAAATTGCCTTTTTTTCTGCAGTGGAGAAAAAGTATAATTTCAATGTATATTACTTTTGCAGAAATATATTGATTGTCAGTAGATAAATGTTTTTAATAGAAGCATTGATTGCATTAAGCTTTTTATTGATTTAAGTTTTATTGGTCTAATATACTGCTTCTACTTGAAATTTGAGGATATGGCAATTTGAAAGTGGACCTGCCATGTGCCAAATGTTGTTTTTTATTTTATTTTATTTTTTATTATAACAGATGCCTCAATTTAATATGTTTGGATTAGCTTTGCAAATGATTTATTATTTTTATTATTTACTACTTTTTAAATATAAAAAATATATAATAAATTAAAATAAATATATATATATATATATATATATATATATATATATAAAAATATATATATAAAATATCAAAAAAAAATTTCATAATTGTAAACAAATATTGTTTGAGAAAGCTTATCTAAAAATATAAAATCAAGGCCAAAGTTACAACTTATAACAATGAATCTGTACTTTCTTCTATTCACATTGCTAGAAAATATATTGATTACAAATATTATCTAAAGAGATAATTAACCAGCCAGTTTGGCAAGAACTATGTTGTAGACATTAAAAATGATTTGCTGTATTTTGATACCAAGTTATATCATCAGGGCAGATATACATTAAATGTATTATAATATGCAATGAATATATTCACAATAGCATATATTTTTTTTAAATCTTTCTCTAGACAAGTTGACAAGCATTCCAAACAATTAGCCTAATTGATTCTCTAGCAAAATCTAACTAGCATTCAGGCCAGTTTAAATCTTTCCTAAACCCTAAAGCTGCTTTTATTAATCTGGCCTTGTGTGCTTTGCCCAGGAACCTGACAATGCTTTGTAATAGATTCTCTTCTCGTATTACTTGTATTACTATTTAATTATGATTATGTTATAATAACACAGCCTGTATCAAAATACATAATATATCATACAAGAAAGAAAATGTACATGGAAAAAAGATAACTGTTAGTATGTCTGCAGTTATAACCTATTAAATAGGAAATACTCTGCAGCTCTTACCAGTTATCCTTACAGGTACAGACAGTGATGTATATATGTTTCTATGCCTTCACTAATGCCCCCATTCCCACATAGTTTGCAGGCTCAAACTTATCCAACTAGCCATCCACTTAGTATGCATTCATACAAAGACACACAATCACACATATAAGACAAAAAATCATATACAGTATCACATACATACATTGACAAACATGCACAATAAGATACATACATGCATAGGCACACTATCACACACAGTCATACACATACATACACAGACATACAATAACACATATATATTTAATCACTATCACACACGGCCATACACATACATACATACACAGATACAATTGCACATATACATTGAATCACTTTCACACACAGTCATACACATAAAAAGACAGACATACATTTACACATATACATTGAATCACTTTCACACAGTTATACACATAAAAAGACAGACATACAATTACACATATATATTGAATCACTTTCACACACAATCATACACAGACATACAATTACACATATACATTGAATCACTATCACACACAGTCATACATATACATACACAGACATACACTTACACATATATATTGAATCACTTTCACACACAGTCATACACAGACATACAATTACACATATACATTGAATCACTATCACACACAGTCTCAAACATATGTAGGTATATAGACACACACACACCTAAACCGAGTCACATACAGGGCCGGATTAACATAGGGGCTGATGGAGCTGCAGCTCCAGGCCCAGGCCCAGGCCCATGGAATAGGCCCATTGATTTAAAAAAAAAAAAAAAAACACACTTTTCACACACTTCTTTTTTCACACTTTTATTTACTTTTAGGGATTCCACATGGCTTTTATTTTATTGGCACAGCCAGTATTTGAGGCTGCCTGGCTGGTGCCAATATTGCAGTGATACTGGCAAAATAAATGCTGGTATTTTTCTCAGTATAAATGGAGATTACTCTGCAATACCAGCACTGGCCAGTAGAGGTCGCTGTGTATGTCGAGACAGGCAGGGATAGGAAGTTCCAGCATATCCCTCCCTGCCTATCTATACTCACTGATCTGCAAGGGTGCAGCTACAGAGAGTCCAGACAGCAACTACCACCCTGCAGAGACAGCCTACAGCTCAGGGAAGTAAGGGATGGGGGAAAAGGCTGCAAGGAGACATACACTGAGACACTAAGGGGCACTGGGAGACATTATGGCAGACACTGAGCCACTAAGGGACATTGGGAGACAGTATGGCAGACACTGAGACACTAAGGGACATTGGGAGATATTATGGCAGACACTGAGACACTAAGGGACACTGGGAGACATTATGGCAGACACTGAGACACTAAGGGACATTGGGAGACATTATGGCACAGACACATGGGGACATAGTGTCCCCATGTCTCCCAGCCAGTGTCCCTGGTGTCTCAGTGCCCCCTAGTCTCCCAGTGACCCCTAGTCTCCCAGTGCCCACAGTCTGCCAGTGCCCACAGTCTGCCAGTGTCTCACTATCCCCATGTCTCCTATTGCCTCAATGTCTCTCAGTGCCTCAAGTGTCACAATGTCCCCAAGCTAGTGTTCCTAGTGTCTGTGGCCCTGGTGTCTCAGTGTCCCCATGTCTCCCAGTGCCCCCATGTCTCAATGTCCCCATGTCCCCCAGTCAGTGTCTCTAGTATCTTTGTCCCTGTTGTCTGTGTCCCCATGTCTTCAAGTGTCCCCTATTTTCCCATTGTCCCCATGTGTCCCCCTAGTCTCCCAGTGTCACTGGTGTCTCCTTGTCCCTAGGTCTCCCCGTGTCCCCAGGTCTCCCCGTCTTCCTAGTGTCCTAGTGACATGGGGACCCTGGGATACATGGGGACACAGGGAGACATGGGGCATTGAGACACTGATACATAGGATCACTGGGAGACCTGGGGACACAACATTAGGGGACACTGGGAGACATGGGGCACTGAGACACTGATACAAAGGAACACTGAGACCTGGAGTAATCGACACATGGGGGCACTGAGTCATGAGGGCACTGGGAGACATGGGGGCACTGGGAGGAATCCATCCATACAGCAGATTTAAACTAAGTAGTTTTTTGGTGATTTTACAGCATTTTCTCTTATGTCACTCCTTGTGATTTACATCATGTGATGTCACCCACACATATTTAATTATGCAAATTAGTAAGGCCGGTATGTTTTTCCAAGAAAGGTGGCAACCCTAACTACTTTTCACATACTCTTACTTAAGTATGGAAACTTAAGAGGGATGTATGGGAGCAACATTTGTGTGGACTGGCTGACAATGAATATAGGTAAAGAAACACTATAGTCTCCAGAACAACTACAGCTTATTGAATTTGTTCTGGTGAGTAGAATCATTACCATCAGGCTTTTTGCTGTAAGCATGGTCTTTTCGGAGAAAATGCTGTGTTTACATTACATACTAGTGATAACTTCACTGGCCACATGACTGTTAGAGATCCTCCCTGGGTCATGGCTGCCTAAAATGCATCCAAACATTCAGTATCTCCTCCCCCTGCATGCAGACACTGAACTTTCCTCATAGAGATTCATTAATTAAATTCATCTATATAAGGAGATGCTGATTGGTCAGGGCTGTGTTTGAATCATGCTGGCTCTGACCCTGATCTGCTTCTTTGTCAGTCTCAGCCAATCCTATGGGAAAGCACTGTGATTGGATCAGGCCACCACTTCTAATGATGTCAGCAGACTGCTTGTTTTTATGAGCCTAACAGCATGCAGAGTTACAGCTTCAGGCTTGAATATAGTAGGATTTTGCTATATTTATGGAGGCATGTGGGGCCCAGGGGGCTAGATGGTGGTGTTAACACTATATGGTCATGAATTCATGTTTGTGTTCCTGACCCTATAGTGATCCTTTAAGGTAATGCTGACTTTGGTCTCTCTAACACTGTGGCATGTTCCCTTTCTTCTACACTCACTACATACAGCTTTTCTCTGTCCCAGACCATATACCAGGAGCTTCTGCCTGCTAGTAAGAAGGTTAGGAGACAAGTGGACCAGCGAGTGCTAGGGGACAGTCCTTAGAAAGCGTTGAGCGAGCGCATCATTAGATGCATTTATGCCAAGCTCAGGGTGCTGTCTGCATAGTATGCCCTTTGTTGGCCAGCTGCATGATTGGCAGGCAGCCTGACATGCATTCATGCCAGGCTGGCCTTCTAATTCTTTGAGCAGACATGTCCTCTTTTTGGGCATGTTCGCCCCTTTTGGCAGGTTACGTGATTTGTGTCAGTGGCACACCCTTTTACCATGCCCATTGACTTCCTGCTTGACTGGGCACTGCTGTTAGGGGTTATGGATTACTTGAAAGATGAAAACATAAATTAGAGAGAGATTAGCCTAGGGTATGTGTTTTCTTATAGCTGCTGTTTTCTTTCTCTCCAGCACCATCTCCATCTCCATCAGATACATGATGCTTGGGAGTGCTTTACTGTTTTTGGTCGATATGATTCTGTAATTAGGCCCGTCATAATTGTCAGCACCAGGCCCACTGGGCTCTTAATCTGGCCCTGGTCACATACTCACACAAAAACTCCCTCCTCATCCCTAGCTAACCTTAGTCAGAGCTATAGAGGGGTGAGGAGATGGATCATAATTATTGAAGATCAGGGTGTCTAGTGGGAGGAAGCAGGAGACCTATGCATTGGCTTGCACAGAATTTCCTGCTCCCACCACCCATGTCAGTGGCCATTTAAAAAAACTTGGGGTGCCAGTTTCTCACTTCACGCTCAGTGCCTAGCCTTGCAGAGTAACTTCCAATTCACAAACCTATCTTTTGCTCTCTTTTAAAAGGCCACATTCCACGCTAACCTCCAGTTGTGCTACTTTCCCACCTCATTGCTTGGTTGCTATCCCCCACTACGCCCTCCTATTGTGTTTTTATACTCCACCTCATCTAGATTGTAATTTAATTTTTTGCAGGGTCCTCATCAACCTATTGTTCCTGTATCATTTTGTAATTGTCACATTTATTGTAACGTTTCACCCTTTATAATATTGTAAAATGCTGCGGAATAAGTTGGCGTTATGTAAATGCAAATAATAATAATAATAATAGTCATGATGCAATGCATCACATAAGATGCCAAAAATAGTGGAAGATAAAACAATCCTGGTACCCCCTACATTCTGACACAGTTGGCCCAGATCTACTTAGCTTAGGCCAATGTACATCCCTGGGTGTAGAGTACATTATCTGTTTAAAAACCCCTTAAGGACACATGACATGTGTAACATGTCACGATTCCCTTTTATTCCAGAAGTTTGGTCCTTAACAAAGCAAACAACTAATTCAATGTACTCTATTGCCTTATCTGTTTATCTGCTGTCCACCCAACAATGTATTTTATAGTTCTATTTAAAGAGAGGATTTAAATGTATTTTTACTATTACTGAAGAATAGCCATGAGTGTTTGTAAAAGCTTTCAGTCTATATTTGTGTATCTCATAAAAATCATGTTTAATTTGCTTGTTTTTAAAAATTCTAATCAAATACTTTAGAAAGATTGTGTGTTGAAAAAAAAGGAAAATAACAACAAATAGAAACTGAACTTAATTTTTGAAAATAACCAGGCGATGCTGGGGCATGTAGCTTAGTTCTCTTACTATGGTTTTTATAAAGTCTAATCATGGACAACAACATCAAGTAATATATAACATCCATACCACTGATTTTATTAAATCCAAATTTGTTGATTTCTCTTTATACATTATGTAGGAATATTTGTACAAATTTGGAACGACATCAAAGACACATTTTTTTTTTACCAGATGCTTCACAGCCCCAGTTTATCTTTTTACTCAAAAGGAATCATATAAACGTATGAAAAAATGAAAAATCTTATTAGAGGATTATTTACTAAAGAGTGGATACATATAAACATGAAAACAAAACGTGGTAGTAAAAATGTCTGTGGTCAGAGGGTCGAAAAGGGCATGAACCCGGGTATATTGTACATGTAAATATAATTTAAAAAATGAAACCAAACTATATACACTAGAAATGTAACTGATTGAGGACATTTTCTGACTCTGCTTGTTTGTAATATTTTATAGATAGTCGTTAAGTCACTTTGAATCACAAAACTCCAAAGTGTATTTTGTTTTTGTTAAATATATTATTTCGGGGGATGAGTCATTAAACAGTGAATTGGTAAATAAATAGATCTCAAAGTTAAATAGTTATTTATATTATATTATTGTTTTTTTTCTTTCTATGCAGGCTTGAACTCCAAGTTATTTTATAGCATATCCTCTGGAGATAGCATGGGCCAGTTTCAAATTACCAATAATGGTGCCTTAGTCATTCGTCAGTCCTTAGATCGGGAAAGCCAATCATTCTACAGTCTAGTGGTTCAAGTTCATGACTTGGCCCCTGCTCATCTGACAAGATTCACAAGCTCAGTTGAAGTATCTATCATTTTGTTGGATGTAAATGATAACGCACCAAGCTTCGTGTCCCCAAAACTGACTTATATTCAAGAGAACACTCCCACAGACACCATTGTATTCAGAGCACAAGCTACTGATCCAGACAGTGGCCCAAACTGTTACATCCAGTATTCTTTGCTTAGTTCTCTGGGAAACAAATTTACCATTGGAAATATTGATGGTGAAGTGCGTTTAATTGGGGAACTGGATCGTGAAGACGTTTCCAATTACACCTTAACTATTATAGCTAAAGATAAAGGAGAACCATCCCTTTCTTCCAAAATGGATGTTGTAGTCATAGTACTTGACATCAATGATAATAACCCTAGCTTTTCCCAAAATGAATATAAAATTGAAATTAGTGAAAACACTTTAACTGGAACTGATCTCATTCAAGTGATTGCTTCAGATGCAGATGAAGGTGTCAATGGTATGATCCGCTACTCTATCATTGATGGAAATCCAAGTGGTGAATTTAGGATTGATACAGTAACAGGAGTAATCTCAATTACCAAACCATTGGATCGGGAGAGAAAGTCATCTTACTCACTGACCATCCAGTCTTCGGATCGAGGAAGTAACCCTCGCACTGATACAGCGACAGTCAACGTTCTTTTGTCTGATATAAATGATGTCGTTCCTAAATTTGAATTATCACCATATTCAGTCAATGTTCCAGAAAATTTAGAGAGGTTGCCAAAAATTATCCTTCAGGTCAGTAAATTAAACATTTTATTTTATAGAACAATTAAAAGAAATGATTATGAGGAGGCAATGCTAGTCTTTATTGAGGGGAATTGTATAGCCATCCTGTAACTATCTAGATTTCCTCTACATAATGCATTTATCTTGGTTATATATATATATGATATGAATGGTTAAAGTACTTAATTAGTGGGAATTACATGTGACTACTTCAATAGTTGTTGTAATTTGCATACAAGTGTGTTATGCATTACTTTTGTCTGACTAATACAAGATAAGGGAAAATGAAAAATATCTCCATCTCAGATGAATTGTGCCATCATCTCATTATTTAGTTAATACTTTCTTATGGTAATAAACATAGTCAGAATCTTTAATATAACATAGAAACATAGAAACATAGAAACATAGAATGTGACGGCAGATAAGAACCATTCGGCCCATCTAGTCTGCCCAATTTTCTAAACACTTTCATTAGTCCCTAGTCTTATCTTATAGTTAGGATAGCCTTATGCCTATCCCACGCATGCTTAAACTCCTTTACTGTGTTAACCTCTACCACTTCAGCTGGAAGGCTATTCCATGCATCCACTACCCTCTCAGTAAAGTAATACTTCCTGATATTATTTTTAAACCTTTGTCCCTCTAATTTAAGACTATGTCCTCTTGTTGTGGTAGTTTTTCTTCTTTTAAATATAGTCTCCTCCTTTACTGTGTTGATTCCCTTATATATTTAAATGTTTCTATCATATCCCCCCTGTCTCGTCTTTCCTCCAAGCTATACATGTTAAGATCCTTTAACCTTTCCTGGTAAGTTTTATCCCGCAATCCATGAACCAGTTTAGTAGCCCTTCTCTGAACCCTCTCTAAGGTATCAATATCCTTCTGAAGATACGGCCTCCAGTACTGTGTACAATACTCCAAGTGAGGTCTCACCAGTGTTCTGTACAATGGCATGAGCACTTCCCCTCTTTCTACTGCTAATACCTCTCCCTATACAACCAAGCATTCTGCTAGCATTTCCTGCTGCTCTATTACATTGTCTGCCTACCTTTAAGTCATCAGAAATAAATCCCTTTCCTCAGATGTTGAGGTTAGGACTCTATCAAATATTCTGTACTCTGCCCTTGGGTTTTTACGTCCAATATGCATTATCTTGCACTTATCCACATTAAATGTCAGTTGCCACAATTCTGACCATTTTTCTAGTTTACCTAAATCATTTGTCATTTGGCTTATCCCTCCTGGAACATCAACCCTGTTACATATCTTAGTATCATCAGCAAAAAGACATACCTTACCATCAAGACCTTCTGCAATATCACTAATAAAAATATATATAAAGAGAATGGGTCCAAGTACAGATCCCTGAGGTACCCCACTGGTGACAAGTCCAAGCTTCGAATATATTCCATTAACTACAACCCTCTGTTGCCTGTTACTCAGCCATTGCCTTACCCATTCAACAATATTTGAATCCAAACTTAAAGATTGCAGTTTATTGATAAGCCTTCTATGTGCAACAGTGTCAAAAGCCTTACTGAAATCTAGGTAAGCAATGTCTACTGCACCACCCTGATCTATAATTTTAGTTACCCAATCAAAAAAATCAATAAGATTTGTTTGGCATGATCTCCCTGAAGTAAACCCATGTTGTCTCTGATCTTGAAATCCATGTGTTTTAGATGTTCATCAATCCTATCCTTTAACATGGTTTCCATCACTTTCCCTACTACTGAAGTAAGGCTTACTGGCCTATAGTTGCCCGACTCCTCCCTATTACCTTTCTTGTAAATGGGCACAACATTCGCTAACTTCCAATCTTCTGGGACTACTCCTGTTAACAATGATTGGTTAAATAAATCTGTTAATGGTTTTGCTAGTACACCACTAAGCTCTTTTAATAGCTTTGGGTGTATTCCATCAGGTCCCATTGACTTATTTGTCTTTACTTTTGACAGTTGAAATAGAACCTCTTCCTCTGTAAACTCACGTGTAATAAATGACTCATTTATCCTTTTTTTCAACTGAGGTCCCTTTCCTTCATTTTCTATCTGTAAATACAGAACAAAAATATTCATTGAGGCAGTCAGCCTGACCTTTATCCTCTTCTACATACCTTCCTTCTTTTGTTTTTAATCTAACTAATCCTTGTTTTACTTTTCTTTTCTCATTTATGTATCTAAAAAATGTTTTATCCCCCTTTTTTACTGACTGTGCTATTTTCTCTTCTGTGTGTGATTTGGAAGCTCTTATAACTTGCTTAGCCTCTTTCTGCCTAATCTTATAGATCATTTTGTCTTCCTCACTCTGGGTTTTTTTATAATTCCTAAATGCTAACTTTTTGTTTTTAACTATTTTGGCCACATCTGCGGAGTACCACAGTGGTTTCTTGAATTTTTTGCTTTTACTGACAAGCCTAATGCAATTTTCTGTTGCCTTCAATAGTGCAACTTTTAAATAATCCCATTTTTCTTGGACTCCATTTAAATTGCTCCAGTCTGATAATGACTCCTCTACCCATATTCTAATTTTAGAAAAGTCTGTTTTTCTAAAGTCTAAAACTTTTGTTTTTGTGTGGTGTGACTCAGTCACTGTTCTTATATTAAACCACACTGACTGATGATCACTGGATCCTAAACTTTCACCTACAGTAACATCTGATACCAAATCTCCATTTGTTAACACTAAATCTAGTATGGCCTCTTTACGAGTCGGCTCCTCAACAACTTGCTTTAGAGACAACTCCAGTAGGGAGTTTAGAATATGTGTGCTCCTGGCACAAGTAGCTAATTTTGTTTTCCAATTTACATCAGGAAGATTAAAGTCACCCATGATGATAACTTCCCCTTCATTGTCATTTTAGCTATTTCCTCAACTAGTAGATTATCTAACTCTTCAATTTGTCCAGGGGGCCTATAAATCACACCTACACGAGTTACTGTGTGATTACCAAATTCTAACGTAGCCCAAACGGACTCTATGTTTGCCTCACTAACTTTTATTAGGCTAGATTTTATGCTATCCTTCACATACAAGGCCACCCCTCCCCCTTTCTTGCCTTCCCTATCTTTCCTATATAAAGAGTACCCTGGTATTGCTATGTCCCAGTCATTTTTCTCATTGTACCATGTCTCAGTAACAGCGACTAAATCTACACTATCAGTTGCCATTATTGCCACAAGTTCATGGATCTTATTCCCTAAACTGCGAGCATTTGTAGACATGACTCTAAGCTTATCATTTTTAACACACTTGCTACAGGCACCTTCTGTCCTTGTTTTGGGGGACAATTGGATTGATGTTTTATCACCCTTTTGCCCCCCTCCTAGTTTAAATACATCCTAGCAAAACCTCTGAACTGCTCACTGAGAACATTTGTTCCCTTTTGAGAAAGATGCAAACCATCTTTTTTGTACAGCTTATCTCCATTCCAAACAGAGCTACCATGAGAAATAAAGCCAAATCCTTGCTCCTGACACCATTCACCAAGCCACAAATTAAAGTCCCTAATACGCATCCGCCTGTCATTCTGAGTGTTATGCACAGGCAGAACTTCAGAGAATGACAGTGTGGAAGCAACCTGCCGTATATCATTGGCAAAAACACTAAAAACTTCCTTAACCTCTGAAACCTCATTGCAAGCCAAGTCATTTGTCCCTAGATGGACAAGTACATCCAATTCCCCTTCCTGCTTTGCTTGCTTAACAATATTACAGATACGTCTCCTGTCTCTGTGAGCACCACATGAAGGTCTATGCTGTCATGCAGTGCAGGGCTCTATGTTAACAGCATAGACCATCATGCATTAAACATTCCAACCTCCTCTTAGTTTAAACCGTTTACAGCTTTAGTTTGGTTGTGGCTGCTGCTTTTGGAGTATATCTCAACCACTGTATGTCTTTTTTGTTTGTATTTATCACCTCAATTTAAAACAGGGAGCCCCAGATATTGTTCATTAGGTTGTGGTCCACCCTGTCAGCTGAAGCTACAATTAGTGGCCCCAGACTGACAGATGAGCTATGTGCAGTACTCAACATGAGCACTGCGTGTGGCCCTTTAAGTCCCTTTAAATTGCTGTGGCTATGGGATCGCACTCAGATGCAGCGATTCAGAGTCTGCCCCTTTATGAAAGACTATCCCCGGGTTATAAAAATACCCTGGTGAGTTCTCCCTGCATGTCCCCCTGACAACCTAGTGATTGGTGTTGGACATTGCCAGCTGTTCAGCACTAACTATAGTTTCAGGAGCAGCAGCATCAGGGGGAGATATCACTTACATTTTGCAATCACAATGTACAAAGTGCTCTATCTGCACCGTGTTAGCTGTGAAAAGGTATACTTTCAGGGTATCATTGCACTTGAGATCATAGAAAGTATACAAATATAGGGTGTTTACAGTAGCGAGACACACTTGGTTTGTGAATTTTCCCAAAATACAACACGTGTTAAAAATACGGCAAAATGTAATCTTTTGACTGATGTTTGTGACTGTATGGTTAAATGAAAGTGTAAAAATGATTTTAGTTACATTGCCTGGGTGATATACTTCCTGCAAATATATACGTTTGTGTAGCGCAGGCATGTCAAACTCGCATGCGGCCCACAATGAACATATTTGCGGCCCATCGAGCCGCGAGTATATGCTTTATGTTAAAGCAGAGTAGGCACTTGCTTTCTCCACAGTGCAGGTGCCTACTCTGCTAAAATTTACCCGGCCGGAAAGGAAGCAGGATGCTGGCAGCAGCAAGGGAGCTCAGTCTTCCTGCTCCTCACCTCTCCCTCGCCCTCTGTAGTGATGCTGGGTGCAGGAATGTGACGTCATATTCCGGCACCCAGCATCACTAAACTGCACGCAAGGGAGCAGTGAGGAGCAGGAAGGAGATCTCCAGATAGAAGATCCCCACTGGACCCCAGGGAATGATGTGAGTGTGTGCAAGAATGTGTAAATGTGTGTATGTGTCTGTCAGTGTGTGTCTGTCAGTGTGTGTGTGTGTGTCTGTCAGTGAGTGTGTGTGTGTGTGTGTCTGTCAGTGGGTGAGTGTGTGTGTCTGTCAGTGAGTGAGTGTATGTCTGTGAGTGAGTGAGTGTGTGTGTATGTGTCAGTGAGTGTGTGTGTGTCTGTGTGTCTGTCTGTGTGTCAGTGAGTGTGTCTATCTGTGTTTGTCAGTGAGTGTGTCTGTGTCTTTGTGTGTATGTCTGTCAGTGTATTTCTGTGTGTGTGTGTGTGTCAGTGTGTGTGTATATGTCAGTGAATGTGTGTATCTCAGTAAGTGTGTGAGTGTCAGTTTGTGTGTGTCAGTGAGTGTGTGTGTGTCTGTGTCTGTCAGTGTGTGTATGTGTGTGTGTCAGTGAGTGTGTGTGTCTGTGTGTCAGTGAGTGTGTCTGTGTCCGTCAGTGTGTGTATGTGTGTGTGTCGGTGACTGTGTGTGTCTGTGTGTGTGTGTCAGTGAGTGTGTGTGTATCTGTGTCTGTCAGTGTGTGTATGTATGTGTGTCGGTTAGTGTGTGTGTCAGTGAGTGTGTATGTGTCTGTGTCTGTCAGTGTGTGTATGTGTGTGTGTGTCAGTGAGTGTGTTTGTGTCTGTCAGTGAGTGACTCTGTGTGTGTGTGTGTCTGTCAGTGTGTGTGTGTGTCAGTGAGTGTGGGTCAGTGAGTGTGTGTGTGTTGGTCAGTGTTGCGATGGCCGTGGCTGGACAGTGGAGTACCTGGAGGTGCACAGAGGCACACAACGCCATGTCACATTCCGACTTGACATCGACATGCTCTATACCTTCGCAGGGTTTCAAGAAGTAGCGGGAGGATTCCCTTTGGCACAGGGTGCTGATGGTGCTATTTGGGGTATACCAGAAGCTGGACTCCGGAGTCGCATACTGGCAGCGGCAATGGGAGTGGAGTCTGCTTGTTGGCTAGATGGGGGTGCTGGGATTTAGTAGAGGGGGGATGGACTGGGATTTAGTTTAGGGAGAGGACTGGGATTTAGTATAGGGAGAGGACTGGAATTTAGTAGAAGGGGGTGCTGTAGTTTAGTAGAGGGGGATGCTGTTTTTTTATACTCTACTTTTCAAACCTACGTTTTCATGAAAATTTAAGTTTTTTGGGGGTTTTTTTCGGCCCACATAAGCCTAAACCTTGTTTATTTTTCCCGTGCTAGACTTTGAGTTTGACATGCTTGGTGTAGAGGTTTTGGATTCTGTAACTACTATGAAAGTTGTAATCATAGCATGCCAACATTTGCAAAGCTTTAAATTAGTAATTTACTCCTTACAGTATTTGATTTATAACTTTCAAAAATCAATTGCAACCCAGGCACATTGGGCATTTTACAAAATGTGTTTTTGTTTTCCTTTCCTTTCCTTTTTTTTTTTTTTTTATATTTTATTCATATTTAATATTGTGATATATATATATATATATATATATATATACAATTTTGTAAATAGAGCTTTCTATTTATTTCTATATTTGTATATATATGGATGGGGTTTTCAATCACAATTTTTTCCCCAACGTAACTTTTTTGTTTTTTGCTTCACAAGTACTGCAAATCCTCAATAGGAAGCCAGTAACCAACCTCATGCTGATGATTTGCATTAACAATGAAACCGCTGTCCATGAGTGGTTCACTGACTTTGCATCTTTTCCTAAGTTGTTTTTCAAAGCTGTTGGATACAACAAACACTGACTCAAAGGAATCCATGTTTAAAATGGAATGAGGCAAAAATGTGATTCTTTGTGGAACTAATTTGCATATGCCCACCCAGAATCCTTTGCGGTAGTAACATCATTGCAAATTTGTGATTTCTGTGGGAAACGCAAGTCTTATGGCTTAACTGGTGTACATGGTTTTGTTTAACAGTGTATCGAATATATATATATATATATATATATATATATATATATATATATATATATATATAAATCCAAATAGGTTATGGTGGGGAAAAATTGTGATTGAAAACCCCTTCCACCTGAAGTATGTGGATAGTTAATACAATGCTAAACAAAAATCTGCACACCAGTCAAGCCATAAGACTTGCTTTTCCCACAGAAATCCCAAATCAGCAGTGATGTTACAACCGCAAAGGATTCTGGGTGGGCATATGCAAATTAGCTTAACAAAGAATCACATTTTTGCCTCATTCCATTTTAAACATGGATTCCTTTTAATTTGTGTTTGCAGTATACAACTGCTTGGAACACAATTTAGGATAAGATGCAAAACCAGTGAACCACTCATGGACAGCTGTTTCGTTGTTAATGCAACTCTTCAGCATGAGGTTGGTTACTGGTTTGCTAATTGAGGCTTGGTAGTGCTTGGGAAGCAAAATCTAAATAGGTTATGGTGGGGAAAAATTGTGATTGAAAACCCCTTCCACCTGAAGTATGTGGATAGTTAATACAATGCTAAACAAAAATCTGCACACCAGTCAAGCCATAAGACTTGCTTTTCCCACAGAAATCCCAAATCAACAGTGATGTTACAACCGCAAAGGATTCTGGGTGGGCATATGCAAATTAGCTTAACAAAGAATCACATTTTTGCCTCATTCCATTTTAAACATGGATTCCTTTTAATTTGTGTTTGCAGTATACAACTGCTTGGAACACAATTTAGGATAAGATGCAAAACCAGTGAACCACTCATGGACAGCTGTTTCGTTGTTAATGCAACTCTTCAGCATGAGGTTGGTTACTGGTTTGCTTAGTGAGGCTTGGTAGTGCTTGGGAAGCAAAATCCAAATAGGTTATGGTGGGGAAAAATTGTGATTGAAAACCCCTTCCACCTGAAGTATGTGGATAGTTAATACAATGCTAAACAAAAATCTGCACACCAGTCAAGCCATAAGACTTGCTTTTCCCACAGAAATCCCAAATCAGCAGTGATGTTACAACCGCAAAGGATTCTGGGTGGGCATATGCAAATTAGCTTAACAAAGAATCACATTTTTGCCTCATTCCATTTTAAACATGGATTCCTTTTAATTTGTGTTTGCAGTATATAATTGCTTGGAACACAATTTAGGATTTCTGTGGGAAAAGCAAGTCTTATGGCTTGACTGGTGTGCAGATTTTTGTTTAGCATTGTATTAACTATATATATATATATATATATATCATCAAAAGAAAGCTCTATTTACTAAATTAGATTTACGGGTGCACTTAAACAGAAGGGGCAAAATTGTGGTAGAATGAACTCATGCCAAAAAGACCTTGGTCACAAATACGTCGTATCTCAAAAGAGCCTTGGCTTTAAAGTGGTTAAGGAGAAATATCTAGCGAAATATGAAGTGGCATCAATTTGAAAAACAAATTGTATAAATTATTATAATTTATTTTCACAATGCTTAAGGACTAATTGAAATTGTATTTACAAATATTATTTTTATTCTAGGTTGTAGCAAGGGATGATGATCAGGGGCTAAACAGTAGATTAACATATGCTTTGGCTTCTGGCAATGAAGATGGGGCCTTTAAATTGTCTTCAAGTGGACAGCTGAGTCTAATGAAAAGCCTGGATCGTGAGGTCAAAGAGCAGTATATCTTATTAATTACAGCTGTCGATTCAGGTAAGGTCTTAACATAATGTCTACAGCTATGGCAATTAATCTTAAACATTTTTATTTACATAGGAGGATCATTCATAACATCCCTATTTTTCTTTTTCGTTAAGGACTATTTATATTTATTTATGTACTGCTAAAAATTTCCAGCCTTGAGACTTATTGCACGATTATTTTGACAGAGACTAACTAGTGTAATAAGTGAAGAGACTTCTGATCACAAATGTGTAGTCCAAAGGGAAATACAGTATATATTGCTCAATAAACCTGAATTTTCTTTTCTGTCAACTTTTATTGTCAGATGGTACTAGAAGCTATTTTTTCTAGTATAAAAGCGTTATAGATCTTGTCCATCCAATAAAGCTTAAATAGGGCATGCACAGTACTTCATGTATTCTAGGCATGTATTCTAGGCAAAGAATTATATATCGTAATAATATATTTATGGTTTAAAAGACAAAGGTGACAGAGACTTGCTTTCTGCACAATTAGCTATGCCTGGATTCAATTTAACTGGAGGTGAATCAATTTGAGTGCAAATGAAGGACCCATCTTGAGAAATGTACTATATTACCCAACTAAAATAAATGGCTCGGAATAGTGAACTGTGTGCCCCCTCCATAGTTAACATTTAGAAATATGTCTCAGTGTTGAGAAATGAAAAATATTATTATGTCTAATTGATGGAAGGAAGAATTTCGTAATTGAATACAGCCATTGTGTATGTACCAACTGATATATAAAAAAAGAACCATAACCTTTGCACAACCTCTTCCCATCATTATATTTTCATATAATTTCAAATAATATTATAGCAATTTCAATAATCATTGTTATTTTTAAATAAAGATAAATATAAATGTAAAATAGCTTGTAGTTCACTAGATGTGATGGCATGAAAATGTTGACCTTTAATGTATATGTCCTCCATAAATGATTCCCATCTGTACTATCTATGTAAATAAGAGAGAAATGGTATTATCCCCTTTCAAACTAAATTTTCTGGCATATTTCAGCTGAGAAAACAAAGTAACAGCAGTTGAAAGTGAGCGACCTTCTTTTTGCAAGCTAATTTATAAAGTTTTCCATGCAGTTGGCTGGTTCATGATCCATTCCATATTATGCAGACAGATATGTCCTTTTTTAATGCCTTGCAGAGGATTTACGGGGATCTGCAATGTTTAAAGCCATCTAAAGAAACCCCTGGTTAATGTTGACATAAACAAGGTCAAAACTCAATGATTTTCCCCTCCGTTTACTGTATTATCCAATTGCTTTAAAAAACACTCATCTGCTATGTTTCACTGAGGGTTAATCCAGCTTCTAGTGGCTGTCTCACTGACAGCCGCTAGAGGCGCTTCCGCGATTCTCACTGTGAAAATCACAGTGAGAAGACACTGGACATCCATAGGAAAGCATTGAGTAATGCTTTCCCATGGGCTGTTTGAATGCGTGCGCTGTTCTTGCCGCACATGCGCAATCAGACCTGACGTTGGCAGGGGGTGGAGAGTTCCCCAGCACAGAGGGAACCCAGCGCTGGAGAAAGGTAAGTGGCTGAAGGTGTTTTAACCCATTCAGCCCAGTGGGAGAGTGGTCCTGAGGGTGGGGGGGATCTAACCTATTGTGCCATGAAAACGAGTTTGTTTTCCTGGCACTATAGTGCTCCTTTAAGCAGAGCGTTTTGGCCTACACATTGGTTGTGCATTAGACTTTGCATTCGGGTTTTGCATGAATTGCAAATTGTCTGAATTATTAAATGTATATATTGTCTACCATACTGGACAAAACCCAATGTGCAGACTGTGTTCAGAGGCGTCTGAGACAATTCAGCACATAGTAATTATGATTATACTGATATTTAAAAATGGAATATAAAAATATATGAAATGAGAGAACTTTTATAATGACTAATAGTAATCTTGTTCCTTTTGCTTTGACAAATGTGGGCTTATGCTGCCGTCACTACTTCTGGTAGTAGTAGACAATGACAATGTGTTAGGCTCAATGTGCACATCTTCCTTAACCAGCAAGCCTATCTCACTTACTCTGACTCTCTTGATGCAAACCATGGACTGTATTAAGTCTGTATCGCCAGTTTGTCAGGCTGATGGATCAGGGTCCCACTTTTCACTTAGTTCTAAAAGCACACAGGGAACTAGCATCAGTTTGTAGCAAGTAGCAATTTATTCATTTAGAGCATTGAGTAGATCTTTTAGCCTTCTGACCACTGCAGAGAGAAAAAAAGGAGAAACCAAACCTGCCTAAAGAAATACCTTTCCCTGTGCATTCAATATGGTCGTAGCGCACTAGCGCCATTTTGTTTACTGGCATAGTCCTCTAGTTTTCAAACCGACTGCAATACGCGCATACGCAAATGTGCCGAATATGGACAAACTAGATTTATGTAGAGAGGGAGCACCTCTGACGTCAAACGTGTGCACATGCACACTAAATCAGAAGTGCACACATGCACACTAAATCCCTCACATGTACACCCAACTATCCATAAATGTAAAGAGAGAAAAAATACTAAGTTATAGTTGATATAACTACCCAAAACTTTATCCAATAAGTAAATATTCACCATTATATAATCATATAAATGAGGACCCTTCACCAAAGGGAAAATAATAAGCAAAGCAAACAAAAAAAAAAACCCCACCATTAAATACGTTTCAAATATATTTATTACGGCTCTACCTAGTGCAATAATATGCTATAAGGACATGATAATATCAAGTAGACATTGCACATCAAGGTAATATTATACAACTCATAACCAATGACATAAAGATGCCACATATATTTTGCTCATTATGTGGAATCAACACCTGCCCCACCAAAAAGGAGACCACCAAAACTGTGCGGCAATTGCTAGCAGTAGGACACTGCACTAACCGTAGCCACCGGTCTTAAGCTAGGATAAATGAAGCAGGCTATCTATCAGAGTTGTGGCAAGAGGGATTTTTTTTCTTCTTTTTCTTTTGATAATGCATTTTTATTTAAAATGTCAGACATTGTCAAATACACTGATAGCATATAGTGACCATGAAGCATCATGAAAATCGGCAAGATCACAGTGTTTAAGATGATACATTAATCAACACTCCAGATATTTTGAGAACATAAAATCTTTAAAAGAAAATTCAAAGGGCAATTAAACAATGAGCTACCTCTCAATCCAGTCAAACCCCCCTTTCCCTTATCCTCTCTCTCCACAAGGAAGAGAAAAGGTTTTTACTAGGGGTTACAGAAACTTGGAGAAATTATAACTTCTAATGAGATAGGTGTTTCTTGATTCTGGTTACCTAGGCCGGTTACCTAGGACCTAGAAACAGTCAAGCAGTCAAGCTGTGAGATAAAGCCAGGTTGTAATTGTGCCATTGATCCTATTGTAAGACTAGACTGGGTTTACCATATTGGATAGCATGTAAATAACTATTATTTATTCTGACTCAGATATATATATATATATATGGCTATAGAGGACACTCCACCAAGATCATTAGAATTCAGATAAAGAAAACATTTGCTGTAATGTACAATATGCTAGCAATTTACAACACTTCAAATATTCCAACAACAACAATAATAATAATAAATACAATTTCTTGTCAACATGGCAGAACATTTAAAAAAATAAATAATAGCATTCCTTTTTATATATCAATTCCAATGCATGTGAAATTTTTTTTTTATATCTATTAACATTCTTGTGAATGGTGCTATTAAAATAAGCTGTACACAATTCTATAAATTGTCCTCAATCCCCCCTCGGAAAACAGTAAAAATGTTATTGTTACAAGAGCAAACGAGCATGGCTTTAGAGTTGATTAATGATGGGTTGTAGTAATGGGACCTATTCTTGAAACATCTGCACATTATTTGCAGTTTTGGCTCATTCCTTAAACTTTGGCTAAAGTTCTGTGATTATGGTCACAATGCAGTGATCAAAAAATGGAAATGCAAAGATTGTTTCTATTTTTTTTTTTTTAAATATCATTATATTTTCCAGTTAAATATCGTTATATCATAAATATCATTATATTTTCCAGCTGAATATAATTATATCATAAATATAATTAGATTTTCCTGTTTTAATTGTCTATTTGGCAAGTCTGAATTTAAAATTCTGAGCCTCCAGCTTTTTATGTTTGTATTTTCTTTTTCTAACGTGCTGTTCCATATTTGACCTCTAGAGCAGGTGTGTAGACTTTTTACAGGTTGATCTATTCTAGCTTTACTAGAACCTTTCTTTGTTTATCTGTTTACTTCCCAAATTGGTTAAAATATGTTTAATTGTGTTTTAGATCTTCTGTGCTTTATGGTTGAACTTACCACTCATCCTGCTCCACTACAATCTATTTCACTGTAAAGAGTATGGAGTGTAACGATAACCAAATTAATAGGGGTGTGCAATGGCAAAAAATTTGGTTCACACTTCCGAAATTCGGGATTTCAGCAATTCGTGACTTCAGCTCTTCGGTTCGGCACTTCCAAAATTCAGGACTTCTGCAATTCGGCACTTTGGTTTGGTTCGGCACTTCGGGACTTCGGCACTGTGGGACCTCGGCACTTCAGGAATTCGGGACTTCGGCAATTCCCTAACCCTAACCCTACCCCTAACTCTACCCCCAACACTAACACTAACTCTACCCCTACCCTTAACACTAGGGGTAGGGTTAGAGGAAGGTTGCGGTTAGGGGTAGCAGTAGGGTTAGGGGTAGGTGAAGGGTTGGGGGTAGGGTTATGGGTAGGTTTAGGGTTAGAGGAAGGTTGAGGTTAGATTCTTGTCATCATTACCTTAATTTTCCCTCCCTCTTTTGCCACTTTTCAGAAACCCAGAGCACTTTGGCACTTCCGAAATTTGGCACTTTGGCAATTCGGTTCAACACCTCCAAAATTTAGCAATTTGGAAATTCGACACTTCGGCAATTCGGTTCGGTTCGGCACTTTCGAAATTCGGCACTTCGGCACTTCGGCAATTTGGACATTCAGAAGCAATTGAATGTCTGAATTGTGAAATTTGTCCAAATTTAAATTTGGACCGAAACTAATCTTATTGATTTTTTTGATTGGGTAACTAAAATTATAGATCAGGGTGGTGCAGTAGACATTGCTTACCTAGATTTCAGTAAGGCTTTTGACACTGTTGCACATAGAAGGCTTATCAATAAACTGCAATCTTTAAGTTTGGATTCAATATTGTTGAATGGGTAAGGCAGTGGCTGAGTGACAGGCAACAGAGGGTTGTAGTTAATGGAATATATTCGAAGCTTGGACTTGTCACCAGTGGGGTACCTCAGGGATCTGTACTTGGACCCATTCTCTTTAATATTTTTATTAGTGATATTGCAGAAGGTCTTGATGGTAAGGTATGTCTTTTTGCTGATGATACTAAGATATGTAACAGGGTTGATGTTCCAGGAGGGATAAGCCAAATGACAAATGATTTAGGTAAACTAGAAAAATGGTCAGAATTGTGGTAACTGACATTTAATGTGGATAAGTGCAAGATAATGCATCTTGGACGTAAAAACCCAAGGGCAGAGTACAGAATATTTGATAGAGTTCTAACCTCAACATATGAGGAAAGGGATTTAGGGGTGATTATTTTTGATGACTTAAAGGTAGGCAGACAATGTAATAGAGCAGCAGGAAATGCTAGCAGAATGCTTGGTTGTATAGGGAGAGGTATTAGCAGTAGAAAGAGGGAAGTGCTCATGCCATTGTACAGAACACTGGTGAGACCTCACTTGGAGTATTGTACACAGTACTGGAGACCGTATCTTCAGAAGGATATTGATACCTTAGAGAGGGTTCAGAGAAGGGCTACTAAACTGGTTCATGGATTGCGGGATAAAACTTACCAGGAAAGGTTAAAGGATCTTAACATGTATAGCTTGGAGGAAAGACGAGACAGGGGGGATATGATAGAAACATTTAAATATATAAAGGGAATCAACACAGTAAAGGAGGAGACTATATTTAAAAGAAGAAAAACTACCACAACAAGAGGACATAGTCTTAAATTAGAGGGACAAAGGTTTAAAAATAATATCAGGAAGTATTACTTTACTGAGAGGGTAGTGGATGCATGGAATAGCCTTCCAGCTGAAGTGGTAGAGGTTAACACAGTAAAGGAGTTTAAGCATGCGTGGGATAGGCATAAGGCTATCCTAACTATAAGATAAGACTAGGGACTAATGAAAGTATTTAGAAAATTGGGCAGACTAGATGGGCCGAATGGTTCTTATCTGCCGTCACATTCTATGTTTCTATGTTTCTATGCACGTCTACAAATTAATTTCTTATGATAACCCTGGTAGACCTCCAAGATCAAACTACCCAAAATCCATGTTTTATCCACTCATTTCCACAACGTTAATAATTATATTAATCATTTATAACGTGCAGGTGTACCCAAATTGTCAATTCTTAAATCCTGTTGCGATGACATGATGTACAAAAATAAATGCTTTTCCATCATTCAAGTGTGAAAAATTGTCAGAAAACTATCTTTCAGTATTTTGTATGTGTTTGATGGTGCAGTTGCAGTGAGCAAGACTTTAAATCACTGTTTTGCTAAGCTGTACCTTGCTTTGTGGAAAAGCCAATGGGAAAATCATTCTCATTTTCTCCATCTGGTTGAGACTAAGAAAGATAGGTGAACATTAAGTCCTGGCCATCTGACAGACAATAGCTCGGCAGCTTTGTTCATGAATGTCTTTAACTCTTTGAACATTTTGTTTCTGGGGAAAACACTTGCATTCCTCCAATCATCATCCCTTTATTTATTGGTTGCAGAGATATCGAAGCACACATCTGGAGACCCGCTAACAGCCAAGCTCTACTGTTTCACTGTAGGATTTACATATAGCATCCAAAGAAGTGTTTAAAGAACACAGCTGTATCCAAAACATCCTTAGAGTTTGCTCCTATTAATACTTGTATCAGAATGCACTCATACAATATTAGCCCCAGGTATCTCAATTACTATACGACATATGGTTATTAGTATATATGGTTACATTAATGCATCTAAACTCTGAAAATCCTGTACATCGAGATGTAATCATGGAAAACACAAATACATCAGGAGGTGTTTTCTTTCCCCTGTTTATATTTAATTAATTGCATATTTTCTTTAGCACATTGCATAGGCGGTCTTTTGTATAAATACACTGTAATTAATTGCACTAAAATGCAAAGCAAGACACTATTCGCAAATCTCCATGCTCAGACTTTTAGAAGTAAAAAAAATAAATAACATTATAAAAATCATAAAAATTATTATTGTTATGAAATATATATATATCAGCATTTAAGCCTATTCTTACTTTCGTCTTTTTGAGTTCTCCCTTCCTCCCTAACTAAGCCTGCCTTTTAGAAATGTCAAATATAATTTACTTTAAATATTGGATTATGGATAATTATTCCACTCTTTTATTCAAATAAAAGGATTTAATCTGTCCAGTAATTGTCAGTAAAATGCATCCATATTTAAAGCAATTATTTTGAGGGAGGAGGACGAGGGCTTGTAGTCAAACACTGACACACCAAATATTATATTTCAACATTAAAAGCACCTCACAGTATAAAGCATTTCACAGTACAGAAAAATGTTACAATGTAAAAAATACATTTTCCAAAAGAAGCATCTCTACTCTGCCTTAGCTACAAAACGTCTGTAATTTGTTTACAGTATTACAATATTACAGAAAGCATTATATTCAAGTATGTATGCTGCATGTGGTGTAAGAGAGAGGTTTAAATGATTTCTCCTTTTTATTGGCTATGTCAATATATTCTGCAGAAAGAGTCATAAATTCTGATTTAAAAAAAACAAACAAACTTAAGTTTCCCCTAAACTCTTTTCATTTCCTTAAATGTTAATAAAATATTAAAAGGCAGAAACACCATAGTAAACCATACCAAAAAACATGTACAGTTAACTCGACCTAGTAATTAATTATGTAGTAAATTTGTTACAAAAAGTACAACCTGTTTTGTAATGTCTTTATAGTTTTTAATATCATATAGATTTTTATGAGAGGGATATAAAATCTATTTTTTTGTTTTAGCCATTTCTATATTTATTTTTGTTCTAATTACACATAAGAGAAACTACTGATTCTTTGTTTTATATTATAGCTAACATGTTCAGCCAACATCCAGACTAGTGTTTTCACATTTAAATTGTTTTTTTTTCTCTTAGACTGCTCCTGGTGAGGTACTGTGTGAGTCTCTCTTTGGCACAGCATCAAGCCTCATAATTTAGCTAGTCCTGGACATTATTTGATGTGTGCCTATAGAGGCATGTAATCCACAACAAGTCATTTTAATCATTTGTAAAATGTAGTATTCATCGCTCACAAGGCGCGCATTGTAAATTCATTTCCAGAAGGAAAGACGGCTTTAAAGATGATTTTTTTTTTTTCGATGGATGTAATTTTAGATTGTTTACATTGCTACTTTTGGTTATAATATAGGACATTTAAGCTGAGCATAGTAAAACAAACATACTTCTTGTAAAGTATCAGATATAATTCTCAAGTAAATTTGCCAATTTAAAATGAAATGTGGTATCCTCCCATTCTATACGACAAAACATCTGGGTATAATTTTATTGATGCTCTATGATCACACAAAAATGGTAACATCAATGAAAACTGAATTGATTAAAATATTAACAAAGGGCACAATTGAAATATTTACTAGAGGAATGTCTGCATCATTTATGTTACTTACCATGCCTCCAAAGCTTGTTCTCTTCCTTGTAGAAAAGTTTCACCCCTTGCAAAAAGAGAATACCGTCTAAAAACTTCACAAAATTTTGCATTGTAAGGAATTCAAAATGAACTTTTATATTTTTGTAAAAAAGCAACAACATGAAAAATATCAAATTTTTGTCTGTCACTTACAAGTTCCATTGTATGGCTTCTGTCTTGCATCAAAACGTTGGTCAGCTCTAATATAGTTATTGAAATAGTTTGGTTAGTTAATGCTCCTACTGAAATGTCAAGATGGAAAATTTGGTTCCTTTTAGTTCAAGTAAGCATTGTCCCCATATTTATTTAATGATTTACTAATATTGAGTTAGGTGACAATAGCATCTATACCCCAACACATACTTGAAGTCGATATTTATACTTTTTGGTAAAATATGTTGATGTTATTGTTGTAGGCCTGGCATGCAGCTCCAATAACCACTCATTGAGATTCACCTTCGTTTTTAATCCCAGTATTTTTTTACACTATCATGCTCTATATTCTTCATAGAAAAAAATTATGCTTTTTTTCATTTCTATAGAAGGATATATTATGTAGTGATATGTTTCTTATTGACACATAATATTTCAGGATTGACACTAATATTTATTTGGATTTAACTGAAAATTCTGCTGTCTACAAATTTCTCATAAACCAAATATCTTCGGTAGCAGAAATGCATTGCTTGTATATCACATGGGTAAAGAAACTCTGACACTAGCTAGTTATTTTTATGCTGACAATTCCCTATTTCACTTTCTATCATTTAGATAATAAGCAGATATGCCAGAGTTAACAGACAAAAGGTATTGAATATTAATCAGCTCGTAGACACCATTGTATTATCAAACCCAAGCTTAGAGCAGATGATTTGTCTAATTGAATTAGAGTGTACTGTAGTATTGATAGTGCTATGTATGCTTGTAATAATCTGTTTGTGTACTAATGTAATCTACCAGGGTTATACTGAATTTAATCTAAATGAGACTAAAACAGTCAAACTGTGACCATAGGTTTAGATGGAGAATCTCTTCAAATCAGCTGCTTTAAATATTGCTATTCAGATTTAATGCAGTAAAACTCTTCTCTTCTTGAATTGATATATTGACACGCACTCTCTGAAAATATTGTTGTAGGTAAAAATAAAACGTTTTAATGGTTGTTTATGCATAGAAGGACTGGGTTCCTATTCTTCTCATGTTAATTGTTATATTTATACTGAAACATTTGTGTTCCGTCCTTTTTAGATTTTGAAATGTCTTGATTCTGGGAAGTCCCTTTTCCATTTTGAGTCAAAAAATGCTAATACATGAAACATTTTAAAAGTGCAAACTTTGGGTGTTTTTGAAGCATTAGCTGTTGTATCAAATTTTAGTGAGCTCACTGTTAATCACTTCTTTGTAGCCATTTGGGCTAGTCACTGAAATCACAACTGTAAATTATAATTTGTGAAACTAATTTCTGACACCTATAAAAAAGATGGATACATTAATTAAGTGACGTTTACAGATTGGTTTAATAACATGCTCATTAGATAGTATAGTTCCTGGATATATAATTGAGACAGGTGTAAGAAACTAGTTTCACATATCATGCTTTACAATTGTGATTTCAGCAATTAGCCGAATGGGCTGCATGGTGGAAAGATTATTCTCAGAACTGACTAAGGGTCAGCTCACTAAAATCTGATTTAGTAGCCAATCTTTTAAGCAGGATCTCATAATCTTATAATCTATGGATGGTGTAAGGCATGTCAAATCAGTACCGTGTTTCTCCGAAAATAAGACCGGGTCTTATATTAATTTTAGTCACAAAAAACACACTAGGGCTTATTTTCAGGGTAGGGCTTATTTATTTACGGTACCGGTATGTACATTGAACCCCCCCTTTAATTAATCCACCCCCCTTTAATAAATCCACCCCCTCTAATTAATCCACCCCCTCTAATTAATCCAGCCCACCCTTTAATTAATTCACCCCCCTTTAATTAATTCACCCCCTCTAATTAATCCAGTCCACCCTTTAATTAATTCACCCCCCTTTAATTAATTCACCCCCCTCTAATTAATCCAGCCCACCCTTTAATTAATTCACCACCCCTTTAATTAATTCACCACCCCACCCTTTAATTAATTCACCCCCCTCTAATTAATCCAGCCCACCCTTTAATTAATTCACCCCCCTCTAATTATTCCAGCCCACCCTTTAATTAATTCACCCCCCCTTTAATTAATTCAATTAATCCCAGACATAAAATATCTAGCGGTACTCACATTTCAAAGATTCCTTGCCGAGTCCGACCACTGGGAGCCTCACCGCCCGGAAATGGATCCTTCCGCTGAAGATCCGTGAAGGCAGACTGACGGCGCTGCGAAATGTCGTCATCACGTTGCGCGATGCCGCGGCCCGCAACGCTCCTCCTACAGTAGAAGACGGAAGTCTCGCCGCAAAGGTAAAATGCCTAGGTCTTATTTTCGGGGTAGGGCTTATATTGCAGCCCACCCCGAAAATCCGACTAGGGCTTATTTTCGGGGTAGGGTTTATTTTCGGGGAAACACGGTATAATAGTTTGCAATATTGTTATATTAAGCGTCTTTTCCCAAGTTCTACATTAGCCCAGATCTATTTTTAAACATGAACTATTTTTAAATTATTTGAAATATACTAAAATTAATTACTTATAATGGACAACTATTCATTGTGCATATCTTCTTTTTACTATTTGTTTTGCTGCAACTCCAACTTAACTATGTTTGGATACTGTATTTTAATCCATGTGAAATATATGGTACTTAACTACAGCACATTATCAGTGAATGTGTACAATGAAATGGGTTGTCATTTATATTTTTAACTGATTTTAGAGTTGGATGTTCTAGATGTTAGATCAGGTGCTTTTGACTTGAACCTTTGCTCATTCGAGCAGTAAAATGAGGTTAGATGCCCAAGTTAAAAATTTCATTCGACTTTATGGAAATCAACAATTTTGAGGTCAACCATTAAGAAACTCCCAACACATTGTTTGTGATATAAAGCCACTTAAATTATGTTATACAAAGTTACTTCCTGCCTATCTACAATAATACAATAATAATTACTAACATTGTTAGTAACAGCCCTCCCATGCCATCCCCTTTATCTCATCTTGCTTCAATTAAATCATTATATTAGCAGTAATAATCTTCTTGTCTAATTCTACTCGCTGAAGCTTATTTAGAAGCATCCTTCTTTCGAATTAGCCTTTGTTGTAATATAACTAAAATAAGATAATTAGCTTTTCTTTCCTGCTAATTGTCTTTGCTGGGTAGAGGATTTATTTAAGAACAATATGAAATCATCATAAACAATGATGAAAATTTTAATTATAGTAACAAATGCAGTATAAGAATTAAGCAAATAATATGAAAATTGGGTAATAGTCAAAGCTTTTGTCCAATATTTATTTATAAAATATTTTACCAGGAAAGATATATTGAGATTTTTCTAGTTTTCAAGTATGTCCTGGGGTATAAATTAATCCTTCCAATCTAAACACTTTGGTCACATGCATATGGCAGATAAACCCAGTTTATGTTTCATTCAATGTTTCCATTAAAAACTTGGTTACATCTGTGAAAACAACTCATTTACATCTGCTCCAACGAATCGTACATCATTCACTGTGATTTAATGAGAACTAATGTGACATTCATTTCGTTCTGCTCAAATCCCACTTATTTATGTTCAAAGGTATGACATTAGCCTTTCATAGCAATTGTGCATGCAGTGTGTATATTCAAGCACACAAGTGATCTTCATGTAGATTATTGTCTAGGGATACTTAAGGAAAGATGTACTGGTGGTCCAATGGTAAATGATTAAAAACCCAGTCCTCGGGAGTAACTGCTGTTGCAGTGAAATACAGGATTCTGGGAACAGAGCCTGACCAAGAAAAATAGAATTTCTTACCACAAATATGATATTGGTATTAAGCTCAGACTACATAGTTAAGCAATTACCTACTTGCAGATTTTCTGTGGATTGGTGACTTAATTTGCAAATGATTCTTTTGCTTACTCTTTTACTCTTCCTACCACAGATATTAGAAAAATATAAAGTGACATATATATATATATATATATATATATATATATATATATATATATATATGTCTTAGGACAACTTTGCAGTGCACAAGAGATATGTCATGTAAATTAAAAATAAATAAAACTGAGAACTACTGAACTATTTTATAATATGTAAACATACAATATAGAAGTAAATTAATTGGGAAAATGTAGGCACACTAGTCAAATGCCATAAGAGTGTTTTAGCAGACACAAAGAAGCAAAGATAGGGTGCTTACTCAAAGGCCTTATTTCCCCAAGGTCCTAAACAATTATTATTATTTTATTATTTATATAGCGCCAACAAATTCTGTAGTGCTGTACAATGGGTGGACTAACAGACACGTAATTGTAACCAGACAAACGGACTCACAGGAACAGAGGGGGTTGAGGGTCCTGCTCAATGAGCTGACATGCTAGAGGGAGTGGGGTATAGTGACACAAAGGGTATAAGTAGGGGTAATGAAATAGGTTGCTAGAAAAGTGTTCACTGAGAACTTCGGTTATTTTTGACAGTTGCAGAAGAGGAGTCATGGAGGGGGGAGGGGGAGAGAATCTACAAATAATGAAGACTGAGGAGCACAACCATGTGATTAAAAAGCACTTTATTGATAGGGTCCAAAATAGCAAGTATCCCAAGAAGCATGCCAAAAAACATTAGCATTAATGTCACAATAAAAATACAAAAAATATATACAATGTACCACAGTCACAAATATACATAATAAATGATTAAAGAAGGCAATTTTACCATTCCAAAATGGTCATATAGATACCTGAAAAAACTACCCAACAAATAATACATACCATGAAAAATGCCAAATATAGTAAGAAGAGGGAGAAAATAAAAAAAATTGCCCCCAAAGTTTCGGCAGAAATGCCTTTATCAAAGGAGCATATTGTACAAAGGAAAGAAACCCATTTATATACCCAATAGTAAATGAAAAACACCTGATTGTAATGGGTGGCCACCCACATTGATTGAGATCCTCCCAACCATAATCACGGGGCTCTGTCACAAAGGAAATCAATACACAGGAAGTAAATATGCATTCAAATTGTACCTTTACCAGTCAGGGATAAAAAGGTACCTTCTCACTATTTCTGGTATTTTTCATGTTATGTATTATTTGTTGGGTAGTTTTTTTAAGGTATCTATATGATTTTCTTTTTTGAATGGTATCATTACCTTCTTTAATCAATTATTATGTATATTTGTGACTGTGGTACATTGTATATATTTTTTGTATTTTTATTGTGACATTGTTGCTAATGGCTTTTGGCATGCATCTTGCCTGCTACCTGCTATTTTGGACCCTATCAATAAAGTGTTTTTTATTCACATGGTTGTGCTCCTCATTAATCATTATTAACACACAATATAGATGCATTATCCGCAACGTCCAACAGAACAGCATTAACCAAAGTAAAAAATGACATTGTCATGAGCAAAGCTAATTTCCAGCCCTCCTTTCTCACTTTCCTGGATCTTCTGCTGCCTTTGAAACAGCTATTGCAAACTCGTCACTCCTTTGGCATCTGTTGCACTGCACTTTTGAAGCCCAAGTTGAATATCTCAGACTGTTCTTTCAGCATTCTTTTCGCAGGCACCTGCAACCCTTCACTATCTCTTTCTGTTATGAGGTACATCAATGTTCTGTACGTTTACTTAAAGCAATGTTTCCAATGTTTTTTTGTACCAAGACACTATAATGAGAAGACAATGTCCAAGGCACATCTGCTTTTCTTTCTATTTGCCTTTATCAGAAGTTTATAAATTGTGACAAGACCAATCTCGCCACTGTGCAATGGAGGAGCCTGGTTGCCTGCCTGCTGCCTCTTGACTATGGACCGGCATTTAAATACTTTATTTTCCTATGCAGAAAAGTCTAGTCCTGTATTTGTGCCCTGGCGTTCGGTAGATTCTCGTATTTACTGAATAAATTCATTTAACCCAGATAGCTATGCCATGGAGCCTGTTCGTGTAATAAAAGACTTTGGCTCCATGGCGATTGAACTGTATGTGTGTGTGGTCTGAGCGCCATTCAGTATTAATGTGCGCTCAGACCTAAGCTATCTGGGCATATGTTGCATGTCTGTATTTTATGTCATAAATGTAACCTTGTGTATTTTATTGTACTGTCTTTTTACTGCCATGTGTTCAATGGAGTTTTGTCTCTGTCCTTGGAGATAATTGGATTACTTCCCAATTATCTCCAGGATAGAAGACTCTGTGGAACTGGTTTTGGGCAGAAAAGCCATGCTTCCTTTGGTCACAAAGGACTACGATCTATCTTTTGAACCACTGGACCAATTTGGATGATTTTGACATATGTTTGTATTTGGAGTATGCTGATTCTGAATGTGAATGTGAATGTGATGCATACTTTTAAAGTTATGAATAATGTTGAAAAACTGTATTTCTCTGCCGGTGATAATTACATTAACCATTGTGTAAGGTAATTGTATCACAGGCAGAGGGGAGGATTTTGTGTGGGAGTGTCTGAGTGTATTGTATGTGTTTATTGGTTGTTTTCCAAAACCCTGTGGGTGGTACTAATGTGTATATAAGAACAATAAACCCACAGCTCTGTCTATTCCTGCTTGACCCTCAAAACGGAGCCTTGTCTCGTTCTTGGGGGGATTTATTGTATGCTGTTCCAGTTCGACTGCTAGGAGTGTAAACCTATTCGTATGGTTTTTCCTATTCGGCTGTTTACGGCAGTAATATGGTTTCCTGTTCGGCGGATTGGTGTTCTGCAGTAGCTGTGCCTGTGTCTCTGGAAGGGAAGATCTAACGGCTTTTAACCCCTTTTTATGCCTGGGGGTGCCGTTACATAAATGTGATAATTAATTGAAGCTACTAAAGATATTTGCAAACTTATAGCTAAAGTGACTTATCATTTTTAATTAATTGCCAGATGGAAATTCTACATTTAATGTTGGTGCTTTCTAAAAACATATTTTTTTAGGACTACATTTAGCCTATTACAGCCCATGTGAATGTATTTTCGGAACACCTTTAGTGCACCAGAACAATGCCAACAGCAGCACAATGACATAGTGACTGAATCCATCCATCCTTAATACCAGAAACAACCAAAATGCTAATCCATGCTTTAGGAATATCCCTTCTTTACTGCTGAAACCCAGCTCTATTAGACCTGTCTGTTTGTAGCTTCTCCCTAATCCAATACAACTTATTTAATTTTTAGTCATGCCTTGTACATTTATCAATTCTTCCCCACTTTGATAATGTTTACATTGGATCAACCTCATTTCCAGGGTAAATTAAGTCCTGACAATACTGCTTTCTGATATCTTACAGTGCTCCCAAATATCAAGTCCTAAAAATATTATTTTGGAATTTCAGTAGGATCACGCCCCACCTATCTATTCCCACTTGTGCTTCTTTCCGAAATCTTCCCCACATACGTCTCTCTTCCCACATCCATGTTTGTGTCTCTCTTTGCCATTTCCACTTGTTAATCCTTTCCCGATCTCATGTCCATAACTGGCTTCAGTTGTTCCAATAAACTCTACTGCTCTATCTAAACTAGAGGCTTTATCTCTTGTTTCTCCATTTCTTTGTAACATTCCGTCACCCAGCATTTGCCAAACCCAGCAGTCTACAACTTTCAAGCACTATTAAAGCAATATCTGTTATATGAGATGTCCCATTAACAACAAGATGGTAGTGTGGTATGTGTATTGCATTGTCATAAATTGTATTTTTTCCTCCTCTCATATTGAAAGCATAGTGGGACAGGAAACACCTATCCTATAATATTAAGAACACTGCTTCAACATCTGTTTACTTAGTGCACATTTGTATAACCTATGCCTGCTATTACCATATAAACAAATAAGATCCCCAAACACTTGTAATATAGTGACACAAAATGGATCCTCTGACCATCCCAATATACCGTTCGGTGAATAGAATATGAAGCAAAAAACTGACTTTTTTTCTAATATGTCTATGTATATTCAGTAAATAAACATTCTATTTACTAAAAGGGAGAATTGCTGTGAATTAAAAGTGAATTTCGAAGGACCCAAAATTTATTGTTTTCAAGTTTAAAAAAAACAACAATATGGCGAACAACAAAGAAAAGCTAATTTACTAAAACATGAAATAATTCCATTTAATTTTATTTTTGCAGGGTCCCCATCTCTTACTGGCACGGGTACCATCACTGTGAATGTGGATGATATTAATGACAACAAACCTTCCTTTGCGTTAAATCGACATATCATAAGCATTCCAGAAGATGCACCCACTGGAACTGATATTCTGCTAGTTAACTGTTCAGATCCTGATGCTGGTTTAAATGGAGTTATTCGGTAAGTAATGTACAATTATTGTCCTGGCAACATACATCTTGTTAATCTTTTTCAGAAATGTGCAGAAACTTTTCATTGCTTACATTTAGCTCATCCCACTTCTCTTCAAATGGTTAATGTTATTTCTTGCTAATGATAACCCCATGCTGACACCCTTACTTACTTCATGTGACAATACAAAGTTTAAAGTAGTTGCCATCAATTCTTTCTTCCAAGTAATGAGAATGTTAAGTAATATTGACAGGTTGAGCATTGCCTACTGAGTGCAAGAGTTCTGACTAATCTTTTTCTGTTTATTAATGATGTAGCCTTTACTGGCAAGGTTACTGACTTGGCAATATTAAATTCTATGAATAATAAAATAAATAAAAAAAATAAAAATAAATCCAGTTACATAGCTTAGACAAAAATCAGTGGATATTACTTAAATATTATTTGTGTTAGTAAACTGCAGCACCATTTAAAGTTGCAGTATTTTTTATTTCTGTTGCTACAGTAATATCATAATCATAATTGATATCAGGAGGAGGTAACGCCAAATTGTTTTCTTTTATGTATTCTTTTGCTATCATTCTTGTATATTTAATAAACTGCAATAAAAAAAAGCAAATTAAAACTATAGTTCTTCTGATCACAATGCATTTAAAACCTAGATTTGCTATTTAATATTTCATAAGGCGAGTTATTTGCTTTGGACAAAACATATTACAAGAGAGGATTCATTTGTGATCACTGTAATATTAAAGTAATTTGAAATGATCATAGAGCTTTGTCTTAAGCAGAAGCATCATTAATACTACATTAAATCTCTATCTCATCTTACTATTCATTAGCTGAATAGCCTCATTTTAATGAACTCTTTCCAGCGCTACCCAGTTTAATGTTCTGTCTTGGGGTTTTCTGCTGTCTAGAAGTCATAACAGTGTTTTATTATCCCACAATTAATGAAAAATAAACATATATGTCAGCTTGCAGAAGCATGTTTATTTAAGAAATGGTCATAATTATAGATATTTTAGAAACGGCCATAGTTTACAACATTTTAGAAACGCTTCTCATTTTAGCCTCTGTTTCATATACTGAACAAAAAAGACATTATTTTGATTTAGTTTAAAGATGACACTTTTCAAGGGAGGTTATCAACCTTCTATGGCGTTTCTCAGGGCTGTTCACCAAAGTAGCCTAATTACATCCCTATACTAATTTTATCTAAAAAATGACGGCCCCTTAGGTCTTCTAACATGGTTCTTGCAACTGCTGTAACAATTGACCGGAGTCAGTGCATTCCTTGCTGGAGCTAGTGGTCAGAATGAAAGGGCATGTATCTACATAGGTTAATGCTTGTTGTTACACAGGCCCAGTGACAATTTCAGTTTTGATTTTTAATGATACAAACATTGCAAAAATATATTGTGATTTTACTCTTGTTATTTTACAGCTATAGTTTGATCGGTGGAAACTCCCAGTTTACAATTAACCCATCCACTGGTCAGATCATCAGCAGCTCGTTGTTAGACAGAGAAATGAAAGACAACTACACTTTGTTTGTTGTGGCAACTGATGGCGGAACCCCTGTATTGTCAAGTTCGACAAATGTGACTGTAAATATTCTTGATGTGAATGATAACCCCCCAAGATTTTTACATCATCCATATGTGACTCATATCCCTTCACCTGCATCTTCAGGTGAGAATATTTCACAAATTTAATTTATGTATATCATTTGTTACCAATTGTGCTTTAGAGACGTGTTTCTCTGGGATAAACAATCTGACATTAGCTTTATTTTGATAGCTGATCTGCCTGAAGTATTTAAAGCAAAAAAACTAATTACGCAAAAACACCAAAAACAAACAAACAAATAACATACTGCTTTTAAAATTGTTAAAGTGAAACTATTTCAAAATATTAATTTCAAGACAAAGGTTGATGTAATAACTTTCACTTTGTTACTCCTGATGTATGTCTGCAAATATACAGCGATGAGGTTCACAAATTTCAAAGCAACTTGTGAGCTAATGTACTCAAAACTGTGTCTGGCCCTTCAGTAATTTAAACAAAAAAAATAATTTGATGATCCAATCCAAGAGCAAAAGTAGATATATCCATCAACAATTAAAAAGCTAAGTTTTGCTCTGGTTTGAAATGTTTTCAATTCTCTCTGTATCATTTGTGGACAGTCATGAAAGCATAGGCGCAAAAAACTTAGTAAATGGAGAGAACCAGAAGGAAATTCACAAATCAGCCATAAGATCATGATTCAGAAGTGAAGTACAAAAACGTTTTTCATCATTGTGTCCCCAGTTTGTGACTAGGTAGTTAAGTTTCAAAGGCCATTCCCAGATCTTCTTACATCTCTGAAAAACTCAGGTAGACTCATGTCACATTGTAATTCATAATATTTTAAAGACATTGTTGAATTTTATTTTACTGGCTTTAGCCATTTACATTATCATTATATTTATAATTAAATCCTTTAATGGCTCTGTAAATAATTGGTTGTAAATTGCATAGCATCCTTTTTTTGTAGAACATAATTGTTGAGGAAAATTATAGCACTAACTAGCCGTCTATATTTGTGTGAACTTTTCCCACTTCTTTCAGATTCATTAGTAGAGATCTTTGTCTTAAAATATGAATGAGTAATTTCTGTTAATATTATACTGATTATATTGTTCTCTTTACTTTCAGACTCCTTTGTGTTTGCTGTTACAGTTACCGATGAAGATATTGGTTCAAATTCTGAACTTCATTTTTCTCTAAGGGGCCGCAATTCTGATAAATTTCTAGTTGATCCAATAAGAGGAGCTATTAGGACAGCAGAATCACTAGAAGGGACCTCTGAAATAACATTCTCTGTACATGTAAAAGATAGTGGATTTAATTCCAAGTCTGACTCCACAACAGTGACTGTGAGATTCGCAAACAAAGCTGAATTCCCTACAATAAGAGCTGATCAGAAGACTTTTACATTTCCTGAAAATCAAGCTGTGGGTACACTTGTCTCCACTCTGTTTGGTTCATCATCAAGAGGAGGTTCTTTGTCTTTCTACATTGCTAGTGGCAATTTTGGCAACACATTCCATATAGATGAGTTAAGTGGACAGCTGCAGATAAGAAATCCACTGGATTTTGAAACTATTTCCAAGTATGTGCTTTGGATTGAAGCTCGAGATATGGGCTTTCCTCCATTTTCGTCCTATGAAAAATTAGAGATAAATGTTCTTGATGTCAATGATAACCAACCACAATTTAAGCAAGATCCGTTTATATCTGAAATAATGGAAAACCTATCACCACGGAAAATACTTACTGTTTCTGCAGTAGATAAAGATAGTGGATCCAATGGGCAGCTTGATTACACCATAGTGGATGGCAATAAAGATAATTATTTTCATATAAATCGAGGTACTGGTGAAATAAGAAGCACAAGGTCATTGGATCGTGAAAAAATCTCTCAGCATACATTATCCATTAAAGCTTCAGATAAAGGAATGCCATCACAAAACTCAATAGTGAAAGTCATAATTAATGTTTTAGATGACAATGACAATGCTCCAAGATTTTCTCAGATTTTTAGTGCATCTGTTGCTGAGAATGCAGCTTTGGGATATCTTGTTACTCAAGTTACGACGTCTGATGAAGACATCGGTGCAAATGCTGTCAGTAGATATACAATCATAGATACAAGTCTTCCCTTTCATATAAATCCCAGCACTGGGGTTATTACCATTAGCAGACCATTAAACCGAGAGGATAACGACCGCTACATTGTACGGGTTTCAGCTCATGACTCAGGATGGACAGTAAGCACAGATGTGACGATATTTGTGACTGATATAAATGACAATGCTCCAAGATTTAGCAAGCCATCTTATTACTTAGACTATCCAGAGACAACTGAGGCTGGAACTAAAGTAACACAGGTATTTGCATCAGACCCAGATGAGGGTCTCAATGGACAAATATATTATTTTATTAAATCTCATTCTGAATTCTTCAGAATTAATGCAACAACTGGAGAAATCTTTAACAAGCAGCATTTAAAATATCAAAATCCCAGTGTGACAGGCAACATTAATATTAACAGGCACAGTTTTATCGTAAGTGCTTCTGATCGAGGCAACCCACCAATCATGAGTGAGACTACAGTATCAATCAATATTGTTGACAGCAATGATAATGCCCCACGGTTCCTACTGAATAAATATTTTACCCCTGTTGCTAAAAATGCTAAAGTTGGTACAAAATTAATCAAGGTAACAGCAGTTGATGAAAAGGATTTTGGTCTAAACTCTCAAGTGGAATACTTTCTTTCTATGGAAAATACTCATGGCAAATTTCAGGTAGACAAAGAAACTGGCTGGATTACAGTGATGTCTTCCTTAACGATGGATATAAACAAAAACTTTATGATAAAAGTGATTGCCAAAGACAAAGGGAAGCCACCATTGTCATCACAGGCAATGGTCAATATAACTGTCACTGAGGAAAATTATCATACTCCAGAATTCTCTCAAAGTCCCATAAGTATAACAGTCCAAGAAAGTCATGCAGTGGGTTCGGTTATCAGAACTCTGTCAGCAAGGGATAGGGACACTTCAATGAATGGAATATTTACATATAACATCAGTTCAGGAAATGATGCTGGCATCTTTGCAATAAATCATACCACAGGGGCATTATCTCTTTCACGTAATCTAGATTTTGAACTGTGCCAAAAACACGACCTAACTGTAAGTGCAATTGATGGAGGATGGGTAGCTAGAACTGGATACTGTGTTGTAACAGTTTTTGTTAAAGATGTCAATGACAATCCTCCAATATTCACTGAAGATGAATATTTCCCTACTGTCTTGGAAAATGCCCCAAGTGGCACAACAGTATTACGCTTAAATGCCACAGATGCAGATTCTCCCCCTAATGCAGTTATCGCATATTCAATACAGTCATCAGACAGCGACCTTTTTGTTATTGATCCAAATACTGGAGTAATCACAACGCAAGGGTTTCTAGATTATGAAACTAAACAAAGCTATCACCTAACAATAAAGGCTTTCAATGTGCCTGATGAAGAGCGTTGCAGCTTTGTCACTGTTGCTGTCCAACTAGAGGGAACAAATGAATATGTGCCTCGATTTGTATCAAAGATGTATTATTTTGAAGTCTCTGAAGCTGCCTCTAAAGGAACACTTGTTGGGGAAGTATTTGCCAGTGATCGTGACTTAGGTATTGATGGCGAAGTGCATTATTTAATCTATGGCAGTAGTAGAAAAAAAGGGTTCCGGATTGAGAAGAAGACTGGGAAACTGTATGTATCTGGTACACTGGACAGAGAGAAGGAAGAAAGGATTGCATTGAAAATTCTAGCTAAAAATATTGGGAACATCAGAGGAGCTGATATTGATGAAGTAAATGTGAATATCACTGTTCTTGATGCAAATGACCCTCCTGTTTTTAGCTTGAAGCAGTATAATGTGCAAATCAGTGAAGTAGTGCCTCCAGGTACCCATGTCACATTTGTAAGTGCCTTTGATTCTGATTCAGTTCCTAGCTGGAGCAGGTTCTCCTACTTTATTGGTTCTGGTAATGATAAAGGAGCCTTCTCAATTAATCCACAGACAGGACAGGTTACTGTTACTACGGAATTGGACAGAGAAATAACTCCTATATATAACCTTACAGTGCTAGCCATTGATTCAGGAACCCCTGCAGCCACGGGAAGTGCAAGCTTGTTAGTATCTTTAGAAGACATTAATGATAATGGACCTATCCTGTCCAGCACCGAAGGAGAAGTAAAGGAGAACCACAGAGCAGGAACTCATGTAATGACTTTACAGTCTTCAGATTTGGATCTACCTCCAAACCAAGGTCCCTTTACATATTATCTCCTCAGTACTGGACCTGCAACCAGCTATTTCAGTCTTAGTCCTGGAGGAGTTCTCACCACAACCAGAGAAATTGATAGGGAACAAATTAGTGAATTCTTCTTATCTGTTGTCACAAGAGACTCGGGGTTTCCACAGATGTCTTCTACAGGAACTGTCCATGTAAAAATTGTAGACCAAAATGACAACCCATCTGAGCCTAGGGCAGTTGAGATTTTTGTTCACTATTACGGAAATCAGTTTCCTGGTGGTGGTCTAGGTAGTGTAAAACCTCAGGATCCAGATATCTTGGATAGCTTTCACTGTACTCTAACATCAGGAGTATCAAATCTCTTTAGTATCCCTACAGACAGTTGTGATCTCAATTCTCAAGCAAGGTCCACAGATGGAACCTTTGACCTCATGGTTCACAGCAGCGATGGTTTGCACAGTGCAGTTACGAATAATGTTCGAGTTTTTTTTACAGGATTCAACAATGCTACAATTGATAACAGCATACTTCTTCGAGTAAACATACCAAACTCTAGAGACTTTTTAACTAATCATTATCTCCACTTCTTGCGTATTGCTAGTTCACAACTTGCTGGTCTTGGAACTGCAGTACAAATCTACGGAGTCTTTGAAGAAAATAATCGAACATTTGTTATGACTGCTGTGAAACGAAATAATAACCAGTATGTAAATCCCAGTGGAGTAGGCACCTTTTTTGAAAGTATTAAAGAAGTGATGTTTAGACAAAGTGGAGTATGGATAGAATCAGTAGACCATGATTCATGTACACATAACCCTTGCCACAATGGTGGGAGCTGCATGAGGAGGCTTGCTGTAGGTTCATCAGTAAAAATCCTTGAAAGCATACCTGTAATTATTGTGGCAAATGAGCCACTCCAGACGTTTGTATGCAAATGCATGCCGGGATATGATGGGAATTTGTGTGAGACAGATATTGATGAGTGCTTACCATTGCCATGCCATAATGGTGGGACTTGCCACAACTTGGTAGGAGGATTTTCCTGCAGCTGCCCAGATGGTTTTACTGGAATTGCATGTGAACGGGATATTAATGAGTGCCTTTCCAGCCCATGTAAAAATGGTGCGGTCTGTCAAAATTTCCCTGGAGGATTCAACTGTGTCTGCAAAGCTGGCTCCACAGGTAATTTACAATATCCATGTTTGTAGACTAAATTGTAATATAAGGCAAACAGCGATGAAAGCTGACTATGTTAGTACACCAATCTCAGAGAGGAGGATAAAAAGTAAAATTAAGGTTTCCAATTACAATCATAATGGACATTTAAAAAAAAAAAAATATATATCCAGTTTTGTTTATTTGTACCTTCCAGTGGGAAGTATTTTATTAAAAATAAGGAATTTAGGCTGCTGATAGCAGCCATGTGTATGGCTAAGGTTTAAGGTTTCTAATATCTTCACCTAGTGATAAATATTGTTTGGAAATGGTCATACAAACAGAGATTACACGGCAGAAAACATTACTGTTCTATTTAGATGCAGTATTATCTCAAATGTCATATCGCAAAAAACTGTCAGAAAGTAAGATGTAGCTTAATATATTGTAATGCAATTTTACATGAATGCATCAAACCACAAAACATATTGATCCAACTAAATAATTATATTAATTATGTTTTAGATATGTGGGAGAGGCTGTATATTCTTGCTGGGAAATTATCTGATTAATGATGTTTATGGTACCTGGAATATTCTTTATAAACCTGATACTATCATAACCCACATTTGTACACTGAGCACAAATGGATTAATGAAAGATATAGTATACCTACAATGAACAACAATATCAATAAATTGGTATAACTTTACAGAGACTATACAGTCAGGTCCATAAATATTGGGACATCCACACAATTCTAATCTTTTTTGGCTCTATACACCAATGGGTTTGAAATGAAACAAAGAAGATGTGCTTTAACTGCAGACTTTCAGCTTTAATTTGATGGTCCTAATCAGGTGAACGGTGTAGGAATTACAATAGTTTGTATATCTGCCTCCCACTTTTCAAAGTACCAAAAGTAATAGGACAATTGGCTGCTCAACTGCTCCATGGCCAGGTGTGTGTTATTCCCTCATTATCCCATTTACAAGTAGCAGATAAATGGTCCAGAGAGTTTATATTTTAATTTATTTATATTTGATGGCAATCTAGACAGCACAGTATATAAAATAAATGTATAACTACTTAATGACACCCTTGTCATTCACATATGTGGTAGATAACAGGTACAGTTTAAAATGTGGCCACGATTGTATCTTTAGGTAAACCCAACATGTTTTTATGGACTAGAAAATAAACTGGGCCAGTACAATCTTATCAATAGCATAAGAGCACTGGCCCACCAATTCTCCCAAGTAGGTTTTATGTAACGATACTGCCTTTAATATTGTAAGAGTAGATAGCATAACACAATGTTATCTGCATTTTCAGATACAATTCAAGCATATATAAATTTCGAAAGCTGTAAAAAATTTGAGTGAGTTTGTTACCTCTGTTATCAAATGTACAGATTTACTTACAATGATGTTCAACTATAACAGTTCATGAGAGTTCAACTCTTGCATAGAACTATAGTCATGTGAAACAAGGCATAGACAAATGGATGTAAAAAATAAAAAGTAAAATCAAACATCAAGTAGTATTATTAAGTATATAATACAAGCAGACATCCATGTCAACAATGAAGCAAGCCAAAGTTCAATAAGTTCAACTATTTCAGATCACTGTGAGAACATGGTAATATTTAGCTGTATGAGTTTTTTTTTCTATCAGTCTATCAATCTATCTGTAATACCCGGCATAGTAAATATATTCTTTAATCAAATTGCCAAAGATGTTCATGTTTTGAATGCTTCTAAATCTCCATGGATGTTAGTATATGACAAATCGGAACCATATTGTTAGATAATTTCCCTGTGCACCCAATGATTCAATGTGATAGACTTCCATGCTTCAACATGTGGAATAACTATTACTCTGCATTGCATGTTAGAATAAAATATTCACTGTACATAGGTTTCCTGCAAAAATAAACAGTGTACAAAAATGTAATAGGACACACAGCTTCACCAGCTGCTTAGAGCAACGTTGTCCAGAGCACCACCTCAAACCACAGACTCAGAATAGTCCAACCCTCAAAGAGTGTATTAGAGCACCTTTATTCTGCAAAAATATGTTTATATAATAATTGTATTCTTATACAGTTGACATTTAGGTTATCGAAAAAGTGAATGTTATCTTGTGAAAGTTTTCATATCCAGAATGCACAGAAATAAGAAATAGCTTAATTTTTTACATTTGCCTAACATAATAATGGTTGCATAAATAGCGTTTTATCACTGCAGATTTGTATCAACATGAAGGTAACTCGAAGTCCACTTTCAGAAATTTCGGTGAGCTAGTGTTTCTTCTTATTGGATACCACTGGCAGTGAAAAATATGTGGTTTTCTTGTGAAAATGGTACCATTTTAGGAGTCAAATTTGCAGCTAAAATGTTTCTTTCAATAATCTTTATTAAACAATAATCCCAAAGTTTAAATACATTCTTTTCTAAACCAGGAAGCCAGTGTTTAGAAAGAACCGACATTTTAAAAGGTGACCATTTTGAAAAAAATAAATCAGGAACAGTTACTGATCAGAATACAGCTGCAGAGTACATTACAGCAGGTCTACATATGGTAACAGTAGCGATACCATCACTTATAACTAAATGTAACTCACTGCACAGTTTATGAAATCACAGATATCACCAAACCTCAATATATCCAACAATCAACAAGACATATTGGGATATTTAGCAAACACGCAATTCTAGAGTGTAGTATTAAAACAAATGGATTATTCATGCCAATTTCTTTACTGTTTTGTTGTTGATCGCTTCACAGTCATATTGTTTTTTAGATGTATGGCTCTATGTTTTAAAAACTTAATAAAGGTAATTTATTTTAATTACTAGTATTTTATAGTACCATCATATTCCACAGTGATTTACAATTATACAATTAGCGTAATAGCAAGTAATTTATAAACAATGTTGACAGATACAAGAGTTGGAGAAGGCCTTGCTTAAATGAGGTTATTACTTCAGAGAAAAGAGCATGTGCCTCATTTGCCAGATGAGCAAGATGCCAGCATCCTAGCACATTAAAGTGGTACTCTAAGCACCAAAACAACATTATCTTAATAAAGCAGTTTTTCTGTATAGATCATACCCCTGCAGTCTCACAGCCAAATCTCTGCAATTTAGAGTTAAATCACTTTTGTTTCTGTTTATGGAGCCAAAGACACACCTTGATTTAACTTTTTTAAAAATGTGTAAAAGATACCTTTGTTATATATTGTAAGAAGAACCTATATGTGAGGTATTTACCCTTCTTTGATTTCTGTGTGTGCGCTTATCACCCTTATTTGTTTCCTTCATGACATCACAGTGTGTTTACCTGCTGTGTTAACTAAACTTAATTCACACACAGAAGGATCCAGCATGCTCTAGCAGGCTATTGACAGAGCTGGAGATAAGAAAATCAAATTTAACAAACTATGCAATAGAAGAATTTTAAACATTAGATCTCTTTACAGGAAATGTGTAGAGAGACTAGGGCTGCATAAAGAAAGTGATATAATTCCTATATGGCAGAAAATTGAGCTGTTAGACTGCAGGGGCATGATCTATACACTCCATTAAGGTAAAGTTGTTTTGGTGTGTATAGTGTCCTGTTATGTTCATTTTATTAAAATGTTATACTATCTCATCTTACAAAGTTGTAGCACACACCTCCCACTTCTTCCATATCTGGTGGTAAAGTCCTTATTTGGAACCTAGTTGTTTTTATTCTCTAATCCATGGGTCCTCAAACTCTGCCCCCCCCTCCCCCCCAGATGTTGCTGAACTACAACTCCCATGATTCTCTGGCTATCTATGTAATTCAAAGAATCATGGGAGTTGTAGTTCAGCAACATCTGGGGGGCCGGAGTTTGAGGACCCATGCTCTAATCCCTAAATTTAAACATTGAATCCCAAAATAGATAAATTAAAGGATCACTATAGTGTCAGGAAAACTAAGCGGTTTTCCTGACACCATTGTGCCCTGAGGGTGCCCCCACCCTCAGGGTCCCCCTCCCGCTGGGCTGTAGGGGTTAAAACCCCTTTAGCAGCTTACCTTTTTCCAGCGCCAGGCTCCCTCGGCGCACGCGCATTCAAGCTGTCAATAGGAAAGCATTTTTCAATGCTTTCCTATGGACATCCCGCGTGATGGAGGCATAATATACCTCCAGCGTCACAGATGCGCCTTTAGTGGCTGTCTGGAAGCCACTAGAGTCTGGCATATCCCAGCAATGTAAACATTGCAATTTCTCTGAAACTGCTATGTTTGCATCTGCAGGGTTAAAACCTGAGGGACATTGCACCCAGACCACTTCATTGAGCTGAAGTGGTCTGGGTGACTATAGTGTCCCTTTAAATAAATAGTAAAAGATGAGTTGTAGAATATATATATATATAAATATATATATATATATTTGTTGATCCTGAAGAAAGTCCATAGATTGGACTGAAACGTTGGTCATTTTTTAACTTGGAATAAAGTAAAAATTTTAACAAGACCGTGAGTACTACTGACTACAACCCTTATCTGGATAGCTTAAGCCACTGTGTGCACCCGGCATTGGAACTGTAATTTGGCCTGTGTGCAAGGAACTCTACTATATATATATATATATATATATATTTATATATATATATATAAAATGTTTGTGTATATAAAATACATTCTCGGTAATGAAAATGACATATAAAAAACAAACAGCTGCACTATTATATAATCATCATTTCTCACATTGCAGGTAAACTCTGTGAATCAGCAATTAATTACTGTGAATGCAATCCTTGCTTTAACGGGGGTTCTTGCCAAAGTGGAGTGGATGGCTACTACTGTCACTGTCCATTTGGTAAGTACAATGAATAAAATGTGTACAATGCAATTTAAGCAGCAATTAAAACAAGTCTTAGTTTTTCTTTGATTGAAGCCAATAGTACATATTGTTCTTACTTTCAGCTCTTTTGGACTACATTACATGTTGTTTTAGACTTCCAGACTTCCATAGAACTTTAGAATTTTATGGAGTTCTATAAAGTTAGAACTGAAAGGGTCAACATAAGGTAATTATGTATTTTATGGCCCTTCACAATCAGAAATATGAAAAGAGATGCCTCCTATTAGTCACTTTCTCCATTAGTGCCAAGTTTAGACAGAGACACAGACACAAAGACTAAAAATAGCTCTCTAGTTTGTAAAAACATATATATTATATATTAGAAATATCTATATATAATGCAGAATGTAAACTGTGTTTGACCCATGTATGACCTGACTTACGTATCCCGACATCTTTTATTTATATTAAAATACATGAAAAATGGTACATCAATTACCTTAATCATTAGCTGTGTACATGCTGTGTACTATTATAGCTTCTAAAGTTGTTCATCTTTTGTTTTCTTATTAACCCTTCAAGAACATAACACTATAAAAACATTGATTTTGACAGCTGATAAAAGCTAGGCCCATATATTGAAACCCATTTGCATGCATGGCTTGATCAAAGCCAGCTCAGAGTAGAAAATAACTGATTTACTGTGACATTATAGCAAGTTAATTATATTTTAAGCTCAAATGTATAGTCAGTGGCTGCAATTAAGGGGCGTCCATACGCTTCTCTTTGTGTGGAGGTCAGCGAGGCAGCGACACAAAAGATGAAAGTTAGCAGACTTGGTTACATGTATTTAATACATTTTATTTAACATATAATCAATACTTCTGTTATGAGAGGAATCTTTCCAGGTAATGTCTCTTTAAAAGTTGAAACACTTAAATGTTGAAAAAATAGTTGATGAAGTTTCACACTGCATTTGAGATCAGTATCTCTCTTTAAAAGTCCTAAGTCACACAAAGGTGATTACATTAACTAATGAAGTTTTTCTCTGCAAAGTAAAATAATGTTTTAAAAGTCTATGTTTTATAGCCAGGATATATATCTTATTCAGGAAAGGAAATAGTGTTTAGTAACTCCACCATTTTTCATTTTTAAATTCATTTTTACCTCAGTTCTCCAGTATACAAAAAAAAATGATCATGTCTTGGTAAGTTCATCTGTAAAAATATTCTCGTATAGCTTCAGGTGATCAGTAGATTTAAAGTCTATGAAAGAATAATTAAACAGAAAATGCTTGTCTTGTATAAATGGCCGTTCATAACTCAAGTTCGGGTTCACAACTCTACAAGTAAAATAAACTATGAAATCATGTTATTTCTCTATCACCTTTTATCATATCTCATTTTTAATTGTGAATTATATGAGTTCACTTTGGAAACCAAGCCTTTTTAAAGTGCCAATAGGATCGACATTTGGAAACAAAACAACTAAGAAGGTTAAAGAAAGATGCATTTAAATAATTAGAACTATGTCTTCATAGGTTTTGGAAATCTATCTCAGTTAAATCACTTCTTTCCACTCTCTTTGAAAGCCAAGCATATATATTTTTGTGAGACAGTTACCTCATAAGTTAGTGTACGTTTTCCAGTTTTTCCATGAGAATATAGCCATATTTATCAGATTCAAGATCAGTAATTCTTGGAAGAATAAAGAAAACAGACAGCTAATTAGTTATTTTGGAGATGTTGTTTAGTGTTTAAAGGGGACTCATCATTAAAGAGAAAATATTTTTACTCAACTAACAATATTCAAAGAACACAGCATAACATAGCATAGTCTGCCAGCAGGCAGATCATGTTATTTCAATGAGCAATTTATGTTTTATTATCCCATACTGCATGCATGCTTGTGTCTTCAGTGCAGTTATTCCTCGTAATGAATGGAAAATAATGCATGGATAATACACAGATCACCTTTTTGCAGTTTTGGGGCTCTAATCTCAGGCAGAACTAGGACAGAGATTGTTGTGCCTCAAATTAGTGTTACACTTCCAATAGCACCTGCATCTGAAATAGCTGCCGACTGTGAATGTAGCCCCATGTAGCCAAAGCGCAGCTAAGCGAAAAAAGGCCTTGACAGGGGTTAGGAGGCGGGCATAGGAGGAGGGAAGGAAGTATGGAGTTATGGGTAAGTAGGCTTGGCTATTTAAATAGGCAGCCATTTTAAAGCCTTCACTTTTAATTACTACCTTGCTGAGTTTGTCCCGCCCACCCTCCCTGAATTTGGTTCGGACTTGGGTTATCCCGTTTTTTCACAGCGGCGGGATAGGGAGCTGAAGGAGAAGAAATAGGCTCCCTAGGATGAACGTCATGGAGACGTAAAACTGTGGTCATTGGTGGTTGGTAGGTTCCGAGTCCTGTCGGTGGCTCAGAATCTGGTGGGGCAGGGGTATCCGGGTATACCCCTGCCATGGTTAATTTATGTTTGGCACTTTAAGTTGGTATGTTGGAATATGTTGATACGTATGTTATATGTATATGTATACATGTTATTTATATGGGGGTCATTGCCTGTTATATTAACAGAAGGATTCGGTTACGAGGGCGGAGTATGGGGGCAATGACCCATGTTTATTGTTAAAATTATTATTGCTTAATAAATTATTATTATTCAAGATTATTTAAATAAAGCTGTGGACAAATTTTCCCATATACCTTTGTGTCAGTGAGTTATTGGGTTAGGTATGTGGGAGGGTTGTCCTGGAGTCCGACTGCCCATATGGCGACTATACACCGGTCATGTATCTCCCACTAATCTCTGTAGTCACAAGACAACTTTAGCTTAATAAATAAGTTTTGGTATATGGATAATGCCTCTGAAGTTTCACTGCTCAAATCTCTTCCATTTAGGAGCTAAATCACTTTTATTTATGTTAATACAGCCCTAGCCACACCTCCCCTGGCTGTGAATGACTCAGCCTGCATGAAAACAAAATGTTTTCATTTTCAATCAGATGTAACTTACTTTATAAGGTTTTACCTTCTGCTCTGCAAATTGAACTTTTATTACATACAGGAGGCTCCTGCATTGTCCAACAAACTATTAACAGTGCAGGACATACTAAATTTAAAACTGAACAGAATTTGCAATAAAGGAAGTGTAACATTACATGACTCTTTACAGGAAGTGTTAGAAAGACTGTGTAAGTCACATGGAGGGAGGTGTGTCTAGGGCTGGATAAACAAAGTGTTTAACTCCTAAATGGCATATAATTGAGCAGTGAGACGGCAGGAGCATGATCAATACACTAATATGGTTCATTTAAATAAAGTTGTTTTGTTGACTATAGTGTCCATTTAAGGTTAGTTTTAATGTGAGTGTTATTGTAATGTAGGGGTTAATGTTTAGTGTAGGGTTTAAAGAGTTACCCCAAAAAGCATTGTTTTCATAAAACACTGCTGGTCGGCACCCCGAGCTTAAAAAAAAATCAAACAACAAAAACTTACCTTACTCTCCAATGCCGAGGCCATGTTCCCCCTCAGCCTGATCTCCCTCCTCTGATGTAACTCCCTCTCTGGCAGGACAGAAGGAGGACCATGTAGGACAGCCTAAGAGGAGGGTAGTGGCGGCATAGGGGTGGGGTAATGTAGTAATTACTATGGACTTTAGTGTAGTGTGTAAGATAATGTAGGGGTTAATGTGCAGTGCAGTGTATTATGGTAGCATAAGGGTTAAAATGATGCCTGAGATTAGTAGGAGTTTCAACCCTGGTAAGCAGCTATTTCAGTTGCTATTATTAAAATGGCAACAGGTGTCACTTTGGAGTGTAGCTTCCACTAATCTCGACATGTATTATGTACACAAACAACATATACATTTGTCACTGCTGTTTCCATCCTTCAAGAGGATCTGATTAGAGACCTAAAGGAAAATAGTACAGTAGTATCTTTCCCATAAACCATTGAACTGAACATGTGAATTTGGCAAATAGTTGTTTCTCAAACCAACAAACCATATACAACATGCAACATACATAATTACTCAGAATAGAAAATATGACCACATTGATGGGCAAACAGACAAAACTTAACTGTCTCAACATCAAACATTGCACATGTTTCAAATACCTCACTATCCATTAGAAAAAAAATTAAATATAAAAGGAAATATATTTGTTTAAAAAGAGAATAAAATGGTTCAGCCATTTTAAATACTCAATATTGTGTATTTCTTTACCAGTCAGCTACTGTGCAGCCCTGAGACAGGAAGCACCTCCAGTGGCCATCTAAGGAGTGGCCAATTGGAGGTGTCCCTAGGGGCAATGTAAACACTGCCTTTTCTCTGAAAACACAGTGATTACATGAAAAAGCCTGAAGGGAGCTATTATACTCACCAGAACAACTATATTAAGCTGTAGTTGTTCTGGTGACTATAGTGTCCCTTTAACTGCTACATCATCTTAAACATTCTTAGCAAAATATGTAGTTATTGGCAGCTTTTTTTCTGTCATATTCATTTATGGGCAAGTTAATTTGATTGATCTACTTTTTAATTACCAAGACACTGTCAGCAGTGTTTATGCTATTTAGATACAACTTTAGGTATCACTGGGATTTATGAGGAAATTTGCCATGGCATTATCCCATTCATGATAAATCAGGCCTTTCGTATTTCCAGATGACCCTGCTTTGAAATTTAACTAGATTACTTGATACACTTCAGTAAAATTTATAAAAACAGGATTTTCGTTTTAATAGGACTTTGTTAAAAAAGGAAGCCAACTTCCCCAACTTTTAGCCTCATTAAAAGTCTTTTTTTTTTTGTGTGTGGAAAAAAGGTTAAAGAACAAATCAGGCACAACAAGTTGAAGAGAAAAAAAAATAGTTTTTTTGGCTGAAAATCATTCTATTGCTTTCCATGTGAAAGTAAGCTTAGGAAACCAGAAGGAATGAGAGACACAGTATGATTAATGAAGTGCAGGAAGCTGTATTTGACTTGCATGCAAAGAGGGAAAAAATATCAAATACCTGGTTAGTGAGGCCATCTCTTGTACAGAGTTGGATGTTCTTTACCTGCTATTAAAATTCACATTAGTCATGGATATTCATTTTAGCCCACCATAGTTATTTAATGAAGATACCATAAAAGGTTAAGAAAAATAAAAGGGGGGCATTAAAGAAAAACAGCTGGAATTAATTTTACCATGTTAACCCTTGTCTTTGTTGAGCTGCTCTATTGTTCCACACAGATAACAAGGCAAGCGATCCTTACTCATATGGTAGTACATTTGCTGTTATTATATGCAAGTATAGTTTAGGCAAGGCTAGTGAAAACATGCTAATTCCTTAAAATGTGAATTTTGGGAAATTGACAATGGTGTTGCACATTTGTGTTCAAAATAGGTGAATTAGAAACCTTTTAAAACTTAGGTTTAACTTTGTAGCTTTTTTGACCCGAATTTTACACTTATTTCACCAATTCTTCACATTTCCTGATTTACAGAATAATTCATATTTTACGAGTACCTGAAATCAAATAACAGTAACTCAAAATTAAACGTTCATATCAATACTTCTCGATAACACGCTTTACTGTTTCTTTTTAGGTGTCTTTGGAAAACACTGTGAATTAAATAGTTATGGGTTTGAAGAACTGTCTTACATGGAGTTCCCCAGTCTGGACCCTAACAATAACTATATTTATATAAAGTTTTCTACCATAAAAAGCAATGCCTTACTTCTTTACAATTATGACAACCAGACTGGGGATACAGCAGAGTTCTTGGCCTTGGAAATAGTAGAAGAAAGGATGCGATTTTCCTATAATCTTGGCAGTGGCACTTACAAGCTTACGACAATGAAGAAGGTGTCTGACGGACAGTTCCACACAGTGATCGCACGGAGAGCCGGAATGGTAGGAGACTTTTCTTGAGCATCACTTTTTCTTTCCTTCTTAAACAGGCATTTGTTTACAAATACATCACTTTTGAAAAAAAAAAACCTTAAACAATTGAAAAACATCCTGTATTTTACGAATATGCTAGTTTATGCATAACAGGAAATCAAACGCTCATTGCACATGCAGCAGGATGACTTTTACCCAACATGCTTATGGAATATTTCAATAATAAATTGAATTTAATTAATCAAAAGTGACTATATTTATAATATGCAGCACACATACACATATGGTACGCATTGAAAAGTTACCTTATTAAGAGAAATGAAACTTAGGAATGCATTACTGATTAATAACTTTTAGACCTTAATGTTTCCATGCTTACAAAATTATTTAAACATTTGTTACAGCCTTCATCTTGGTTAGTTGTGATAAAACTGTGTATTTAACCTCTATGTACTAGGTTAACAAAGCACAGAATCCGATACAAAATGGCCTGTTTAGCAAAATCTGTGAAGTCCTTTCTCAGTGAAGATTTTGCTCTGATTTGCATGTAGATGCAGTAAAAAAATACATACTTTTGCAGCCAGAAATTCATTCAGCATGGGGAAAAACAGATCACATTTCCCAGTTACTTATTACTGATAACAAGGAGACTTTAAAAAAACAAGAAAAAAAACATACCTAGTTTTCTCTCCAAGTAAACATTCCATGTATCAGGAAATTGATTTTTAACTACTCAGTTTCATGTTGTAAGTAGACATTGTAAATCACATCACACGTACGTTGGGCATAATGGCTGAACAGTGAGTTGGGTTTGCGAAATGCTGTGACTGTTGATTTGCAAAATAAAAGTACTGGAGACATTGTTTAGCTATTCTAGTTCTGAAACTTGTTTATCAACTTATGGCAAGCTACTTTTTAATGAAAATACCTCTTTGAACAATTACCAATGTATTGATTGACCCCTCCAATCTGATTTTGTGTGTAAACAGCTTAGATGGTGAAAAAAGAATCAAAGTTACCAATTTTGATGTACGTTACAACCACATGTTATAGTGCCAGAAGTGCCCCGGGGTCCCCCATTGCAAGAAGTAAAAAATGTTTTACTTGACTTGTCACCTTTTGTTCATCTGACATACTATACTCAATTGCAAAGTTGGCACAACACAACCTGTAGTGAATAGTCACTGATATTAGCAGAAAATATGTATGTGTTTTAATTGTATTTATTTATTATCTATTACTGGCTTTTATAAAGTGCCAACATATTCTGCAGCACTGTACAGCTAGGAAAAAACAATAACAACTAATATAACAGGTAAAGAGGGCCTTGTCCATGTGCTAAAATTTAGCCAATGAAGCTGTTTTATACAAAGTTCCTAGTTAGATAGCCTGTGAGCTTACAATCTAAAGGATATAAGGGGGATTTGAGACATGAGGTAGCAGGGGAATTTGGAAGTGATGGGAAGTGAGAGCGTAAAGCAAAGTTGCAGCTGCTGTTAATGTGTTATGGGTAAGGGGGTAATTGAGTAAAATCTCAAGCAGCTGGAGGAACATGCTATAAATTTAGAAGGAAGCTGGGGGGGGGGAGTGGGTAGGTAATGTTTAGAGAAAATTAAGAGCTGGTGTTTTTTTTGTTTGTGGGTTTGTAAGTCAAGACCTAAGAAACAGGGATAGAGATAAGACACAGTTATATAAAGGTATTTTCAGCTAGGAGGGGCCAATGGTGGAGAGAGAGAGAGGGGATGGATCAAGCAAATATTTCTTTGTAAACAATTGAAAAACTTTCCAACCATATTCTGTCACCCAAAATATTAATAACTGTGTATATGAATATTAATGGAATACATTCACATAAAATAACAATGAAAAACTGCATGTACAGAAAAGTATAATGGTAAATGTAACATTGTTATAGTAACAAATAATAATAATATGGTGACAATCTTCCAAGGTTCAGTCAGTAACCAAAAGTTGCAGGGAGAGGCGAAACGAAGAGTCTAAGTTTTTGCTGTGGGTTTGTGAATCAAGGCCTAAAAAACAGTTAAGGAACATTTTAGTATAAGGAATACAAAGCTGTATTCCTAATACTAAAGTTTTCCTCTGCCCCCTCCCTGCCCCCTTGCTCCCCAGTAATTACAGGGTTAAAAAAACCTTTTACACTCACCTTATCCTAGCCCTGAGGTCCCTTGGCGCTGGCTTATCTCTGCCCCACATGCATTAAGCCTTACCCATAGAAAAGCATTGAAGCAATGATTTCCTGTGGGGTATTTGAAGACGCTGGACGTCCTCGTGCAAAGCGTGAGGATGTCTAGCGTAGTTACATGAAGTTAAACAGCAGGAAGTGCCTCTAGTGGGTGTCTGGCAGTCTGGCAGACAGCCATTAGAAGCAGTTTTAACCCTGCAATAGAAAAATCACAGTTTCTCTAAAACTACAATGTTTCACATTGCAGGATTAAGGGAACAGGGACAGTGCACCCAGATCATTTCAATGAGATCAAGTTGTCTGGATGCCTATAGTGTCCCTTTAATATGCTCATTTTCTTCTTCTGGATATATGCTGAGTTTGCTGAATACTTGACAGGCCTGTATCAGGGTTTCCTGTTTAAAAAATTAAAATCTGCTCAACATTTGTTCTGATCGAATCAAGATTTTTTTTCTACTTATAATGATCTATTGGGCATTATTCTTTAGGTTTAACCTTCTCTTAACTAAATATTAAACATGAGGTCCAATCAAATGCGTTCTTCCTTTCCATACCAGGAATATGCAATAATGTTTTTGGTTTTTTTTGTAAGTAACTTCGTTCATGTTTACTCACAAATGAAGCTGCTTTGGACTGTGTCTGTATGATCACTGTACAGCTTTCAAAAAGAAAAGCTGATAGCAGATCTACCACTTCCATAAACAAAATGGAGCTCCAAGGTGGGCTGAGATAAACTGCAAAGTCTTTGCAGCAACTTAGGGACCCTCAAAGTCTAGTATTCATTCCATCTATTTAAATAATTTGCTTCTATTTTCATTCCTTTTCTACATGACATACTAAAATGTTGTGGTTAACTCCAGTCCGGAATGTCCCTTCAAATTTTGAACCAACCCATATGAATATTAAGTATTGTGTCCTGACAACATCTGTGGCTCATCATTTGGATCTGGTCATTGAAAGCAATTACTGAACCTCACAGAGCAGATTGTGGAAGCTATAAAATTGCTTCCCCTCCACATTTATGGATTTTTCTGCAACATATGTTAATTTTCTTCTTCTGGATAAATGTTGAGTTTGCTGAAAACTTGACAGGCCGGTACCAGGGTTTCCTGTTCTGGCACATTATGATGACAGTTTAATTTAAAAAATTAAAATCTGCTCAACATTTGTTCTGATCGAATTAAGGTCCAGATACATTTAAAGAGTTACTCCAACCCTTTTTGAAATATTTTTTTTTCTACGTATTATGCCCTTTTAGGCATTATTCTTTAGGTTCCCCACCAGTTAACTAAATATTAAATGCAAGGTCCAAGAAAATGCATTTGCTTAGACGATTTAACCGTCTCCCCAAAAAACTCCAAATAAACTAACATAGTATAGGGAAGGGGAGGGCTACAATGAAGAAGGGAGAACCTGATTACATCAGTAATTAGGCAGAGTTCCAGGCTGCCTAAGTCACTTGTGCTGGCGTTGTAACTAGCCCCAGGCACATACAGACATTTACCACCATGTATAACCTCTTAATGACCGTGAACGTATCAGGTACATCCATGGGGAATTAGAGCGCTGGAAGCGATCATGATTGCTTCCAGCAGCTCTAATGGTATTGCAGCGATGCCTCAATGTCGAGGCATCTCTGCAATACTCCCCTCACTGCCAGGCCGCCGGAGAACACTAGGTGATCGCTCCCCCCGGAGCGATCACTTCCGGGTTGCTCCATGTGGAGCCCGGCAATGTAGAGCAGAGCATCGGAAGTCATCAGACAGGCGTCTGATGCTCTGCCTGTACTGAGTGCCTTGAGGGTAGATAAATATTATTATTTTTTAAAAATAAACAAATTAAATATATTAAAAAAAATGTAACCCCTACACTCCCTCCCACTCCCTTTTCATGTACTTACAGTCTTCTTTGTCTTAGGGGGAGACAGTCCCCCCTCAGCAATTTTGGACCCCCAGGGACCATGTGACCGCTCTAAAAGAGCGGTCACATGGCCGCAATAGGTGTCCACAGTGCTGCCAGCAGGGGGACTGCCTGAACTGACAGGCAGTCCCCCTGCTGGAGAAAAAAGTTAAAATAAATAAATAAATAAATAAAAGGTAATAAATTAATATATATATATATATGAGATATATATACATATATTAATATAAAAATACACTTAGAGTAAAATTACACACGTCTAACTGTATTTTGATATTTATATATATATATATATATCAAAATACACTTAGAATGAAAATATATATATATATCCCCTTAACGACCATAAAAACGGTTGTTAAGGACCACAGACGTTTATATTTTTAGATTTTGTCTATTTAGCGATATCACTACTTAGCAGATCCATGTTAACCCAGGTCTATGTATTTTTTGTAACTATTCTTGGCATTAAGCCTACTGTTTGAATTATATTTCTTTATTCCTATTTTACTATTTCCATTTACTCCTGATCACCCTATTGGTCTTTTCCAGTAGAAATTTTTATTTTTATTTTCTCCATGTATAGCTGAATGTGGGGGCTATTGTTTTTTCAGTGAGATAGTGGCTACAGTTGCTTAGTTTAGGTTTCCTATGAATCATCTTAGGTGGGACATCACACCATTGTTTTGGGTGTGATTTTCCATTTTTAAGTTTATACCTATTCTGTAAGCCCTATATTGACCTGTTTCAAAACACCATAAAACCTGTACATGGTAGGTATTGTTATACTCGGGAGACTTCGTTGAACACAAATAGGAGTGTTTAAAACAGTAAAACCTATCACGACGATGAAATCACCAGTAAAAGTGCAGTTTTTGTGTAAAAAAAATGCAAAAAAACAAATATGAACGCTAAATTTGGCAAGCATTTGTGGCTAAGTGGCTACTACAAAAGACTGGACATACCCCATTTTGAATACCGTGGGTTGTCTACTTTTGCAAATGGTATGCCATAGTGGGGTTAATTTTCATTCCTAGGCTGCTATACGGTCTCAAAAGCAATATAGGCCAAGCAAACCAATCTGGCAAATTTCAATGTACAAACATGGAAAAGGGGAAAGCCCTACATTTGACCCCATGTAAGTTTGCAAAACAACATAAAACCTGTACATTGGGGGCACTGTTGTAATCGGAAGATGTTGCTGAACACATACCAGGGTATTCTTTGTCAGTAACACATAACAGGAACTGAGAATTCATGCCTAAAGTACAATGTGAGAGAAAAATAACACAAAAAAATGACTACCGAAAAGGTTGTCAAAGACTGGTGGTAGAATTAGTGCATGGAAAATGTTAAATACCACCATTTGAAATACTCTAGGATGTCTACTTTTCAAAAATATATGGTTTGATGGGGGTAAATTACATTGGCCAACTTCAAAAATGTCCAAATATGACATGGGTGCATGATGACCAGCTGTGAAAATTCCAAGTTTGAAAACTGGAATGTGCATCCTCCAAATAAGGTCTCTTAGGCCCCAGAGAACCCGACACACCTTTACATGGGTGGTATCACTGTACTCAGGAGATGTTGCTGAACACATATTGGTGTATTCTTTGGCAGTAATACATAACAGGAGCTGAGAAACCATGTGTAAAGTACAATGTGTGTGAAAAATACCACAAAAAATGACTACCCAAAAGGTTGATAAAGACTGGTGGTAGAATTGGTGCATGGAAAGTGTTAAAATACCACCATTTGAAATAGGGTGTCTACATTTCAAAAATATATGGTTTGATGGAGGTAAATTACATTGGCCGGCTTCAAAAATGTCCCAAATAGGACATGGGTTCATGATGACCAGCTGAGACTATTCCAAGTTGGAAAACTGGAATGCTCACCCTCCAAATAAGGTATTTTAGCCCCCAGAGAACCTAACCTAGATGAACCTAAATGGGGGTAGAGAACCTAGATGGGGGTATCACTGTACTCAGGAGATATTGCTGAACACATATTGGGGTGTTCTTTGGCAGTAACCCTTAAAGTTCTCCATACGTGTATTCTTAAATTGCTATGTGTGTCAAAAAAAATCACCAGTTATTTTTTTTTAAATTTGGCATCGATTGGTGGTAAATGGTTGCATGAAAAGAGTCAAAATACCTTAGGTTGTCTTCTTTTAAAAAATATATACATGTGATGGGTTATTTGGGGATTCCTGTCGGATATCAGATATCAGAACACGTTAACATTTGGGCATTTCTAAACTCAGGACAAAATTTAGAAACTCTTTAGCATGGGTGTTTTTTGGCAGCTGTAGATGCGTAACAGATTTTAGAGGTCAAAGTTCAAAAAGTGTGTTTTATTAAAACATTTTTTCATCAAATTTTATTAAAAAAAATTATCGTAAATTATATGATATGATGAAAATAATGGTATCTTTAGAAAGACCATTTAATGGCGAGAAAAACACTATAATATGTATGGGTACAGTAAATGAGTAAGAGGAAAATTACAGCTAAACACCACAGAAATGTAAAAAAGAGCCCTGGTCCTTAATGGTAAGAAAATTTAAAATTGGTCTGTTCACTAAGGGGTTAAATCAAATTACTAATGTGATCATGGTGATTGGAGTAACCCTTTAATAAAGCCCATACAGTGTGCTAAGGACAGTTTTAAGGTTAATGAAGCATTTGTTGAGTTAAGTCTGACATTTTCATTGTTCAAAGAAAAACTTAATTCTATCAGCAATTTGTCTGTTTACCAACAGATAAACTATAAACAAATTATTGTAAATTTGTCAATTTAAGGTATGTATTGTGAATAACAGTTCAAAAACTCCTTGGGGGAAAAACTGGATTTCAGGATAAATAGAACAGCATAGGCGTCCATAGCCCTGGTGTTTAATAAATCAAATAATTGTCCATTTTATATAGTTATTGACCTGGTTTTTCCTCCCAGTTGGTCTTTCTTTCTTTCTTTCTTTCTCTTATAATACTCGTTTTATAACCTCCTTAAATCATTATGAGTAAATATCATACTCCTTTATAAGCAAAAGTTATCTTTCAGTCTAACTTGGTTTTACTTAATTTCACGATCCTTTCTTCATTCCTTTTATATTATTGCACTTTCAGCATTCTAATTTAAACCCAAGATCATTTTTCACTATTCATTGTCCTCCACTTTAATCCATTAAAACCTGTAAACTTTCCATCATATCATGCTCTTTGCTCTACTTGGTACAAGTATTAGAGTAATTAAGTGTTTATGTTTCCTTTGTCTTTATGAAGATCTAGAGATCTTGACTGAAGAATTTGAATCCCATACATTTAGGTCTCCAGTGATTTATATATTGGCATTCCTACCACTCTACTTATGTTACTAATTTCACTTCCTATGCAATTTAGAATTCCAAAGCAATACAAAGGTCACTTTCTGCCCTTGTTATTTCAAGTTAATGTTATAGTTTGCCTTGTTGACTACAATTTAAACTTGATGATGGCATTAAATTGACTATCTGACACACCATCCACCTCCCTTTTTTACGTGTAGTCAATTTAATTCCATATGCTAACCATTTTAATTCTTCATTCGGTATGCAAGAAGTATTAGGTCCATGGCTTACATTTTAAGTAATTATGTGATTTGCTAAATTGTAGAGCAGTATATCACATATGATATGGTTAATTTGGGGCAAATAGTGGCATAATGATGTTTTCCCTGCCACATACAATTGTGCTGAATGAAACATGACATACACACTCAATGTATGACATCTGTCCTGAACATATAGCATTTTAAATCTCCCATCTCATAAAATGCAGTGGGATTGCGCAAGGTTAGGCATCATTTGAAAAAGAATCCAAAGAATAACAAGGCACATGTTATTGAAAAATGAAAATCCATATATTTTCTTTGAAAGGAAACATGATCTTAATCTCTATTAAAATAACAACTTGTAAAATGGTTGAATTAATTATTAAATTAAGATATTTGTGCTGTAATTATATTGTTTCAAGATGGTTGACTTTTTCATGTATATTGTTGTATGTATGGTCCATTATTGTCATTTTATAACATTATTTTTACAGGATATATAGTATGGAACATTATGTATAGTTTAGATATGCTTATAGAATGACCCTATGCATCTATTAATCTACAATTAATAGAGTAGCTATGTATGTACAATTGCAGCATGGGTCTTGGACCACCTGCAAAATGTGTGAGACTGATCCATGTCTCTTTAAAATGAATGCAAGCATATAGTGTGAATTAAATCACTACTGTAGAGAGCAACCTCAACAATGATCTGCATATTCTCTTCCTTTAGACCAGGGTTCTCCAAACTCTAGTCCTCCAGAGGTTGCTGAACTACAAGTCCTATGATTCTTTAGATAGTCAGAGAATCTTGGGAGTTGTAGTTCAGCAACTTCTGGAGGGCCAGGGTTTTGAGAACCCTGCTTTAGACCACCAGGAACTGGATTCCACACCAAAGTAGTGTTGTGGGTGTGCAACCTTTCATAATCGGCTAGCCCAAGTTGTGGGTCCTGAATATGTTCCAGGATAAGTTCTTCATATTTTAATCACTGGATTAAACCCACTAAAATAGAAAGTAAGCTTGGTTTGCAGAAAAAATTTGGCAACTATTTAAAAAACATCAGTGTAGAGGAAGCATTGGCTAGAGTGGGTGAATCTCTAATATCAAGCCAAACCCACTTGCTTGAATTGGCAATTAGAATGGTACACTGGGCAGATGTCTTATGTGGCAGTTTTTAAAATCTGACCTCTATGAAAAGTAACATAAAATTCTATTTTGTAGAGTTTAGATCATGTAGAGCGCTCTTCAATACTGGGAGGTTTTAGTCATACATATAGCTATCTTCCACTTGCCAGTAAAACCTAAAGATCCCTAGCCATATATTTTAAGGCAAACTAACAATAATGGTCCATATAATGTGGAGACATAGTCTGTTGGTTTTCAAGGTAAATTATCATTTAGATTTTTGCCTCACTTAACAAATATGAACTACTATGCACTGCTTATAATGAAGCTTTTACCTAATACTATTTTTGTAATTGCTCCAAACTAGCTTTCTATATAACCAGACTGCAGTGACTATGCCATTTGAGAGAGTAGATGAATGCCTTTATAAGACACTGATAATGTGGAATACAGCATAAACACTTTACTGTGAAGATTAACTTTAACCTTTGAGTGTTAGGCGAATAGAAAACATATTGCTTTCTAAAATTGCAAATGGAGATACCATGGTGCCATATCAAATTTGCCCTGTGACCTTTTTTGGCAGGCGGCATCGTTGACTGTGGATACTTGTTCAGAAGACCAGGAGCCTGGGTTCTGCACCGTCAGTTCTTCTGCTGTTTCTACTGATTGGTAATTGTTAAAATACTCTTTTTCTTCAAAATAATTCTAAAAGAAATTTTGCATTGAAATTACATTACAAAATGTTTAGTTATCATTGTTTTTGTGTTGTTCGGTGAAAACTTTAATTACACTAAACATTTTTTCTTTGATAAACAGTATTAAAAATTGTTTACAGATATACAGTATACCCACACATTCAAAAAACAGTTGCCTAATGCTGGCTCAATCACAGTCACAATCACACCATGCATATGCTTATACCAACACTTTTTCTATTAGTGGTTCAGTGAAGAAGGGATCAATACCAAACGTTACACTATGTAGCTTAAACAATCATATTTATAGAAAAGAAGATTTATATTCACATTAATGGGACTGTTTTTTATTATTGAATTATATGACCAAAAGAACTTGAAAAATAACTGTCAACACTTTTTAGTTAATTAAAGTAGACTAGTCATTTTTATTTTTATTTTGGTTTCTCCTGTATCTTTTGGATTATACTCCCCTCTGTGTCACTTGCCTTTGTTTATATTTATTGTCTTTCCTTTTTTTATGCTGGATCCCAATATCTGGGAGCAGCAATTTTGTTATCCTCTGTCCATGATGTCTGCAGCTTCCTGTCTGTAAGAATGGGTTTACTGATGGATTGTGGGTACATTTGATTGGCAAGTGAAACAGGACATTGTTTTAAACCCTGCCCATTGTCACATTTTGTCAATCTGACTGCTATAATTGAGGAAAAGTAGTCCCTACTTTATTTATGTGTTTAATGAAAACTAGAGTGCTCAGGAAATAAAATTAAAAAAATGGATTCAGACACAGAACGATGTAGAGAAACAGATTAGATGAAGGTTATTTTGGTGACAGAGTTGCTTTAAATATTACCCCAAAAAAGAGCAAATGGATTTGTGCATGATCAGACTAAACCAACAAACACCTACTCTCAATTGATGATATTTGAAAATAGCATCACCAAACTTATTCCATACGTCCCAACAGTCCCAGATTTGATGGGCTTCTGGTCTGACGTTCTGGGTAGTCTCAAGGCACTGTGCCCATGTGACAGATATACAATAGCTCTTTGCAACTAGGCAGCCTTGAGTGGGGCTGGCAGAGTGACTGTCAATCAGCATGACATGCATACACCCCAGGCTGACCATTTAGAGTTTATTGTGGTCTGCTACAGGACCAGATTCATTTTAGGGTCAGATCTTGGCTTTATTGCCCACCCTCTTCTTTGTGTCTGCCTCCTTTAACGAGTTCATATCTCTCAATGTTGAAATGTTTGCTTATACAAACAACTCCTGATTCAGGAATTAAATCAAATAACATTTAGAATTGTACACTATTGTTATTATTAGCATTATATACAAAATTGTACGCAGTGCTTGTTACAATACACTTGCTGCACCAGAATGTGTATATTTAACAAGTAATTGACAAAAATCATTTGGCAAACACAAAAGGTGAAGAAGGCACTGCACACCCAACTGTAATCAAAATATCAATTTGTAGCATATTTAAAGGAACAGACACAGGGGATCAGTGTTAACTCAGAAGACAGCAGGCTAAAGTCACATAATGGGCATCAGTAGACTCTATTCAAAACTGATCTGGCACATAGTTAGGAGATTATGCTGGTATCATACTTGTACTGTAAGCATTGCGGCAGGCTGTTATGATGCTTTGAGTGCTTCTTCTAAATCAACAGACAATAATGTGCAATATTTATTTAAAATGAGAAGTTCGGACAATGTCATATAAAAAAAAGTAAAATATATCGAGTTCTGAGTTGCTAAATGTAAAAAGTTACAACATAGCAGCTTGATGTTTTGAGAGCTTACTCCAACATGTTAAATACTTACCTAAATATTTAATGATCATGAGTAGAAATATCAGCAGGACGGTGAGCTCAATAGAAGCATATATTAAGCATGTGGTATAAGTATACACGTCTTGTGTTCTGTCTAGACACAAAAATGGTGATTTATGCTATCATCATTATTGCTTTAAAAATGTGATTCATTTTGCAATGATTCTTATTTTCTGGAACAGGACCTTGGATGTTCAGCCAAACAGAATAACAGTAGGAGGTATCAGATCTCTGGAACCAATACTACAAAGAAGAGGACAAGTTCAGAGCCATGACTTTGTAGGTTGCATAATGGAATTTGCAGTCAATGGTCGTCCTCTAGAACCCAGCCAAGCGTTGTCAGCACAAGGAATCCTAGACCGGTATGTCTTTTGAAACACAATAGATCTGTTTCATTTGTTTAATGTCTCATTGTGGTATGTTCTTTTTTTTTTTTTCAAGATGCAAAGAGTTAACATCACCTATATTAACCTATAATGTTTGCATTTTTAATATTTCAAGAATAGTCAAAACATCATCACATGTTTTACATGGGGGTTTTACAGGCTATATTTGAGACTGGCATTATGTAACTGTTATACAGATGAATTGACTGATACATATTGAATTTGTGTCTATTTTTGTAGGTGTCCCAGATCGGAAGGAGCCTGCACAGCCACAACTTGCCAAAATGAAGGAGCCTGTGTGGATAATTGGTTCTGGCAACAGTGCAACTGTAAAGATGGTTTTACTGGGAAGCACTGTGAAAGATGTATGTTAAGTTTTAAATTGCTATGTAATGAGTTTGCGTTTGAAAGGAAAATAGCCCAACTAACCACAATATCAAGTAATGCATATCATATATCAGTTTCATGTTTTACTTATTGTTAGAGCTATCATTCATACAACACAGCATGAAGAAGGTTTTTTGTGCAATATAAGAAGCATTTTCTTTGAAGAAAAATATGCTATGGAATTGTCAATTTTTAGATCACAATTTCAGGTGAATTATTTTTGCATTTTTGTTTCTGAATTAATACAGTGTTTCCTAATGAATTATACCTTATATTCTTAAAGGGTTTCTCCAACAATGTTTTGTTTTACATAAAATAATGCCCTATTGGCATTATACTTTTGGTTCCATCTACAAAAAGCTTAAAGAGCGTTTTAAAAGTTTTACTTGACTTAATCCAGCGCCAGGGCGAAGCTCCTCAGCGAAACCCATGTCTGACATCATGTTAGACATGCGTTGTCTAGCAATCTCCTGAAGCAATCTTGATTATCTCAGCCCCATCAAATGCTTTCCCAAATGAAAGCATAGGGAGGCTATTGTGCGTGTGCCACAAAACGCCATGCTGCACCAATCTCAACATGCAGAGCATGGAGATGCTGAACACCAGTGTTGCACACTGTGAAGCACTGGACTAAGAAACACCTCTAGTGGCTATCTGAGTGACTGCCAATAAAGGTGTTCCTAGGCAGCAATATTTAAATTCTGCCCTTTCTATCCAAAGGCAGTGTTTACAGGGCTAAAACTGCAGGAACATGCTGTGGAAACCAGAACCACTACATTATGTTGTACTGGTTCTGTACTGGTTCTGGTGACTATAGTGTCCCTTTAATTATTCTCAATTTGATATTATTATTTTCTTGATCTTATACTTATAATAACCTGCCATACCCTTTTCTTAGAAGGCTGTGTCCAGATTTAAAAAAACTAAAAAGTTTAAATTAAATGTTGTATATGTCATATTTAATGCTTACTCTTAAATTGTTTCTATTTCAGACATGAATGCAGATACTGCCTTATCTCTTGAAAGCAAAGGATACCTTGAATATTTTATCAGTCAGACGAGAAAACGTGATTATTTGATGAAACATCATCATGTAGATTCTGAATCTATCCATCGCAATCACCTTGAAATAAAATTTAGAACCAGAAGTGAGAATGGCATCCTTCTTCAAATTCATGAAACCAGCAATTATACCATTGTGAAGGTAAATATATTGTATGATAAAACAAACAAATAACAAGGTTCAGCGCTAGAAAAGCCAAAAGTCTCTCTTTTCCAGAAGGAAAATGAGATATTGGTAAGAAGAAGTTTGGAGAAGCGCCTTCATGTGTCCTCATGTAATATATGCAATGGGAAATTAAAAGACAATGGAGGATAATATAATGTAGTATATTCTACAAATGGAGTGTGGAGGAAAAAAGGGATACACTTGCAGGAAATGGAGCTATGAACTTGCTTCAATAAGATGCACTTAAGGATGTGCAATATATCTCTTGGTCCAGGTGGGTAGTCCAAAAATATAAAATAAAACATAAATGGACAGGATATAGTGTAGTAAATTGGCAATATGTGAATCTATAGGATAAGGAAAGACTCACATTTGTTGGAGCCTTCTATATGACTCCTTAAAACAGCATGTAGTGGTATAATTATCACTCTAAGGATGTCTTATATGTGAAAGACAAAAACAAATATATAGAGTACACTGTTTGTAAGATAAATTCAATAAATTAAAATTCACTTGCTAACTTTGGAACAAATTAAGGTTTTGCTTAATCCACAGGGTTCTTTGGTACATTCTCCACCATGGAGGATGAAGTCCAGTATGTTTGTGGAGTTCCAGAATAAAATGGAATGATCCAGGAACATTAACATGACATCTATCTTTATTTAGTACTATAAAACAAGGGTGTTGAAAGTAACATTAACACGTTTCACTACAACATAGGGTTTTTTCAAATTTATAGCACTTGAAAATTTCACATTTAATGATCATATGACATGATGACATTGTCATCATGTGACCGCCAGGTGGATATCATATACAAATATTATAAACATATTGTACAGAATGCTAGATAGATGTGACTGTTTTAGAAGTTGCAATTATTAAAGATTAGTGGAGAAAGATCACATGACTCGCGAATAAAAAGGGAGTGGCACCAAAAAAAAAATATATATATATACCTAAAAGGGAATATAAGAGGGAAGGGCTAAAAGGTGGAAGGCACTCCTCAGAAAAATCAAGTTAATCTCAAAATGCTGAAATTGGGGAGAGTTGTCCTATGCAATATTTGACAATCAGAATAACAATGATATTCACTGAGTCACATGACCATTGTGACCACAAAACTTTTTAATTTTCAAGTGCTATAAAAAGAGCAAGGGTCTAGGCTGCTGTAACACTTTGAATAAGCGGTGGTGAAATGCGTTGGTGTTACTTTTAATACCCTTGTTTTTTAAACACCTTATTGTATTAAATTTAGATAGATATTATTTTTATTATATACTTGACCTTCCTATCCTATTATGGAACTCCAGTAATCTCCTGGACTTCATCATACCACCAGAACCCTAGGGACTGAGCAATACCTTAGTTTGCTCCAAAGTTAGCAAATGGATCTTAATTTATTGAATACATTTTACAAACAGTGTGCACTATATATTTGTTTTTGTATTTCACATATACCACAGAGGAGATACTGCACCATCAACAGTGGGGATTATACCACTCCCTGCTATTTCCAGGAGCTATATAAAAGGCTCCAATAAATGTGATTGCACTACACCATATAGTATCTATTTCTATTTTTGGACTACCCACCAGGACCAAGAGACACAGTGCACATGCTTATAGGACCACTATAGTTCCAGGAAAACATACTCGTTTTCCTGGCACTATAGTGCCCTGAGGGTGCCCCCACCCTCAGGGTCCCCCTCCCGCCCAGCTCGGGAAAGGGGTTAAAACTTACCTTTTTCCAGCGCTGGGCGGAGAGCTCTCCTCCTCTTCTCCTCCCCGTCGGCTGAATGCGCACGCGCGGCAAGAGCTGCGCGCGCATTCAGCCGGTCACATAGGAAAGCATTCATAATGCTTTCCTATGGACGCTTGCGTGCTCTCACTGTGAAAATCATAGTGAGAAGCACGCAAGCGCCTCTAGCGGCTGTCAATGAGACAGCCGCTAGAGGAAATAGGGGAAGGCTTAACCCATTCACAAACATAGCAGTTTCTCTGAAACTGCTATGTTTATGAAAAAAATGGGTTAACCCTAGCTGGACCTGGCACCCAGACCACTTCATTAAGCTGAAGTGGTCTGGGTGCCTATAGTGGTCCTTTAAGCAGGGATTGTACTGCTCAAGTGCTTTTTTGAGCTATTTCATACCTCAATTTCTTGTACATGTATCTCTGTTTTCCTCCACACCCCATTTGTAAAATATACTACACTATAATATCCTCCATTGTCTTATTTCCCATTAAATATGCGTGTATGTCTTTTTTACAACATTGTTATGATAGATATTGTTTTTGTGTTTATAGTTCGCATTATTAATAATAATAATACAATTGTTTGTATCACAGAGAGGAGAGACAAGTTAAATACTTATTTGTATGATACTTGGCTTTGTTAGTTTTGAGATTTGCGACTGGCATATGGTGTTTTTCATGTGAGTGCCTGCACAGGTATATACGTGTATATAAATATATAACCACCACTGAATGTACTGAAGCTTAAGCTAAATCCATTCTGGTTGCAATATTTCAGAAGGGGTATTTAACCTCTGGCAATCCAGCTGGTTTATTGTATGTACTGTTCATTGTCAGACAGGTAGTGGCTAGACTGCTGCTGAAGTTGGATTGCTTCTTTGAACTGCTGAACTGCTGCTGTGGACTAGTACTCCCACTATGTTCAGCCGGCCAATGGTTGTCTGGCAAGCAGAAAATACTATACTGCCAGGGATTTCTTATTTCTAAGCTCCAGTCTCTAGATTTATCATTTCTTTATGATGTATGAAGTGCTATATTTAGATGTTAGATCCAAAATTCATCATTATTCCTACACATTCCAATTCCTTCATCTTCATGCATGTTCCATCTGCCAGAAGAACTGAGCTTACCTCTTATCCACTCAATGCCTACAAAGCACAGAGCATGGAAACCAAAGCTAACATTTCTCTTAATCCCCAATTTTTTGGTGCATGGCGCCACATGAGACAAGGCTTTGAATAAATGATGATCAACAGTAAAACATAATTTTGCTCAAAGTTTGATTAATGGTAATTTTTAGGTGCATTAAATCTTGGGATTAATTCTCATTGCCAAATGCGAAATGATGCACTAGAGTTACCTTTCAAATAATATTATCCCATTCTTTTGTCCCTCCATCCTTTGATCAGTGTAATTAGACAGGAAATGTTTAGTTATTTATCCAATTTAGATAACTAGTTAAATTGTAGTACGACAGAAACTCTCTTCGTTTAACCTATGGGGTCCCAGTGTAAGCTTTCTGTCCTTTAGCAATGCCATACAAACAAGCTGAAATCCATAATTCTTTAGCCTCTGGAAATCAGCGGTATAAGTGCTCCTACAGCAATTAGATATATTTCCCCAGGAATTGCGAACATTAATTCATGAAGAAAGGCTAATCTCAAGTGCATGTTACAGAAATATTATTATTCACTGAGCACTGCATGCTTTTTCTATTTCATTTTTCTAGCTCCCCATTCAAGTGTAACTTTTTCCAACCGTATTTATAAATGGGGAGTTAGTAATAAGTTACTGCCCTAAGTCAATAAGCAGCTCCCCCAACCCGAGCCTTCCGTTATAAAGAATTTCAGAAAGTGGAAAGACAGGAGGGCAGAGCGGAATGGCAAAGGAGCACAGCCTTTGAGGTTAAACCATTCTTAAACGGTTTAACCCCTAAAGGTAAGCCAGCATCAGGGACTTCCTGGCACCATAACAGCCTCATTTTGATGAAGTAGTTATGGTGCCCAAATTGTTCCTTTAAAACAGTTGAAAGAGTAAGTGATCATCCAGGGCATATTTCAAAAAGTCTATTATTGTTGTCCCACAGATCTGTGTAACACAAAAAGCTGTTCTTCTATACAATTATGCTCTGTCCTTATATGTATGCATTACCATTTGCCTCCATCTTTGTTATAAACATATACATTTTGATTACTATTTATATTTTGGATTTTTGTTGCAACTGAACTGGGGATTGTCTCTTATGGAAACTTGTGATAATAAGACATCACTCAGTATTTCAGCCAAGCTTCCATGTATTGTACACTGTATATTGCTGTAGCCTGTAGAAAATGAATTTTACAGTGTTTGTGCTCACACCCCTCATTTTGAAAACATATAAATACAGATACTGTATAATGTAGTCAGGTAGTCTTGCACGGTGTTTGTCTAATACAAGCAGAAAGTTAAATAAATCTTGCTGGCTTTGCCTTGGTATGACATACCTTGCCATATCTAACTTATGGCTTTGAATCCTATCTTTTTTTGTTTAAACATGGCAAAATGATTACAGTCAGGATTTATTTTGTTTTGCCAGAATCTCTTCCTCTTAGTAGAAAATGCACAGTTCTGCAGAAAATACTTTTCCCAGGAGAGCCTGATAAGTTTAATCCCTGGCCGTGACTCAATCAACGTTGTCATAATTCTAAATGAGCGCTGCAGTAATGCTGGCAAATCATTTTATTGGACAGGTCACTAGCCAACAGCTCCAAGTTTCCTTGATTTCTGGGATACTTCCCAATACATATATATATAGGTAGATCTATATATATTTTTATTATGTTCTTTGTCTAAAATATGCTCGATTCCAAAAATCCAGCAGCTTTCATGTATCTGTGTAGAACAAAAAAATATGTATTTTTTCATCCTTTATATTATTTGATGACTAAATTTATATAGAGTTGTGGAATATGTCTGACCGGGTGACAGACAATTAACTGTCTAAATGTTATGGTTTTGCCTGATCTATGTAGAGTCACTCTTGACAGAACGTTTGCATTTTAGAACTTAAAGTACATCAAAGTGTCTAATTAGAGTTAATTATAAAACATAAGAAGAATGTGTAGCTACGTTAGTTTGTTAGTTTAAGTATCGGTTGATAATTTTATTCTAAGTACTTAGTTTGACAAAAAAGGGTAAAGAACCACTGATCTAAACAGATAAATGTATTGCTCTAAACATTGATATCCTGTGAATTGTGGTGCCGGTGGGTGGGGAAAAAGGGGGCGGACTATTGATTAATTCAGGGACCGTTTCAGTGCTCTCTGAATGTTCCTTATGCTTTTAGTTTAGCATAAGAATGTCTAATGATGTTTTCACACTAGGCTTTTTTAGGAACAGTTCCTTGGTGTCCCCTAAAAGCACGACACCAAGGAATAAACCCGGAATGGTGGGTTAAGATCCTAAAATTGTGACTGTCCCAGAAAAATCAGGATGATATGTAGGCTTGAAATTGGGAAGTTACTAGTGTTTCAAGCACGTGTAACTTTTATGTACTGAGCTATAATTGTTTTTAAAATTGTGTAGCAGTGTTTGAAATCATTAATGCATGCAGACAGATTATTCTTAGTTCTAAATGTCCTTTTCTAAAATAGGAGATGTATGAGAAATAAAAGCAATCTTTTGTTTGGCATGTATACGTGTCATAAGTAACAATACTGCAGTCAAAGACAATGGATAAATACTATTTCCTGAATATTAAAAATTATTTTAATAGCTTGTTCAATCCAGGGACATGCTAATTCATGGTGACATGATAGGAAGGAGCACAGTAAAATTACTTTAAATAGCTATAATCAAATGTCAAGCAAGAAACCATATGTGACAAAATTAAGAATTTATCAGAAGTACTTTATATTCTAGGATACAGTGGCTGTCTAAATGTATGTGAATTAAAACACTATGATTAGGTATTAGGTAAGATTAGGTATTACCTTAATGATCTAGATAATCATTAATGCCTCCAGTTATTTACTATTACATCTGTCTACTTTACTTTTTAAAATAATCAGTTGTGTACTGTGACTAACGTCCTGTCTAGACATACATATAGAATCTACCCTATGCCTTCAACCTATCCTGATTTCATGAGGCCAGACCTGACTTTTGGGTTCTGTCCTACCGTCCTGACTTTGTTCCCTGGAACTGTCCCCAAACAGTGTATTGTAAATGCATCATTTAGATGCACTCGCTCTGTATTCAGGGCACTAGGAACAGTGAAACAGTGTGTAGCGGAGATGCAATATTCCCCAGGTTATCTCCGCTTGTAATCCAAGTGAGGCTCAGGAACAAGTAAATAATAAATCCAAAGGCAAGGTTTCCAGCAAGTAAAATACAGCAATATCACCACAGCAATCCCAATAACTGGACGACACACAGTTTCAGGAGCAGAACTGACAAGCCTTTAATCACAGTCTCCTTATAAAGCATGCTCCCATGCAAGGGAGGGATTTACTGTAATTATTACAGTAGCCAATCCTGTCCTGGTACCCTCCCACATATCTCCTCCCCTCAGCCAGCATCATAATCCCCTTATCCAGTACACCAATTCCCCCCGTTTCTGGATGTACCCCTAAACGTAGAGATACCTATTTAAATCCTACATCCCCTGGTAGCCCTGATCTGGGTGAACAACATATCCAAAAATCACCCAGATCAGACCAGTGTTTCGGGAAAAGTATGGGGGGAATAAAATGACCGACCGCACGAACTGAGATAGCCGAATTCGGTTCCATGTGAATGGGCCCTGCGGTCGGTCCTGGCATAAGGGAATAAAATACATGAAAACCTTTAGCTATAGAGGCTAGGGAGGGTTCGCCTGAATATTCTCTATCTACCGAACGAGGGGCCGTTCGGTAGTTTGGAACTGTGGAGGTCTCAGCGGTGTTCGCCTACTCGAGTGTCTTTTAGTTCCAGACACTCGACGGCAGCTGTTCCCGCCGCCACGTGTTCGTTTGTCGAATGGCGGCCAAGAACAAAGGACGGCTACTTTACTGTTCAATTACCCGTTCGCAACAATGTTGCAACGGGTAATTGAGGACACACTTCACACAGGGGAGGTCTGGTTGTTCGGTAGTTTCATTCGAATAAACTAAGGGAATGGAACTACCGAACAATCACAAGAATACAAGGCTTTAAAACACATAGAAAATCAGCAGATCACCCGAATGCAATTATTTCGAAGACATTTGCAGGACAGCCCAGTGCCATCCGCTACACAGTGTTTCTGCATTGTCTGGCCTCAGTGGACTCTCACACGAGAGACATTAATGACCAGCCATTAATTCAGGCATTAATTCCCCTTTTACGGATGGACCTGTCCCCATTGGGTGGAGCCATTGCATCAATATCCCTTCATCTTTGCCCCCACTCCCACCGGAGTCCTGCTTCTCAAGACACTGTAGAGTGGCCAGCCTTCCTAAATTAAGTGAGATTACACTCCTATACTTCTGCCCATCTTCTGAGAAGCTGGAGAGAGATGCACAATATCTCCTTATCTCCACTTCTGGCATTTTGCTAAAGGGAGATGAGCTTAATTAGTGCCACGAGATTAAAGGAAATCCGATCGTACCTTTTTCTTTAAAAACGTTCTCTCTGTCTTTCTGTCTGTGTCTGTGGATTGCTCTCTAAAACGTGTCCTTGACAAACATGTGTCTAGGGGTATGTTGTGTGTTTTTGTGAGGGAATAGTTGCTTTTGCATGCACAATTCTCAATGTTGAATTGAACATGTTTTATTTATACACTAAAAGGTATGTGCTGGGCCAATAGGGGATTGAGGAATGCAGAATTCACTATACTTAGAACATCCACCTGATATTAGCAATGGAAATGAGCCCAAATACACCAGTGAATTTAGAATATACTAAGCAAGCAAAATCTGTGTTACGCATAAAAGAAAAGAGAAAAGAACACATCACACTTATTAAGTAAACAGGAATTGTTCTAGCCGCATAAATCTCCCAACTTCTTTAATGTCACATGTTAGCACAGCCTGGTAAAATATGTATTTATCTTAGAGTTGAAAATTAGCGCTTAGGGTTTTGTGTAAAATGTTTCAAACTCGTGTCCCAAGAAAATGTGATTTTATTGTGTTTTCCTTTGATTCTTAGTGCCAATCCTAATCCTACGCTTAGTCTTTCTCTACTTGGAACATAAAGCATATGACAGATTGCAGATGAAATATGGTATTGCTCACTTGGGTATTGTTTCGTCAGACAGATGTTGTCTAATCCTCTATTTAACACTTATTAGAATAAATTGTCTGCAAAATATTCTAAATGCTCATTTTATTCAATATTCAGCTAACTTTTTTTTTTTTTTTACTTGCCATGCACATATTTTATTTGAATTAATAGAAATTAAATTACATTTCTTTTCAGTTCAAGGTTCTGGATTTAAAGAATTGTTACAGAATAGTAGCCAACCTGGCAAATGCCATCACCAATATCAAAACAGCACAAACACAAAATATATAAAGTATAAAGTATAGTCCATTTTGCCAACTGCTATACAAGATGAATTGTACTTGTGCGTGTTGCAAAGCTGATGTTCTTCATGCACATATATATTTAACTCTGGCTGCTGGGTTTTACTTCTTTAGACATTCATTTGTTTCCTGTTAAAGATTTATGTATGCTTATACTGGTCACAAAATCTCTAGCCCACATGAACAATGATGGTGTAGAAGTGCTTTGGGAGGTTGCAAAAAAAAAAAAGGAGCATTGGTGCATAACCAGTTCACAAATTTAAATAAGATAAAAACCTGTTGGCTTGGGATCAGTATTTCTGCTATGTTGACTTAGTGACTCTCCTGCTCTGGAATAGATCATAAAAGTACCTGTTGATGACATCTTTAACAAACAACTGCTGTGGATCCCATCGATCTTCTGTAATAATTCACATTTACATTAATATTTCTGGAAATGGTTAATTAGCCAGGTACCTTGACTCACTAACGACCAAAAAAAAATAAAAATCATCAAAAGCAGTAGATCTTAAATTCTTAAATCATTTTCTGCAGTGGGATGAAGTACTGAAACTGCATACATGTATGACTTTATTAAATTGATGCTATATTGTAAAATAGGAATCAAGTGGAATAAGAGTGATTTAAACAAGCTTAGTGGATTTTGAATGTGCAGGCTCTGAACCTTATGCAGGGCTCTTCTTTAAGCTTATTATACCAGACAAGGTATACAATGCCTGAATAGGAGACCCAATTGATCTTGTACTCTAAATTCACTTATCACCTTTAATCTACATTTTGCTTTATTTTACAGCTAACACAATAACACTCTTTATCTTTAGGTTTTTATTTAAACATTGTTGAATTAGTTTATATTTTGTGGCAGATACTCTAATACAGCTTTTATAAATGATCATAAGGAAAAAAAATATCAAAATAAACAACTTTCCATCTAAATAATTTTTTTTACCTAAATTTAAATTTGTTGTGAACTTACCTTTGCCTACTGTTAATATAAAACCTCCTAATTGCGCAATATAAAATATCCCATTTACTGTGATGTCTTATGATTAACATTGCTATTTTTATTTTGTTTATCAGTCCATAAATTCTGTTTCTTTTCTCCCTAAAAAAAAAAAATCCCAATACACTGGAAGAATAATCTATATTTTTTGAAGACTTAACATTTAATAGATTTAGTGTTTTCTGTTAATTTAAACAAATTAATTAAAACTAGAACTGCAATAGTGTAATATATTTGCCTTTGTCGTTGCAGTTGAAAAATGGAAAAGTGCACTATGTGTCTGATGCAGGTGTAGGAGGAAAAGTAGAAAGAAATATTCCTGAGGCGTACGTTGCTGACGGACGTTGGCATACTCTTCTAATGGAGAAGAATGCCTCTACAACTACTTTGTCTATAGACAACACGCACAGCAGAGAAATACATCATGTAACACAGGATTTTGGAGGCCTCAATGTCCTTACAATGCAGCTTGGAGGAAATACACTTGGGCCGACAGCTAAAAGTAGTTTCAGTGGTAAGTATGTCTGATATTGCATTTTTAAAAATAATTACATTATTTTTAAATTTCAAAAGTATGTTATAAGTCTTTTTAAACAACAAACTCAACATGGAAATAATTTATGACATATCTAGTGGAATCTCCAAACAACTGGAGTACCATGTATGTTAACTCTTCTGCTTTGCCTTCATTTTTTGGGCTTTGAGAGGTGATTGACAGGTCTTGTGTGCACTTGTGGGAGAGTACATTTGCCCACTCAATACTCAGTTTCTTCCCTTCTCAACCTTTGTCTCCTCTTTTGTTCCCTTATGTCACTCCATTTTCTTCCTTAAACTAAGATCTTGAATTGGTACACATTCAAATGTCAATCAAAATATTGATTACATTTCTTTTTAATCTTTTATAGAAATTTAAGAATTGGTACACAAATATAGCATTTGCTAATACAGAACTTCTACAATTATTTCATATCCCTGTAAAAACAAATAACACACTACTAGATTATTTAACACTTAAATCAATGGATTGTTTAATACTTAAAACATTGGACAATATATATTCTTTTCACCTCATATTGCGGTCAAATAATTGGCATCTGTTACAAATATAAATATGAAATAAAATAAAAGTATTTGATTTTATCACCCACTGTATCTTGTCTATAATAAGAAAAAAGTGTAAAAAAAAGATATAAGCACCTAATTTTTTATACTTTTTTGGCTGTAACAGATGCCAATATTAACATATTTGTATTTCATTTTGATAAATAGATGTTGCAAAGATATTTTGACAGCGTCTCTTTTTACTAATATAATGTATTTAATTCCTCAGGTTTTGATGGCTGCATTGCTTATCTGAAATATAACAGAGAAAGTCTTCCATTCAGTGGAAAACACCACTTGGTCAGCATTTCCAAGTCAAATGCATTTACAAAGATTGGATGCCGTGGACCTAATATTTGTGCCAGTAACCCATGCTGGGGAGACTTAATATGCATAAATCAGTGGCATGCATACACATGTGTTCCACCTGGAGACTGTTCCTCAAGCCCTTGCCAAAATGGTGGCAGCTGTGAACCTAATCAACAATCTGGATTTACGTGTAACTGTCCAGAGTCATATGCAGGAGAGCTCTGTGAAACTGTAGTAGCCTGTCTTGGTGTTTTTTGCCCTGAGGGTAATGTATGCAAGAGTGGACTATATGGTGGACATATATGTGTTTTGAATACACATGTAGAGGACCCGTCACTCCCACTTTGGGCAGTTCCAGCTATTGTGGGCAGCTGTGCTACAGTTCTCGCTCTGTTGGTTCTTAGCCTGATACTGTGTAACCAGTGCAAAGGAAGAAGAGCCAAAGTGCCAAAGGAAGAAAAGAAACCTAAAGAGAAAAAGAAAAAGGGGAGTGAAAATGTTGCGTTTGATGATCCTGACAATATTCCTCCGTATGGAGATGACATGACTATTAGGAAACAGCCAGAAGGAAACCCTAAGCCTGATATTATTGAAAGAGAAAACCCATATTTGATATATGATGAGACTGATATACCCCATAACTCTGAAATAATACCCAGTGCTCCTATGGCAGTCCCTGAAACTGAGCTAGAACATTATGATATTGACAATGCTAGTAGTATTGCACCCTCAGATGCAGATATCATTCAACACTACAAGCAGTTCCGAAGCCATACACCTAAATTCTCAATTCAGAGACACAGCCCACTTGGTTTTGCAAGACAATCTCCACTACCATTGGGTGCAAGTAGTTTAACATATCAGGGTTCTTATAGCCAGGGCCTTAGAACAGCTACATTAGGTCATGCGGGATGTCCTCCTCCTAATCCATTGTCTCGTCACAGTCCAGCACCATTTTCTAAATCCTCTACATTTTACAGAAGCAGTCCAGCAAGAGAATTGCATTTGTCAAGAAGGGAAGGCAGTCCTTTAGAAATGCAAATGCATAATGAAGTTTGTCAACCTGGCATGTTCAACTATGCAACTCGTTTAGGAAGGAGAAGCAAGAGTCCTCAAACTATGGCAGGTCATGGTTCTAGGCCAGGAAGTCGCCTTAAGCAACCTATAGGACAGATGGCTATGGAGAGTGGACCACCTGTTGGTCTTTCAATAGAAGAGGTTGAAAGACTTAATACACCTAGACCAAGAAATCCAAGTATATGTAGTGCAGACCATGGAAGATCATCCTCTGAAGAAGACTGTCAAAGGCCCCTTTCAAGAGTAAGGAATCCAGCTGATGGAATTCCAGCTCCAGAATCATCATCTGATAGTGACTCTCATGAGTCATTTACTTGCTCAGAGATGGAGTATGATAGAGACAAACCCATGGTGTACACATCACGAATGCCAAAATTAACCCAGGTTAATGAATCAGATGCAGATGATGAAGACAATTATGGTGCTAAACTAAAACCTAGGAGATACCCAGGTCGCAGAGCCGAAGGTGGGCCTGCAAATATCCAGACATCTTCAACCATGCTACCGGCTGAAAATACTTTACCCATAAAGCTTAGCCAGCAAGCTGGCAATTTCAACTGGGACAATCTATTGAACTGGGGCCCAGGGTTTGGGCATTATGTAGATGTATTTAAAGATTTGGCATCATTGCCAGAGAAGGTGTCAACAAGTGTTAATGAGGAAAGCAGAGGAGGCACAGAAAATGCAGTTTCCAAAGATGGAGATACAGAACAATATGTTTAAATGTAATAAAATACTTGGATTGGATATGCAAAACCCTGTGACACTCAAACATTGTATGTTTGTTTACAAAAGAATGTCTCCATTTTAAGAACAGGCCAGTGAACTTTCCTAATTTGAGGAGACAAATTTAAAATAATATCTATATTGCTGCTGGGTAGGTCAAACATAACTATAAGGCAATTGAGTTGAGTATTTGATTCTCCTGCATGCATTACTCTCTACAGCCTGACGTACAGCATGCACAATTTCCAATACATGTCATGCTTTATTTGATGTAATATTTGTTTTATAATATACTTCTCAATAGGATTGCTAAGACCGGGGTAGTCAAAGAATGTTGTGATAATTGCTGTTCATTAATGGGTTTGTCTCATTAAGACCATTGAATTCCTAACATTTTGCATCCAGAAGAATGAAAGCTAGGTTCAGTCTTTTTAGACTCAATCATTTCTTACTTTTAAACACTGAGAAAGGAGACAAAGACTTGATCATCACTGAAAGGGGTGGATCATACCTTAAGAAGAAATGGATTTTAGCAGGTCCAAAATGGTCAGCACTTTAGGATCTGCTTTTTTATTTCATATGTGTCCCCTTTGTAAAGTGAAGCTGTATTTCAAAATTGCTTATGCTACTTTGAAAGAGATTTATTTTTGTAAGAACAACAATTCCAAATATCAGATGCACATTGACAAAGTGAATTGGAATCTACTAGGTAAAAATAGGTAAAAAGAAAAAAAAGAAAAAATATAAAGCAATTCATCCTAGATTTTGCCGAAATCTTACATAGACATTTGTACAATAAAAAAAGAAATATCACGTGAGTGATACTTTGTACTGTGGATTTTTTTTTTATAATTGCCTTTATCTGAACTTTGTTTTTGAGATTGATATTTTCCTATGCTGTATAGTTTTCTTACTTTCAGGGAAAGCAAGAAAATGCTTTTCTTAAAAAAAAGCTGTTACTTGTGTAACATCCATATTTTTAAAAATTTTGATACATCTGTAACATACCAGTATGCTTTCTTCTTGTAAATGTCAATAATAAAATTAAAATATTTATTTAAAATGCTGTCTATGTGAAATTTAATGTATTCAGCCAATTGTATTACTACTATTAAAAAAATAACAATAATGTAATAATTAGAAAATAATTTGTCAACTGTTAATAAATATTAGTCTTTATATTTTCTTCAATTCTAGTTGTTGGGAATTGTTGAGAATTCAAATTGAATAAAAAGTAAATTTAAAAGTGAGAAGCACTGAATTGGACAAGCACAAGGAAAATGTTGCAATGTTTGCTGACAAAAAAAGGAGGTGGATCATACAGCTGATTTTTTCCCCAAATTGGTTATTGTGATCTAAAATCTGAAATGTACTTTAAATTCCCAACAATTAACACATTGTTTCAAAAAACAAAACTTACCAGGAAATGTTAATGGATCTTAACATGTATAGCTTGCAGGAAAGACGAGATAGGGGGGATATGATAGAAACATTTAAATACATAAAGGGAATCAACACAGTAAAGGAGGAGACTAAATTTAAAAGAAGAAAAACTACCACAACAAGAGGTCATAGTCTTAAATTAGAGGGGCAAAGGTTTAAAAATATCAGGAAGTATTACTTTACTGAGATGGTAGTGGGTGCATGGAATAGCCTTCCAGCTGAAGGGGTAGAGGTTAACAGAGTGAGGGAGTTTAAGCATGCGTGGGATAGGCATAAGGCTATCATAGACCTAAGATAAGGCCAGGGACTAATGAAAGTATTTAAAAAATTGGGCAGACTAGATGGGCAAAAATGATTCTTATCTGCTGTCACATTCTATGTTTCTGTGTTACAACATTTTGTAGAATGTTCACACTGTTTAAATCCCCATTGACAGGATTTTTTCTTCATGTTTTTCTATGAAGAGATTTAAGTGGTGATCACATACAAGCCGAGTTGCATGAACACATCTGATAGCTCCACTCACAAATATTAAATGAAGCTGTGAGTAAATCATCAGTGGAGCTGCTATCAGCTCAAGCATCGGTTTCATCCATTTTATATGATGAATGGAATTACTTAAAGGACCACTGTAGGCAGCTAGACCACTTTATTTTGATGAAGCAGTTTGGGTGCTGTGGCCCTGTGGTTTTAGTTACACAATATAAAACATATTCTATCTAGTAGATCCCACAGTGTTTTCACTGGAAGGCTAAATACACCTCTAATTGTTGTCTTCCTGGCAGACACAAGAGGAACCTCTGCTGTAAGAACCGATTTAGACTTAGTTTTCATGCTGCTGCTCACAGAGAGGAGCGCTGTGCATTGGCTTCTCTTCCCCAGTGCTTGCTTATGAGAGTGATTGAATTGAACAATATAAAGAAAAAAAAGCAGTCCTTGCTAAATAAAAGGTTGCTCCACCTTGTAAGTTAAATAGTTAATTAGTAGTTGGAAAAGTTCATGGCAGATTATTCAAATGTAAGAAAGGAACAGAAAATGAGAATTTACCCAAGTCTTGGGGCAAGTCAGTGATTCCTGCCGAAAGCAAGTCCCATATGGAAAAAAAAAATATACAGACTGCAAAATTGGCTGTAACTGAGTGCAAAAATGAGAGTTCTTTTAGCTTTCAGCTGCTGAGTTGGAGAAATGCAAGAAACAAGGTGAGTAAAAGTATCCAAATTGTAGAAAACCAGTTCTCAGTTGAGCTGGAGATTCTGAGACCTGAAAAATAAGTTAGTAGAAACATGCAAGGCACAGGAGCATAACAGGCTGGTAGGTGCTCATTAAGATTAAATGTGCACAGGTTCACTGACAGAGTGGTCTTAAATAGACTGTTTATTGTCAGTGGACCTGTGAACTTAAAGGGAAATAACAGCATTATTTAAAGAGACAACAATATTAAAATACATGTTCCTGACAAAGACCACACCATGCATGGTAATGCAGCTGCAATGGTGGGTTATCAACACTAGAGACAAGTTGAGTAGAATATGTTTAACTTAAATTTTATACAGAAAAGTGGATGGACATAGTTCATTCAGGTAACTTATAGTTTTTGAATAATCAAATAATATTTTTGCGACTTTAAGTTCCTTTTAAGTATTCCATCACACTGTTGGGGAGTAGTTTATGGAATATGTTTAATGTTTTGACTCTACTGAACAGAAGAGTCTCCTGACTGTACAAGTTTGAATTGCAGGCACAAGAATTAATGAGTGCACTACTCCAATGAACTCTAATCGTTTTCCGCAAGCTCTTCAAACCATAAAATGACTTAATATTACCGTATATACTCGTATATAAGTCGATCTCATGTATAAGTCGAGTGCAGTTTTGTGACCAACAATTGTGAAATATGCTATGCCTCGTGGATAAGTCGAGGGGAAAACTTGGGGCCATGAAATTCTGTGATTTTTATAATTATATACACACACACTCATACAAACACACACACTGCATTATATACACACACACTTATACAAACACACACTCTGCATTATACACACACACACACTCATACACACACTCTGCATTATACACACACACTCATAAACACACTCTGCATTATACACACACACACACTCATACACACACTCTGCATTATACACACACACACACACACACACACACTCATACACAAACTCTGCATTACACACACACACTCATACACACTGCATTATACACACACACACTCATACACACACTCTGCATTATACACACACACACACTCCTACAAACAATCTGCATTATACACACACACACTAATACAAACACACACTCTGCATTATACACACACACACTAATACAAACACACACTCTGCATTATATACGGACACACTCATACAAACACACACTGTGCATTATATAATGCAGAGTGTGTGTGTTTGTGTGAATGCAGAGTGTGTGTGTGTGTATATAATGCAGAGTGTGTGTTTGTATGAGTGTGTGTATAATGCAGAGCGTGTGTTTGCATGAGTGTGTATATAATGCAGTATGTGTGTATATAATGCAGTGTGTGTGTGTGTGTATACAATGCAGAGGGTGCGTTTGTATAAGTGTGTGTTTGTGTGTGAACTGGGTGGGGGAGGGCATTTTTATTATTTTTAATTTTAATATTTTAATTTTTTTATTTTAGTATTATTTTTTATTTTATTATTTACTTTTTTAATTTTAATATTTTATTTTTTTATTGTAATATTATTTTTTTTTTTATTTATTATTATTTTTGTCCCCTCTCCCTGCTTGTTAGCTGGCCAGGGAGGGGGGCTCTGATTCCCTGGTGGTCCAGTGGATGGGCTGTGTAGGAGGGGGGCTGGCAGAGAGCTGTTACTTACCTTTCCTGCAGCTCCTGTCGGCTCCCTTCTCCTCTGGTCCGGTCAGCTTCACTGTAAGTCTCGCGAGAGCCACGGGGCCAGAGCGTTGCCACGGATTACTGTGGCAACGCTCCGCGCGGCAGTCACACTGCAAGACTTACAGTGAAGGAGAAGGGAGCTGACAGGAGCTGCAGGAAGGTAAGTAACAGCTATCTGCCAGCCCCCAACAGGACCGCCGGGCTTGTAAAGAGCCCGGCGGTCCTGGTCTGTATTATGGCAATATAAGTTGCCATAATACAGACACTGACTCGAGTATAAGTCGAGTGTGGGTTTTTCAGCACAAATAATGTTCTGAAAAACTAGACTTATACTTGAGCATATATGGTATTTATTTTTTATTAGGCCTTGTATTTCAATTTTTTTTTGTTGTGTGCCTTTTGAAAGCTGTGCTGATGTACTGTTTTACGCAATCAAAAAAACTGAATTCTTGATGAATTTTACATAACTGATTCCATAATGCTTTTTATTTAAATGTGCAATAAAGGAAAACTTTTCCTTGGCCAAAAATAGATAAAATATATTATGAAAGTGTCTGGTTTAATGGGAATAGCTTTTTTTAGAGGGATTGCAATTTTAATACTGTATTGTATAACCCAGACTTTCAACCATTATTTTTTTTTACTTCCTATATTAAAGAAAATACAATAAATCTTTCTTTTACCTCCTTAACTCACCAGAACACTAAAACGTGCAGATGACTATTCCATTGTCAGTTATGAATTTCCTACATCTGTCATAATACATTATTTTTACATAAAGGAGTTTATGCTCAATTCATTATACATCCTTCATTTGCTTGTGTTGACTGTTTTACTTTTTTTTTAGGTCTAACTTATAATGTTAGGGACAGTTAACCTTTTATAACCCCCGAACAAAATGTGAACAAAATATAAATTTTGATAGATCACTAGATCAGTTTTAATGAGTTAGAGATTTAGCTATATATATCCCAGTTCCAGGGATATGGCCTATAGTGACTTTTACATTTTAAAATAAATCACGTCAGTAATATTTTCAGTTTGGTTACGTACACAGAATTTAAAAATTCTAATCCTCTTTGCATTCTAACATTCTGAAAATTTAGTGAATTACCCTGTAGCCCTGTATGTGAGCAGAAAAGCATGATTTACCTTTAATTGTTTAAACCAAACAAAATATTATTCATATTACTAGTGAACCACTTATATATTGATGTATTTCATTTTAGAAAACATTTTTAAAAATGTAATGAACAAGCTTCATTTCTAAACACATTAAAAGTAATTCACAGATTATGGTTCAGTAGATTGTGTTTCCATTACAAATTTGCATAATATCTGGTGTCCCCAAAACATTTGTCCCCCAAACTTTTTACCCTGTTATAGACTATTTTTTTTTTTTTTTTTTAATGTAGTTGTTCTGGTGGGTATAGACAGTCCCTGCAGGCTTTTTGCAGTAAACACTGTTTTTTTTTCAGAGAAAACGCAGTGTTTACATTACAGCCTAGGTATACCTCCGATAACCACTCCTTTGATGGCTGATAGAGGTGCTTCCTGGGGCACTGACATTCAGTGTCTCCACCCTCTGCATGGAAATGCTTAACTTTCCTCATAGAGATGCATTGATTCAATTAATCTCTATGAGGAGGTGCTGAGTTCCACCCCAACCTATTATTATCCATGCTTTATCAGATGAATGCTTTATCTCAGGTGTATTTAAAGCGGGCGGG